AACTTTCAAGGTCATTGAAAATGGGAAATTGTCACAACCACGAGTTACTTAAGGAGATATGATGACTTAGGTAATGGGGAAAATTTGGTGTTCTAAATTTGGTGTCCTAGATGGGATCCGGAAACAGAAAAAGGAAGTAGGTGAAAATTCAGAGAATTTGAATAAATATGCACTTAGTCAATAACAATGTGTTGGCATTGATTCATTCCAAGTACACCACACTCATAATGTAAGAAGTTAATACCTAGGTGTGGCATATACATGGGAACTCTGGACTATCTTCACAATTTTTCCATAAATCTCAAAGCGCTTTGATTTTTTTAAATTAAAAGAGTATTATCATGCAATCCATCAACAATATATGAAAAAATGTTCAACATCTCTAACAATTAGAGAAATGCAAATCAGAACTACACTAAGATTTCACTTCACTCCAGTCAGAATGGTAATTTTCAAGAATACAAGCAGCAATAAATTTTGGTGAGGATGTGGGGAAAAAGGTACACTCATACATTGCTGGTAGCACTACAAATTGGTGCAACTACTATGGAAAGCAGTATGGAGATTCCTAAAAAAACTTGGAATGGAACCATGATTTGACCCAAATCATCCCACTACTCGGTTTATGCCCAAAGGACTTAAAATCAGCATACTGCAGTGATGCAGCTACATCAATGTTTATAGCAGCTCAATTCACAATAGCTAAACTATGGAACCAACCTAGATGCCTTTCAACAGATGAATGGATAAAGAAAATGTGGTATATATAAATAATGGAATATTACTCAGCCTTAAAGAAGAATAGAATTAGGGCATTTGCAGGTAAATGAATGGAAATGGAGAATATTATGCTAAGCAAAATGTCAATCCACCAAACCAAAAATCAAATATTTTCTCTGATATGAGGATGCTAATTCACAATAAGGATTGAGTGAAGAATAGAGGTATTTTGGAATAGACAGAGAGGAGTGAATGGAAGGGAAGGGGCATGGGGGTAGAAATAATATTAGAATGAATCAGACATTATTACCCTATAGGCATATATGATTACATGACCTATGTAACTCTACATCACGTACAACCAGATGAATGAAAACTTATATTCCATTTATGTATGATGTGTCAAAATACATTCTACTGTCCTGTATAACTAATTAGAACAAATTAAAAAATTTTAAAAAGAGTATTATTAGGGTTTGTAAAATAAATTATTTTTTTGTTGTGAAATATTTTAAAACCATGGAGAAAAATTTAATAATAAACATAGTTACCTCCTTCAATTTTATCATATTTTAACATTATGCTATACTTGCTGGAACTCTTTTCTTTTAAAAGATATTAAAATATTCAGATTCAGCTCAGGGTCCCTCTGAAATCTTCCCTAACATTATTCCTTTTCTTTTCCTCAGATGTGACCACCGTTATTAGTTGAGTGCTTATCATTTTTTAGGCAGGTATTTATATTTCTAGTGCATATTCATAAACATTATAAATACTGATTTGCAGGTAAATTTTTTTCATGTAAATGTGATTGTACTCTATTACTTTGAAACTTTCCATTTGTTTAAATTTGTGCATGTCAAGACTTATTCATGCTAATTTGCTGATTTTTAACAGCTAGGTAGTATTCCATGGCATGTATATTCCGCAAGTTATTGTTTCATTCTCTTGTATATTTATATTTTCTTCAAGTTTTTTTTTGTTCTAAGTAACATTGTAATATATATATATATATATATATATATATATATATATATATATTGCTGCATGTACCTTAGGAGTTTAAATCATGGCTCTAACACTAACTTGTACTCTTGAGCTTGTGACATAATCCTTTCATATTTCAGTGCCTGATACATACTAAATGCTTTTTCAGTATTAACTACTTTTTTTTAATTATTAGGGAAAATGTTAGAGTAGGGTATTTGGGGACTTCATTTTTTTAACCTTTTTAGCTTTGCTGGCTATTTTCAAATTGCTCTCTAAAGTTATTCAATCAATTTACATTTTCATTTACTCTGTATGTGAAGACTCATGTCTATATCTTCACAACACTTTCTACACTGAGTATTTAATCCAGGTTTTAGTACTCAGTGCTGATCATGACCCAACATTTATTCACTGAAGTTGCAAAATAACGATGTTTGTACAGATTTTCAAAAACTAGGAATGGCTGGGTGTGGTGGTGCACACCCGTAATCCCAGCGGCTCAAGAGGCTGAGGCAGGAGGGTTGAGAGTCAAAACCATCCTCAGCAAAAGCGAGGCCCTAAGCAATTCAGTGAGACCCCATCTCTAAATAAAATACAAAATAGGGCTAGGGATGTGTCTCAGTGTGGAGTGCCCCTGAGTTCAATCCCTGATAACCCCCACACAAAAAAAATAAGAATGGATATTTTTACTGAAGACTTTTTTTGCATCTATTAAAAGAATCAACTTTTTACCTAAAATAATCATTTTATTCCCCAAATCAACATTGCCTCATTATATTTTCTCACAAACTGCTATATTATATTAAATGTGTGTTATTTAGCATTTAAAAATCACTTTTCAAAAGTAATTATAAGCCTATTTTTTTCTTATAACATCCTTTATTTTTCTGATGTCAAGATTATACTTGCTTTATAAAATGAAGTGAGTCACTTTTCCTATTTCTCTATAATATCAGAATTATCTACTCTTTGAATTTTTAGTAAAATTTGCCTGTAGTATTATCTAACACTATCATTTTGCAGGGGCGTTACAGGCTTTTAAATATTGAGTCAATATTCTTAATAGCTATTGGTTTTTAATTCATCTACTATTTCTTTGGGGATGATTTTTGATAATTCATATTTTTTCAGAAAGTTAATCATCACAGTTTTCAAATTTATGACTATAATGTTACTCATAACATTTGTTCATGATTTGAAGACTTTCTGTTACTTTACCTTTTAACTTTCTATTAATGTCTATTTGTGATCCATGTCTCCTTTTTCTTGAACAGTCTTGTTGAGTTTTGTGTGTTATTTAGTTATTTCAAGAAACAGCTTTTCCCTTCTTTGATCTCCTGTTCATATCCTTCTGATTTATTTATTTATTTTTTACATACATCATGCTTTTCTTTCCTTTTTTCTTTTCAGTACTAGGGATAGAGCCCAGGGCCACCGGCATGCAAATACTCTACCCCTGAACCTCAGCCCCAGCCTCTTAATTGCTTTCTAAACATCATCACCAAAGAAACCTGTATCTGTCACCAGTCGCTGCTCAGGCCCCTTCCACTTCCACCCCAGGCCTGGGCAAACACTTACTGTCTGTCTCTATAGATTGGTCATCCTCCACATCTCACATGCATTCCTGGAATCATACACTATGTGGCTTTTTGTGACTGATATATTTTGTTGATTCTTGTGTTACTTTTGTTTCTTCACTTTTCTGTTGTTGTTTTATTTTTCTGTGGTACTGGGGATTGAACCCAGGGCCTTATGTATGTGAAGCAAGAACTCTACCAAGTGAGCTATATCCCTAGCCCCTGTTTCTTCTCTTTTCTGACTCCCTGCTGGATACCTTTTTCCTTCTGCTAAGGCACATCCACCAACAGCCATCTTGGGCTGGGTTTGAACATCTGGAAACATGCCAAATGATTTTTTTGCCACTGTATCAAAGGTTTTTAAAGGTTATTTGTCATCCGCATTTTGAAGACGCTACACCACTGCCTTCTAGTGTCTGATGAGACACTGGTGTCACTCTTTTATTTCCAGTTGGATATTACACTTCGTGGTTTTTAAGATAATTTTTTTTTTTTTGGTCTTGATTCTTTACTATTGTAAAAGTAAAAAAAAACTTAATGTAATATATTAAGTTTTTCTTTTCAAGTTTTGATTGATTTTTTTTTATCCTGATCAATTCTCGGAGTCTACTATTAATTTGAGGAATCAGGTCACTGTTTTTAGAAAATTCCCAGCAATTATTTCTTTAAGTATTTATATCTTTGTCGTTCTCTATCTTATTTTTCTGGGATTCCAATTATTTGAGGTTACAAGGTTTCACAACTCACCTTCATCTTTTTTATCTGTACCTTTTATCTCTGTGTGTGTGACGCAAATCACTGTCTCTTCATATAAAGGGGTTTGCTTTTCATCTTAAGAAATAACTCCCCAGGCAATGATGGAAGGCAGTTTCCTCAGGTCTTCTCAGCAGTGCAGGACCCATGGTGGCCCTTGGCTCCAAGTGGAGAGGTGGTGTCTGATCCCCTGTTTGGTGTGGGGCAACATCCCTCCAGGAGCTAGACTCCTCTATTGCTGTCTGCATTTAGACCCTGAGGTGAAAATACCAGCTGTGTCTATGCTCTATTTTCCCTTTGGTACTTCTCTTCCATTTCTGGAGTTGTTTATTTTTATAGATTTGAGTCTGTATTTTAAAAAATATATTATCCACATGTATATCTACATGTTTGAAGCAGAGAAAATAAAGTGGAAACTCAATGTTAAACTTAAAGTCTTGGAATTCTAATCCTGCATCCTTTACCAACTGTTTTGCTTTTTTTTTTCTCACTGTGAATGAGACTAACGTAACTCTCTAGACATTTACTTTATTCAGAGACTGTCCTTCTCCCCCCTCAGTCCCAGCTGGAATTGAATTTACAAAGAGCCCTGAAGGCTCCCCAATGGCATGTGGGTGTCATTCCTCAACTACATTGACTCAAGCATGTCGCTAGTTGGTTTGCCGTTCTTATAGTTTTTATGTTAACTCATTAAAAATAAATAATAGGTAAGAAGAAAGAACAAATAAATTTAAAAAAATCATCTATCCACTAACTAGAGAAGCTATTACCAATGATTTCAGTTTATCTTTCCTTATAATTAGGCTCTTTTATTGAGTTATTAGCCCATTTAAAACCCTGCTTTTGCTTGAGATCAATTAGTGAAGTGTATTACTTGAACCAAATTGTTCTTTTTTTTCCAGTTACTTTGGTTAAATACAGTGAAGAGATGATAATTGTGATTATGCTTTTATTTTGTAGGGTTGTTGACGGCAGATTGCAACTATCATGTCTGACTCCGTAATTCTCCGCAGTGTGAAGAAGTTTGGAGAGGAGAATCATGCTTTCGAGTCAGACGAATCATGTAAGTGGCCCTTTTCTCTCACTGTCTCTTGTACAAAGAGAGGTGAACTCAAAAGTGGAAGGAAGTGACCATCAATGGTGGGACAAGCTAGTGAAGCTGAAAGAAGCAGAGAAAATGAACAACACAGACAACAGTTATTGGGTATGAATCTTACAAACAATCGTGTGGTTCCTTCTGGAACTGTGTGACAGGAAGTCTGAAAGCTTAGGTAAGAGCACCAAAGTGTGGATGAATGAGGGGAGACGTCTCTGCTGGGTAGAGTCCAATGGTTTCAGGCAGGCTGTTACTGTTAACTGGAACCCTGTGCAGTTATCACTGCTTGAGGCAGTGACAGAGCCATCTTTTCCTGAGTGCTGATGTTGAGGGGAGCTGTGCGGGAGACTGCTGGCCAGAAGCAGATTACGTGGCAGGGGCCTGTAGTGCCAGTACCTGGCATGTTGTCAGCACAGATGATTCTAAGCTCTTCTCTTATTTTTAAATCCTGTGACTTTGCATTTTACAAATGAATAAACTTGGATGACTTTTTAAAAACTCGATAAAGTTCACATGAGTAATAATTGATGGAACCATAAGTCTCTAATCCAGTTCTGCCTGATTCTCAAGCCAGAGTATTACCCTGTGTCTATACTATAAAGTATGTTGACTCTTAAATTAAATTAAAATGTCAGGGGAACCAGGATATGCTATCCCACAGTGAAGAGCCACAAAGCACCCAGGGTTCGTTTCTGGTGACTTCTTGCACCCATGACTCTGGACCCCCACTTTCACTTTCTACCCTGTGGTCAGGAAGATTCTATGTGGTTCAATCTCACACCTTCCACTGACGTGGAAGTATCAATGAGATCTTATTATCTAATTAAATTGTGGTCTATTAAGTAGGTGAATTCGGTTTCTAAAGAATCAAGAAATAGATACATAGTCATTTTATTTTATAATTTTAAAAAAACCTTGATTTTCTTCAGCTAATCTAGGAATGTTGGTTCCATTGGCTGTTCAGAAAACATAAATATTTATGTCTTGGATAAAAATACAGAAATGTAGTCAAGGCAGCAGTCCTGAACCTGAAAACGTGTCTGCCTGCCTGTCTATCTGTCATCTGCCTTTGAGACTGAAAGAAAGAAAAGACAGATAATCATTTTGAAATTTTTATGAAATAAAAGAACTTTATAGGAAAGTTTTCCCAGATCAAAATTATTAATAATGTTGTTGCATTGTGTCATCATTATTAACCTCTTTATGCATTGTTTTTATCCTAACAGATAACAATGATAAGAAATCAGGGTAAGTGACTTTTTCAATGATGTAGCTTCTTTTCGGAGTAATTCTATAATATTCCTATAAAAGGCATAAAGCAGAGACTATTTCATGTACATCATACTTACTATAAAATTACATATATATTATATATATGTATGAATGATCCATCCTTTTCTTTTAAACACTGCTCTAATTTGATTTTAAAAATGTTTTTGAATATACCTTCTGCATTAGATCCAAATCTCCTCTGGTGTTCAGGAATACCATAGAACTCCTAGCCTAAGTGAGCAGAGGAAAAGTTAGACGAGGATGATTTCATGGACACTAAGAAATCTCCAAACCCCATATTCTTCCCATAGGCAAATAATAGAAAACTAAAATTTAATCATTAGATATTTTTCCTTAGCTTATGAATTTAAATTCTCATAAACAGCTATCAACTAAATGCCACTGTTTGGTGTGGAAGCAGGATTAGATGGGGTCTAATTGAGAAAGCAGAAGAGAGGCACCAGGGGAGTTCCTGACATGGAGGTGGCAAAACGGGGAGGGCTTTGGGGGTTTCTGAAATCCTAAGTCTTCTTCATGGCAGTGGGAGGCAGTGAAGTGGAAGAGTTAGCTCTGGGCTAGAAGAGGTCGGGTCAGCCTGGTCCTCCAAGAAACACACTTCACTCCCTGGTTGGAAAAGAGAAAATGGTGGGAATGTTGTTGAATGACAAAGAAAAGATGAGCAGGAAGCTGAGGGAGTTCTTTTGTTTTTAGAGGAGGTGAGTGTAGAATGTGAAGATCACAGTAACAGCTTGACAAAGCTGCGGCTGAGAGGAACGAGAGTGATCTCGTCCACGGATGGAGTTCAGCACTGGGGGTCAAGATGGAGAGCACGTGTTCATTCACTCACTCATTTCACAAAAATTAATTGAATGCCTGTAAGGTGTTAGGCACTGTTGTAGGTGCTGAGGATACAGAAAAGATCCAAATAGGCAAAAAGCTTTGCATTTGAGGATGGCAGTTTAGTAAGAGAGAATGAACACCACAAATAAATAAAACACATAACATGGTAGTTAGTGATAACCTCTCACTCGCTTTCTGAGAGGAAAAGAAAAGCAAACGTGGAAATTAAAATATGAAATGTATGTATGTGTGAGGGAGAAGGGTTGACAATTAAGAGACATTGGCCAGGGAAGGTCCTGTTGTGGTGACTTTGGAAGGAATGACTGATTGATATAAGGTATCTGTATCATGTAGATATCTGAAGAAAGAACATTTTAGGAGAAAGAATAGCAAACATAAACATCCAGAGGCGGGAAGACATTTGGCATAGATAAAATTGAGCAAGAGGCCAGGTGACTAGAGTACTAAGAATTGAAATGGAGTAGGAGACGGGATCAGAGAGCCAATGGGGCCAGATCATGGCCTTGGATGAGATCTCCATAAGGATTTAAGATTCCACCCTGGGTTGATAGGGAAGATGAGGGCAGCCAAGAGATAGGATCACATGTGTTGACTTTAGTTCACAAGTGGTGAGGGGTCTCTAGCAGGCCCGGCAGCCTGTCTTAAGGAGGGGACGAGTAAATAGCAGGATGGAGGCAGAGATAGACTTGAGGGAAAGGATTGAGGGTGATGGTGAGGATGTGGTTCAGAGGCCAGGCAGTGGGACTTGCGATGCCTGGGGAAGGAAGCGAAATCTTGGTGGGGTTTAGTGATGGTAAGTAACTGGAGTGTTTAAGGGACTGCAGAACTAATTGAGGTTGACAAATAGCCGAGGAAGGAGGTAAAAAGTGAGAAAACAAGATGTATGAACTGTCACAGAGTGATAGTGGAGTGAAGTATGTCAGAAGCATGGTAGTTTCACGGTCCAGGGTATGTACGTGGAATGGGTGACTTCAGTGAAGTGCAGACCCTTGGAGCCCAGGAAACTAAAGGCAAGTTAAGCATGACCTTATGAGAAAGGAAATGAATAACGATACTAAGGAAATTCAATCTTATGGAAATTGTGGAAGTGTTCTCAAAATTTCCATTATGCCAGTAAGCACTATTTAATGTAGTTGTTAAGATTTTAAGTGCTAAAAGGAAGCTTTAACATCAGCTAATCCAACCTCTTCAATTTATCCTTAAGGAAACGTAGGCATCAATAGGTGGAGGGTCATGACGGAAGGAAAATGGTTTATATCTTAGTATAATTGGGAGCGCTGAGGCCTTTTTACTTTCTCTCAATACCTCTCAGAAAAACCTCTGTGAATCTCTACTGAAATCTCTAGAAGAATGAAAGGTTATTTTTAACATAACCAGATTTGACTGGAATTTCCTAATCCCTGGGAATGTTTTTTTCTTGCTAAAGAATGGCTCACACCTGGGGAGAATTTCTCATTGTTTTGAAAAAGATGATCATTAAATTTCTATTTTCTTCTCAGGTTACAAGAAAAGAAAGGTGAAGGCACCAAAGTTGGCTTCTTTCAACTGGTAATAAAACTGTACTGATTTATGGCACTGGGTTTGCCACTGTGAATTGTTCAGACCCTAGAGGAAATGCTACGTCTTTAGTTATACTGGCAGATTTTTAACTACAGAGATAACTTATGCAGTCATAAGCTTTACCTATATGATAGCATGCTGAATAGTGATCAGAAATATGTTACCGATTGAACAAATCCACAAAGTCTCCTGGGAAATAATCACAGAACTCATAATTATCATTTTAGTAAGGAAAATCATCACAGTAGCATCATATATATTTATTCTTATGACAAGTCTTTTGAAATTTTATAACTTAGGTATTTACCCAAATTTGCACCAGATAGACAAGCATTTCTAGGCATGGGGTAGGCACTCTCCATTCTTGTTATCAGTTCTGTGAGCCAATTTGTGCCATTGCTACATGCACCACATGGTATATCTACCTGGCAATGGCATCTGTGGTAGTGGTTAGTTCCCCCTTATGCTGCAGATGAATAGCAGAACACTAAAGTCAGCTCCTGAGATAAAGAGAATAAATTCAGTGATTAGGAAAAAAGAAGATGATCTAACAATATACGAGACTCAAGTGTTAAATAATCGATGTACAATTTATTTTGATATGATTAGTATGAACTCGGCCACTTAATTAAGATGATTCACATAAAATCTGGTATTGAGTATACTTACCAGAATCTAGTAACAAAAATTAAGTAGTCCTCCTTCCTCTCCTACCTTTTATCCATAGATGATCCCTAACCCTAATCCTTTGTTTTTCAAGTTTCGATTTTCTTCATCAACTGACATTTGGCTGATATTGGTGGGAAGTTTATGTGCATTTCTCCATGGACTAGCCCAGCCGGGCATGGTTTTTATGTTTGGTGAGATGACAGATGTTTTTATTGACTATGACATTGAAATACAAGAACTCAAGATTCCAGGAAAAGCATGTGTGAATAACACCATAGTATGGATCAACAGTTCCCTCAACCAGAGTGTGACAAATGGAACACGTTGTGGGTAGGCTATTTTTAATTTTTCTTATGTCTTGAATTATAATTCAAAATGTATGAATGGGCCCATATTGGCTGATGTGGAGAGGCATCTAACACAGAACAGACATATTAATTTGCCCGTATTTCTAGAAATTACTCTCCCTTGAAGCTCTTTCCAACTTATGAGAAAGGAAATGAATAACAATACTAAGGGAATTCGATCTTATGGAAATTGTGCAAGTGTCCTCAAATTTTCCATTATGCCAATAAGCACTATTTTATGTAGTTGTTAAGATTTTAACAACTTCTAAATATAAAACTTAACAGAAACAGAATTGGAAATAATTTTTCAAATACAGTGGTAAAGGTTAACTGTTTTGTTGACTGTGTGCTTAAATATGACACTATCAATACTTAATCCACAAGGGAGAAGAATTTCACTTTGGAATCTCAAATCAAGAGCACCCACCCCAATTCCCTTTTGCCCCTTAGTTTTAGGGCTGTGGCTAAGGACTAATACGAATAATGAGCATGCTGTGTTGGAGTAGAGAGTCCTTGGTCACAGTAGTTGAGTGTCCACGGAAGAGTGGTGTGGTGCTGTGATTGGAAGGTAGCTATGCAGAAATAGCCAGAACTCAGCCAGGTGCAGTAACTGTGCTACTGTTCTCTGTGATAAGCCTGACAGGCCACCTGGTAATCAGTGAGTCAGTAGTGCACGTGGGCTGACTCATTGTCACAGTATGGACTTTGCGTCCTGCCTCATGCTGCCTCAGGTTCAGGACATACTCATTTGCACGTATAAATCCATATACTCAGGTTCAAGAATCAAGGGCAGGGCACACCCTGCCTAGACACACACTTGGAATGACTCCCTCAAAAGAATTTCTATTTCACATCTTCATTTTTGAAATTTTCTACAAGCTTGATTCCGACTATGAGTAAGTTTTGCAAAATCACTGATACTCTTCAGTGATTTTTCTACTTTGAGGGTTTTTCATTCACTTACTCATTCAACCAAAATCTTTGGAACACCAACTATTGTACCAGGAAATGGTGGAAGCATCAAGGACACAGTTACCTTAGAAGTCATTGTCCTCATCTTGGCGACCTTAGGTCTAGCCAGCCAGACTATCATTCAATCATTCATAAATATGTAGTTTCAGACTGGTAGGTGCTGAATGGTGAAAAAGCACAAGATAACACACAATTGGCAGAATTACCCTTGAAAAATGAACACACCAACTCATAAGAAATAAATTTGCTAGTGTCTAAATATATTTGTTTTCTTTTCTAAACTTAGAAGTTTCTTTCCATCTGAAAGACTCGGAGCAGTTTGTTTAACAGAATTTGAGTGCAATGACAGTCTTTTTAAATGCTTAATTTTTGTTGGAGGACAGAAATGAACTACTTTTTACAGAGTGGTATGACCACAAAATGTAAAGTTAATCTTTCTCCCCATGTATGATGTAAATTGACTCAAACCATTAATAACATTAATAAATTAACTATCATGAAGATATTTTTTTCAAGGAAAAATTCCAGTGAGTATATCCTGTTATGCCTTAAAAATTGAAAGTAAATTCTTGACTATTATTATTATTTATGGTACTGGGGATTGAGTACAGGGCTTCTTACATGTTAGGCAAGCATTCCTCCACTGAGCTCCATTCCCAGCCCCAGAGAATAAATGTTTAAGAGCTCAAAATTTGAGGCCTTTCCATGATAATAGGTGTTCATAAATATTTGTTAGATGAATTAAAGAATGAATCTACATTTCATGTTTGTATCAGGCATCTGTTAGAAAGGAATTTTCTGTGGCTCATGCTCCTTTTACTCATTCTTACTGTGACCCCTGGGAATTTTCAGCAGAACATTGGCTTTGGCTGAATTCATATGATGCCAAGCATGTAAATGAACATTTACCCTTTAGTTTTTTTTAGAAAATTTCATACAGATATCTGAAACTGTGTAGAGCATTCCTTTCTTAGGCCATTGGGTTACCAGGAGTTCTGATAAGTTAAATACTTTCATTGTGAGTTATTTATGGTCACTAACATGAGTACTGTTTCTTGTATTTCTGAATAACATGTTTATTTAGCTTTTATGTACTAAGATCACTGTGAAAATGGAGTTAGATGGGACAGAGGACAAGGGAGAGAACATTTCCCATCTGTGAGTAGTTAATATGACTCCAATGTCCCCCAATTTCCTTTTCAAGTTTCTTTCTTGGAAAAAAAGATATCATTAAGGATACAATTTCTCTACCCCTTATAGTAGAGGTATTAGACTTGGAATCTACAAGACAACTCATTAATTTTAGCAACGTAAGGATGCATGATAATTGTAGGAGCTAGTTTTACTCTTCTTTATGTTGTTTTCCACATATCTCTAGTAATCTGTTGGATGGAATTTTTAATTTAAATTCTTATAATGGCTTTCAGTGAGTGACACTGATAAGGATTACAGAACAGCAGGCTCCTGATTAGCTTATCAGAATTTCTGCTCAGAATAGTAAATAAGTAAAAGAATGAAAGCAGATGAAAGAATAGGAAATTAAAACATCATAATACAATTTTATTTTACCCAAATAAGTATAAATAAATGGAAGCAACAAAGTCTTTTTAACTCAATCATGGAAGAAGCATACTATAATTTCTGTGATAATCTATTGGTCACATAGATCAATTCCAGTACAGTTTTGGAAGGACTTTATAAGAATGTGACTACCTAAAGAGAAGAATCTCTGGGGTCCCACTGGAGGCTGACCCTTGCCACCACTGGGAAGCTTGCCCCAACTATGGATGCATGAAGTTGGAAATCTGAGGATGTATTTTCACTTGAGTGTATTTTCTTAGTAACATACGTTCAACTTAGTCATGTAAGCACTACTTTGAAGTTAGATGCTTTAAAACTACAAACTTTTAAAAAATTAGCTTTTTTGAGATATGATTCATATACCAAAAACTTCAACCAATTAAAGTGTGCAGTACAATGGCTTTAAGTATAGTCACAGAGTTGTATACCCATGCCACAATCAATTTTAGAACATTTTCCTTACCACAAAGAAATCTTATACCCTTACCTATATAGATTCCCTTAATTCCCATTCATATCATTCCTGGGCAATGCTAATCTTCTTTCTATCTCTGTAGATTTTCTTATTCTGGACATTTCCTATAAATGAAATTGTATAATATGTGGTCTTTTATGTGTAGCTGACTCCATTAATGTAGCATGGGAACAAAAATGTTTTCAAATTTTATCTATGTTGTAGCATGGACCAGTGTGTCATTTATTTTTATTGTTGAATAATATTTCATTATGTGAACATAATATGTTTTATTTATCCATTTGTCAGTCCATGGGTATTTGAGTTGTTCCCACTCTTTGGCTATTACAAATAACGCAGCTATGAACATTTGTGTGAAAATTCTTGTGTGGACATATGTTTTCATTTCTGTTAGATAAATACCTAAGAATAGAATTGCTGGATCATGTGGTAACTACATGTTTAATCATAGGAAGAACTATAAGGCTGGGTTACAGAGTGGCTATACCATTTGCATTCTCCCTAGTGGTATATAAGGAGCCCAATTTTTTCACATCCTCACTCACATTTGTTACATGTTATCTACATTTTGATAATAGCTCTAGGAGGCTGAATAATGGTTCCTAAGGAGATCTAGACCTTAGTCCCTGGAACTTGTGAATATTACCCTATACAGAAAAAGAATCAATAAAGATGTGTTTAAATTAAGGATCTTGGGATAGATGAGTTCATCCTGGATTATCCGGGTGAGCTCTAAATGCACCCATAGTTGCTTTTAACAGGGACAATTACCAAGAGAGAGGCAGAGGGCAATTTGACTGTAGAGAGAAGAGGAGAGGCAGGGTGACTATAGAGGAAGACAGTGTAATGATGTTACACCCAAGGAATGTCAGCTAATACCAAAAGCTAGAAGTGGTAAGGAAGAGATTCTCTCCAGGAGCCTTTGGAGATGGCACAACTCTGGCATAACTTGCTTTTGGCTCAGTGAAGCTGACTTCTGATTTCTGTTTTCCATAAATATAAGGGAACAAATTTTCTCTTGTGTTAAGCCATCAAGTTTGTGGTGATCTGTTACAGCTGTCATAGGAAACTGATACAGTAACTCACCTAGTGAGTGTGCAGTAGTATTTCCTTCTGGTTTTCATTTGCACTTCCCTAAAGGCTAGTGATGTCAGACATCTCTTGAGGTGCTTATTTGTCATATTTATATCTTCTTTGGAACATGACTATTCAGATCTTTTGCCCTGTTTAAAATTGGCTTATGTCTTTTTATTACTGAGTCATGAGGTTCTTTAGATATTCTAGATACAAGTCTCTTATCAAATACTGGATTTTTAGAAGACTCTCCTCATTCTTTGAGTTATCTTCAATCTCTTGATGTCCATCTTCTACATTTTAAATTTTGGTGACATCTACTTCATTTTTCCCTTTTATTATTTTGTTGCTTCTGCTTTTGTCATCATATCTAAGAAATCATTGTCAAATCCAAAGTCAGAAAGACTTAAATCTACATTTTCTTTTAAGGGTTTTATAATTTTGCTCTCATATTTAGATCTGTGATTCATTTTGAGTCAATTTTGCTGTGTGATGTGAGGTATGGGTCCCACGATTCCTTTCCACATAGTCAGTTATCACTGCGTGGGTTTTTTTTTTTTTTAAGACTCTCTTTTCTTGTTTTCTTTCCTCCCCTTTCCTTCTTGCGTCTGCCCTTCTCCTCCCCCCTTTCTCTTCTTCCCTCCCTCCTTCACCCCCTCCATCCTTCTTTCTTTCTTTACCATTGAATAGTCTCAGAACCCTTATCAAAATAAATGTACTATAAACATATGTTTATTTTGGAGATCTGAATTTTATGCCATCCATCTATATATCTATATTTTAAAAATTTATTCTAATTAGTTATACATGACAGCAGAATGCATTTCAACTCATTGTGCACAAATGGAGCATAACTTCTCATTTCTCTAGCTTTACATGATGCAGAGTCACACAGTTCATGCATTCATACATGTACATCCTTCCCAACCCACACCCCCACCCCTCTTCTCACTCCCCTCAGCCCATCCAAAGTTCCTCCATTCTTCCCTAGGCACCCCCAACCCCCATATTAATCAGCATCCACATATCAGAGAAAACATTTGGCCTTTGATATTTTGGGATTGACTTATTTTGCTTAGCATGATATTCTCCAACTCTATCCATCTACCTGCAAATGCCATAATTTCATTCTTCTTTAAGGCTGATATATATATATCACATTTTCTTTATCCATTCATCTGTTGAAGGGCACCTAGGTTGGTTCCATAGTTTACTGTGAATTGAGCTGCTATAAACTTTGATGTGGCTTCATCATCGTAGTATGCTGATTTTAATTCCTTTAGGTATAAACCGAGAAGTGGGATAGCTGGGTCAAATGGTGGTTCCATTCCAAGTTTTCTAAGGAATCTCCATACTGCTTTCTAGAGTGGTTGCACCAATTTGCAGTCCCACCAGCAACGCATGAATGTACCTTTTTCCCCACATCCTCGCCAACATTTATTGTTACTTGTATTATTGAGAATTTCCATTCTGACTGGAGTTAAATGAAATCTTAGAGTAGTTTTTATTTGCATTTCACTAATTGCTAGAGATGTTAAGCATTTTTTCATATACTTGTTGACCATTCATATTTCTTCTTCTGTGAAGTGCCTGTTCAGTTACTTAGCCCATTTACAGATTGGGATTTCCTTCCTTCCTTCCTTCCTTCCTTCCTTCCTTCCTTCCTTCCTTTCTTTTCTGGTGTTGTTTTGGAGTTCTTTATATATCCTGGAGATTAGTGATCTATCTGATGTGCATGTGGTAAAGATTTTCTCCCATTCTGTAGGCTTTCTTTTAATGTTATTGATGATTGTTTCCTTTCCTGAGAAGAACCTTTTTAGTTTGACTTCATCCCTCTTATTGATTCTTGATGTCACATTTTCTTCATTGAGCCATTGTTAGACATTTAGGTTGATTAATTTTTTATAGATACAAGATTATTTTAAAATCATGTGAAAAGAGAAAAGAGCTAAAGTAACTAAGACAGTTTTTTTTTTTAAAGGAACAATAAAATGGAAGGAATCTGTCTACCTGATCTCAAGGTATATTATGTAACTACTATAATCAAGACTATGTGGTATTGACAGAAGGCAGACATACAGATCAGTTGAATAGAACAGAGAGCCCAGAAATAGATTCACACACTTACATCTGATTTTTGACAAAGGTAGAAAAAGCAGTTCATTGGAATAAACTTCTTATCACATGATAGTCAAGCAATTGGATATCCATAGTTTAAAAAAATGCACCCATATGAAAGCTCAAGAAGATCTTGGACCCAGATATTTTTTAAAGTGTCAATTTTTAGAAAAATATATAGGAGACCACTTCATGTTCTGGGATAACCAAAGAGTTCTTAGACTTAAAACCGAAAGCAAAACTCATAAAAGAAAAAATCAATACTTTCCATTAGGGATTTCACATTAAAATTAAAAACTTTGATCTGCAAAAGACCTGTAGAATGGTGAAAAGACACAAAACAGAATGAGAGACATATTTACCTATTATATGTAGAACAAAAAGACTAGAGTCTAGAAGACATCAAGAATTTTCAAAACTCAATGTTAAGAACAACCAAACTCCAATTAGAAGATGGGAAAAAGACATTTTACTAAGGCTGTGAAGATGGCAAATGAGCACATGAAAAAAAATGTTCGATATTATTAGTTAGGGGAAAACAAAATAAAAATGAGATATCACTATACAACTACCAGAATGGCTAAAATAAAAAAAAGTGAAAACTCCTGAATGAGGATGAAAAATAGTTTCTTGTGGGGAAAGCTGTCATTCTCTGAAATAAACATCTAGCTAGTGGTAAGTGTGCAACCAGTTCACATGAATGTTCTATAAAGTAACTTTGCCCAAAGGTAAGTTATTTGTCTATCGGTAAGTGTCCTATTTATTTAGGAATGCAGAGCCACCAAGGTTCTGAAACCAGGACTTGGACACACTTCTGCCATCTCATAGCACTTGGCCTGCAGTTGGTGCTGATAATGGGTAGCACCAACTCCTGGGGATTAGTCTACAGTGCAGGCAGGAGACCATTGGCTTTCTAGGTTCCCCTAGTTTCCATAATAATCTGGAGATGTGATTTGAGTTTTACCTGCTTTAGAGATTGTCAGAGGAGTTGACCGTGGCAGTTATTTTCTTCTTTATTAGTATTTTAAAAGTCAAAGTAAAATCAAGATGCATTTACTGATTACCTACTTTATATAGATATTGTACCACACTTTGAGAAGAGTGCCCAAACAGTATAAAACCAGCCTTTACCTCAAGTAGACTGCAATTTACTAGCAAGAAAAATACGAATATACTCCATATAAATATATGGAATACAGTAAAGAAAAACAAAATGTAAATTTTTTTTCTCTTTCATTGTTAAAGTCTTGCCAAACTACATTTCAACCCCAATTCTGCAAATGTGAATCAAAAGCATATTCTATATTTGAGAGATAGAAGAGCTAGGTTTACTTAACCCTTCCCTGTTAAGGAAGAAAAATATTTTATTTTATTTTTTACCTTCTATAGAATATTGCTGCCAGATGGCAATAAAACTTGTGAAACAAGTTTGTTCTATATTAAGTAAATTATTTGGTCTGAGTTCTCTAAGGGGAGAGAATAATTCAAGTTTGAGTCACAAGAAGGTCTGATAGAGAACAGGAATGGTGCAGGATGTTCATCCATGATGAAGATGCGCTTCTGCTTTTTGAAAGAAATCATCTATCATTTAACTTGTCTTAAAGGGTCAGCATGGTTATCAGCCAATATGTTGATTTTCTAATTGTAACATTCCTTATTTCCTGAAAGCAATTTTAGAATATTTTTTCCCCTCCCTTTCCTGGTCCTGCCAATCCCAAACCTTGTGCCATCACACGTAGTTCTGCTGGGGAAAATGCAAAGCGCTTTCTTGCTATTTCCTGCAAGTGCCTTTGGCTTCAACTTTAGAAACTGTCTTGAAAGGGAGCTTCTTGGGCTGTAGTCAGCAAGAAGACAGGGCAAAGAAAGGGCTTTTCTCCCCTTTGGAAAGATGACATGCACATTTTTCACAGTGTCACTCTGAGATGGAGAAATTGAAAAGCTGGCTTAGATTCCCACAGGAGGTAATGGTAAGCCTCTTGGTTTACAGCCCCCTTCATTCTATGTGTCTTTTTAGACAGTCTGTCAGACTTTCAACCTTTCTCTGGCTATGATTGCTCTATCACTGCATGTATATGAGTGGAAAGGTCCAAGGAGAAGGGAGCACAGGGCAACCATTCAGGGACCCCTCTCTTCTAGTAACTGCTGAAAGATCATTTACACTCTTAGCATCTCTGCTTATAGAAGTAAAGGGGATGAGCATATTTTCTGTGATTGGTACTATGAAATCTATTTAGAGTTTTGGTTGAATTGATAATAATTTTGCATAGATAAAATGCCTCACTCATTTAATAGAACTACATAGCACATATATTTCATATATTTTGTTTTAATTTTAATTTTATTTATTTTTTCAGTACTGGAGATTGAACTCAGGGCCACTCGGCCACTGAGCCACATCCCCAGCCCTGTTTTATATTTTATTTAGAGACAGGTTCTCACGGAGTTGCTTAGCGTCTCACCATTGCTGAGACTGGCTTTGAACTCGTGATCTTCCTGCCTTGGCCTCCCAAGCCGCTGGGATTATGGGCATGTGTCACCATGGCCAGCTATATATTTTAAATCCCTCTGTACATACAAATGTAACCCTTGGTAATTTCTTCCTACCTGTAAGTCTTAACATCTCTCCCACTCCCTCTTTTGAAGGTTGCTGGACATTGAAAATGAAATGATTTTTTTTGCCAGTTTCTATGCCATTACTGGTGCCGCAGTACTTCTCTTAGGCTATATTCAGGTTAGTAGCACCTCCATTTTATTTACTGATCAACATCTGGGCTCTTGACATTACATGAAATGCAGTGTTGACTTTAACCTTTAAGCTACTGGAAAACCATAAAAATAGCACTTCTGTGTTGGGAGGATGTGACAGAAAGCGGGTGGGATGCTTTTCTCAGGGAACAGAATCAGTTGTCCAGAAGGGGAGAGTAGACTTTTAGTTGCAATGTCTATTTCTCTTGCCCTTCACTACTTTATTCTCTCTCCTGAGCTCAGAAAGCACAGCTGTGGGTGTGTTTGTAGGAGAGAACTGAGTAGCCCGGAGAAAGCCAAGCAAGTGGAGGTAAAGGAAAGCACAGTGTAATTTCTTTTCCTCTGTCATTGTTGAAGTCTCATTAAATTGCATTCCAACCAGCATTCTGTAAATGTGAATTAAGTCATGGAAGGCCTAGGATTATTTAATTCTTCTTAAGGAAGAAAACTTTTCCATTTTTTGCCACCTTCTGCAGTTCCTGACCCCCTCCCCACCCCGTGTCCCAAACCCTCTCCAGGCGATGGACAACTATGTTATGATAGCTTATGTAGCCGAATGTGATAATATGCCGAATGCTACACGTAAACACTTGGCTACAAAAACTGCTCCCCTCCTCTCCAAATAAGTGCATTTACTTCCTGTATGTACTGACAGATGACCGCAATAATGAATGAGCAGTTAGAAACACATTATGCTTGAGATGTCTTAACCTATTCCCGAATGCCTTCTGTTTTCCAAAGGAGTGGTCAAGCCCTTGCCCAGCACTCTCTTATTCTGCAAGAGCGGGAGCCCATGAGGCTGGGCACTGGCCACTGAATCACAACAGGGCGCACTTTCCACTGGAGTCCACTTTCAATTGCTTCTGTGCAATAAAACCAAGTGCTTCTAAAATGAAAAAAAATATTAAATTCCTCTTCCAAGTTATTCAAGAATTCCAGATATTATTAGTTGTAAAGAGAATTGAACCCCATTTTTCTTCACTAGGAGATGTCTAACCGCAGATTAGCTTCCCTGCACGTTCCATCCTTTTCGTGTTACATGTCCTTAAAAATCATTGCATGAAACCTACATATGAATGCTTATCAGCATACCTGTTAGGGGGAAAATTCACCCAGAAGTAGTGTGCAAAGCCTGTGATTTTTAGAGCAACGATGTCTTGGTTTTGGTGCTATGAGCCTTATTTCACTCATGGAGAAAGTGAACATTTTTGATAGGGTGAAGTCTAGAAGTTAAGGGGTTGTTAATGTGTCAGAGTTGGATCCAAACCCAGATTTCTGGCCACACCCTCCAAAGTTGTTCTGCTCACCTCCACTTTTAGTCGCCGGTGCCAGAAATCACTCCTTAGGTTCCAAGAAGAGGCATTTTGTGAATTATTTCCCTTCTGTTTTCAACCATTACACGAAAAGTGTTATCTTCTGAAAAGAGAAGGAGTTAAATATTTGTAACATCGCCATGCTAAGCGTTCTTTTGTCCATTTTCAGGTGTGCTTTTGGGTCATTGCTGGAGCCCATCAGATACAGAAAATGAGAAAATTTTACTTTAGGAGAATAATGAGAATGGAAATCGGGTGGTTTGACTGCCATGCCGTGGGCGAGTTGAATACAAGATTCTCTGAGTAAGCTGCTGGTAGTGTCATGTTAAGTGTCATGTTTTTGATAATAAAACTTGTTTCTAAATTAAACAACAATTTGAAAATATCTTCAGTTAGATTGAATATATTTGCTCGTTAGGTTTGGCTTTCTTAGAAAGCCTGGCGTTTTTCATAGGCAATGCCTTTTAAATATGGTTATTAAACACTGAAGCTAGGTAACTTCAATTTGGGTTGTAGGCCCTTGATTAAAACATTAGAAATGAAGTATAATAGAAGAGTTTAAAGAAGTAGGTTTATTTGACCTCAGAAGGAGAAATGGAAGCAGGCTATTCTAATCTACACACCTATGGAAAATACAATTCGAAATTAATTATCTAAATAATTTCTGCACACAAAAAAACAAAGATAATTCCAAAAATAGTTTGAGAAGGGTTCAAACTGAAAACCAGATTTAAATTCAGTTTATGGGCTGGGAATGAAGCTCAGGGTAGAGCACTTGCTTAGTATGCAAGAGGCCCTGGGTGCAATCCCTAATACTGCAAATTGTAATCATCATCACCTCAACATAGCCAGTTTACATCCAAGTATAGCATAGTTTGGATCATTAATGGGCCCCCAGAATTTCTCAATGAGCCCTGAGTTAGAACCAGTTGAACCCTATTGAATTGGGTTGACCTTTGAGTTTCCATGAAAAACAATATTCAGAGAAAACAAAGCTAAAGTTTAGGCCCCTAGATTCTAGCACTTACTTAGTTACTTACTTACCGCTTACTTACTGTGATCTTGAACAGCTGGATGTTAAACTTGTTAGAATATGATGATCTAATCTCTGGGTATTCCTTAGGTTCTTTCTTGCTCTTAAGTCCCACTTAAGTCCCAAGCCCTCTTTTCTCCATGTGGATAAGAGGAACTTTATGTGACTGTCTTCCACCAATATTCTGAATGACTAGCCAAAGGAATAAGAGGAGAAAACAAATAAATACTCAGACTAACACATATTGGTGGCTTAGTATTTGAAAGGTACTGTTGTACATGCTTTTCGTATATTAGCTAATTTAATTCTCATTATTTGCCACTGTTACTATCCCCATTTTATAGATGAGAAAGCTTAAACACAAAAAGGGTAAAGTGATTTGTCCACAAACAGCTTGTGTTTAAATTCAGCCACATTTAGCCACTATTCACTGCTGCTTATTAACAGAATGCAGTAACTACATTCAAATAAACACAAAGCACGCAGATTAATCATATTTCCATGGAAACACAGGGAGGAAGATACTACTTCTTCCTGGGAATACCTAAAATTTATGACTGAGGTGGTATGTGAATAGACCTTTGAGGCTGAGAGGATTTATCAGACCTGAAGGGAAGGACTCTCCAGACAGGCCAGAGATATTAACTGCAAGAAAGAGAGACAAATAAGGTTGTTTCCAAAATTTATCATCAATGTCGAATGGATATCAGCTGGGAAATTGTGACCAAAGTTGGCTATGAGCAGAGAAGCTAGATCACATCCCAAGGTGCAGCAAATATTTTAAGATTTGAGCATCTGTTATACTACCTGAGGACAATGGTGGGCCAGAGATGGGTGTGTTTAGAAGAAAGTGAACTTCAGTGAGCCATGTGAGTTGGCCAAATTGTTTTAGTGATTCAAGTCTCTCTTGTTTCTAGTGATATTAATAAAATCAATGAAGCCATTGGTGACCAAATGGCCACATTCATTCAGCGCATGACCTCAGCCATCTGTGGGTTCCTATTGGGATTTTTAAGGGGTTGGAAACTGACCTTCGTTATTATTTCTGTCAGCCCTCTCATTGGGATTGGAGCAGGCATCATTGCTTTGGTAAGAATGTCTTTTTGATTTTCCTCCATGGGAAGACATTTGCACTCATAAACAAACCAAAATATGAAGCTTTTCTTCTTTGTTTAGTCGATATAATTATTGCTATTTTGATTTATTCCACAGCATCAAATAAATTTCATACATCAGGAATTAATGATATTTTAATAAGATAAATATTATTTTATTAATATCAAACAACTATATTTATTGAACATCAACTATTTTGCCAGGTATTATTAGGAGCTTCATATTTGTTATCTCTAATTCTTACTATAATTGTATAATGAAAGTACTAACACTGTTTTAAATATAAGAAACTGAAGCTCTAACAAGTAAAAGGACTTAACTGGGACTGTACAGCTTACAGAGCAGGATTTGAGTTCAAGGGAACCCCCTGATGCCAAATCCCCACCTACTCTCCAGTGTTCTTATTGCTCTCTATGTGCTCCAGAGATCAGATGATTCCCTTAAATATTACAAATATACCCAGATCAGTAAGGAACTCAACAAGATTTCTGTAATCAGAGCTGTGTTCTCCATTTCATCTCATCAGTCTCCGAGAGAGCTTGTCTGATCCATTCTGAGTGTTCTCTTACCATCTCTGTTTCTCAGCTTTTAAGGCTAAGACCAAATGTAGGAGTTTGGGGACACTCCAGTTAAAAATACTCCCAAGGATTTAGGCATTATTATTTTTTACTTTTAGAGCATCCACAATGGAAAGCAGGTCGTGGGTTCAGGCACACTAAACTTTGCTATCCATGAGAGTAGAATTTAAGTGAAAAGCTGCGTGACTTCTATACATCATTGAACAAAAGGAATCAATCTACCTGATATTTTCTAGCAAAATAGTCTTATAAGACACTGGATATATTATTTAATAAATTATATTATTTCACAGGTAATGTAGAAAATAGGCTGAAAGTGACAGTAGCAAAGAGCTCACTGCACTCCACTCTGTCACCCTCTGGTTTTCTTACTAACAAGTTTGTGTGACTCAAGAAAAACATTTAATTCATCAAAACCTGCTTATTCATCTTTAAAGTAGGATAATATGATGATTATGAATATAATCACATATAAAGTAGGATCATATAATTGTGAATATGAATATCATGAATATCATCATGATGATTTAGGGTATTATCCAAGTAACACACTGAAATACACTGTCTGGCACAGAATCCATTAGAGAAAATGTATTTTATCATTTTTTTTTAAACCCACTGCATCACACAAGCTTGACCACAGTCTTTCCTATGGAATACTTTCCAGCTGTGCTGCATTTGATTCAGCTTGTTTTTTTTTGCTTACATACGTTTAATCTCTTCCTTCAAACCTGTGATCAACTAATATACACATTCAAATAGATGATATGCCATGTTTTAGTGTGTTGGAAACTCAAAATGTTGTCTGGTTGACTTGGTCATGAACAGATTTAGGACTATAATCTGACTTGTTGTCTCAGTGCCCACATTCCAACTGCTCGTAAATGGGTTTGGAATGCTGTTGCGCCATTTCACTAGATCCAAAGTGAAGGCAAAAGAGGTAGAGATGGGCAATATATAATATGTTAGAAACTATTGTAAGTTTTGTATGCTTTTGTCAAGTTTTAACATTCAGGATGAGAAACATGAACAATTGTCATGTATTTCCAAATATAGATTTCTTAAGCTGCTGGGTGAATATATTTATGTATTGGCTATTTATTTATTTATTTTGTGGTGCTGAGGATCTATCCAGGGCCTTGTGCATACCAGGCAAGTGTTCTACCACTAAGCTGTATCCCCAGTCCCTCCTAGACCAGTTTAATTGAAGTTGTGCTGAGATTAATTTAATATTCTATTATTACATTCACAACTACTTAATTTTATCATTATTGTGCTGCAAATGCATATTTCAGGAATAAATTAGGTAAGGAGTATGATAAAACTACAATGTCATTCATAATGACCAAGTGCAAAATTTTAATGTTGATGAAAACAATTTTTCTATCCTTACTAATGCCTTTCCAAGTCATGAAGTTTTATAAACTGTGGACTGATAAAATAATAAATATATTGAAAAATATTTTTACTCATTTTGTATTTTAGAATCCTAATATTTTGTTTGATCATACTTTTGCTGCTGAAAGTTTGGGAAACTGCTGGAAAATAAACTCCCTTGCTCTGAGAATTACATATGTTTTTAGATTTCTGATATAGTGAATCTTCCACAATATGTGCTTTTCCTCCATGTTTCTTAATCTGTACAGGGATTTCTTTGAGAGTTAACTTTTACTAGGACTCAATCCAAGTCTAATTTTAGAAAAGGTAAGTTGTCTGTTACTAAGAACATATGTCTTTTCATTTCATTTTGTAAAAATAAAAAGTATAATTAAGCCCCTACAGTTAAGTCAAAATGATGTAACATTTATCTAAAGCTTTCTCCTCTGGAGCTACCTCTTCAGTGTTGTGCCTTTGAACTCTCTCACTCTATATTCCACATGGGCCTCTAGTCTTTGCTTCTCTGGTTTGTCTATAAATTGTGCAATGGTTTCTAACTAACAGAAATGAAATATGACCTGATTTGACTTGGGAACCTCATCAATATAATGAGTGGGACACTTTAGTGCTATAGAATGTCGCATTGGGGATTTACTCTGTGAGGGAGTTTTTGGAGTCATTTTGATATATCAAAAACCAAACACTCAAGGATGGGCTTAACATAAACCAAACTTGGACCAAATTCCTTCCTCCTGTGTTATGGTGGGAATCTAGTGGCATATTAAACCTGTCATGTGTTTACCTCTGTTAAATGAATCAATAAATGACAACCTGACTTCCTGTCTTACCTAATAGCCCATTCTTTTTTTGTACCAGGGATTGAACCCAGAGGTGTTTAACCATTGAGCCACATCCCAAGCCCCTTTTTATATTTTTTAAATTTAGAGACAGGATGTTGCTGAGTTGCTTAGGACCTCTCTATGTTGCTGAGGCTGGCTTTGAACTTGTGATCCTCCTGCCTCGACCTCCTGAGCCCCTGAGATCAGCACATTGCCCAGCTACCTAATAACCTACTCTTTATATTTTCTCTTCTTCTTTTGAACTTTAGAGTGTGGCCAAGTTTACAGACCTTGAGTTGAAGGCTTATGCCAAAGCAGGGTCAGTGGCTGATGAAGTAATTTCCTCTGTGCGAACTGTGGCTGCTTTTGGTGGTGAGGAAAAAGAGATCGAAAGGTTGGTTAATTGGAATGTCTATTATTTTCCTGAACTTCATCAATCTGCATAGTACCCTGACTTTTTCTCACTCTGTACAAAATGGCAGATCCATGGTCTGTACTGATCAAAAGAAACATTTGGTCAACAGGTAGCTTCACAGAATCATTCAGATTAGTCAAAGCACTACCAGAAGTCCAAAACCTTAATAATATATTTTTGAAAGTGTTGAAGTTGCTTATTCTCAGAAAGCCAGTTAAGGTCAGAAATTTATTTCAAACTCTGATGATATGTGTGCATATAGAGCATTTCATGCCATTCTGTATAATGCTGTTTGCTGCCATCAAAAAGAGTCTATATAAGACAGTACAATAAATCACAAAAATATAAGGGATCATAAGAATCTATATGAATAATTTTATGCCAACAAAATGGATAACCTAGAAAAAAATGGATAAATTCCCAGAAACATACTACCTACCAAGATGAAATCATAAAGAAATAGGAAACGGCAACAGACCATAATGAGTAAGGAAAGAATCAGTAATAAAGTCTCCCATCAAAGAGAAGTCCAGGACCTAGTGCATTTATTGTTGAATTTTAGAAAACATTTAAAGAAGAACTAATACCAATCCTTCAAAATCTCTTTGAAAAAACTAAAGAGGAGAGAATCATCAAACTTATTTCATAATGTCAGTGTCACCTTGATATCAAAGACAGACAAGGATACAAGTGAAAAAATGATAGGCCAATATCATTGATGAGCTTGGATGCAGAAATTCCCAACAAAATATTAGCAAACCAAATTTAGCGTCCTTCCCCTGATCAAGTGGAATTTATCCCTGGGATGCAAGGATGGCCCAACATATGCAAATTGTGATGCATCACACTAACAGAAAGAAAGGCAAAACTATACAATCATCTCAATAGATGCTGAAAAGTCATTTGACAACATCTAACATCTGTGCATGACACAAACTCTCAACAAATGAACCTCAACACAGTTCAGCTGTTTATTTCAATCCCATAGCTAACCATACTCCATAGTGTGAAAGCTTTTCCTTGAAGGTCAAGAACAAGATAAGGGTGACCACTCTTGCCACTTTTATTAGCCAGAGCGATTAGTATAGAGAAAGAATGGAAAGACATTTAAATAGAAAGGAAAAAGGGAAGAGGTCTTTGCTTTCAGATGACACAGTACATAGATAAAACCCTGAAGATTTTACCTAAATACTGTTAAATGAAATGAACAAATCCAGTAAAGTTGCTGGATACAAAATCAGTATACAAAACACAGTAGTGTTTCTGTACCCTAACAATGAACTATCAGAAAAAAGAAATTAAGAAAATAATCCTATCTGTAATAGGTACAAAATTTAAAATACTTAGGAATAAATTTAACCAAGGCGAAGAAAGATCTGTACACTGAAAACTATATAACATTAATAAAAGGAATTAAAGAAAGTACAAACAAATGAAAAGATATCCTATGTTCGTGGATTAGAAGAATTGAATATTGTTAAAATCTCCATATTTCCTAAAGCAATCTACAGAATTGATCTGATCCCTGTCAAAATTCCAATGACATTTTCCATGGAAATAGAAAAAAAATTCTAAAATTCATACATAACCACAAAATATCTCAGACAGCAAAAACAGACTTGAGCAAAGGAACAAATTTGAAGGTATCACCTTTATCTGATCTCAAACTCTTGCTACATTTAATCATCAACACAGAATGGTACTGGCTTAAAAATAGACACATAGAGCAATGGAACAGATAAAGAGCCCCAAAATAAATCCACACATTGACCTTCAATTAACTTAGTTTTGATAGAGTCCCAAAACACACAATGATGAAAGGGCAGTCTCTTTAATAAATGGTGTGGGAAAATTTAATATTCATTTGCAGAAGAAAATTTAATATTCCTTTGCATACTATATATGATAATCAACCTAAAATGGATTAAAATTTAAATTTAAGGCCCAAGACTATGAAACTTCTAGAAGAAAACCTGGATTACATTAAATTAAAAAGCTTCTGCTCAGCAGCGGGGCTAAACCCCTAACAAAGTGACAGCTTACATAATGGAAGAAAATATATGCAAACTATACATCTGACAAAGAGTTGATTTCCAGAATATGTAAGGAACTTAAAAACTCAATAGCAAAGTAAACAAATTGGAAAAAAACCCACAACTAGAACAAATAACCCAGATTAAAACTTTTTCACCAAAGAAAAAAATCCTCTTCTGTTTATTAGTGATGTTCAGCATTATTAATATTCCTCGAAAAATTAAAAATAGAACAACCATATGCTCTGATAATCCTACCACCGACTATGAATCCAAAGGAAATGAAATCTATGTCAAAGAAACATCTGCATTCCCATGTCTGTTGAGCACCAGTCACAAGAGCTAAGAAATGGAAATAGTCAATCCATCAACTGATGAATTGATAAAGAAAATGTGGTACATATACACAAAGGAACACTATTTAGCAGAAAAAGAACAAAACCCAGTCATTCACAATGACATGAATAGAATCGAAGATTACTATGTTGAGGAAAATAATCCAGACACAGAAAGACAAGTACCACATCATCTCACTCAAGTGGAATATAAAATAAAGTTGATCTCATAGAAGTTGGGAGTTGAAAAGTGGTTACCAGAGGATGGGGAGTGGAGAGAGGATGGAGAAAAGTTGATCAACTTTACATTGAAAGTTTTAAACAGACTTTAAATAATTGCAAAGGTCATTGTGGATTTTTTTTTCCCTAAAGCTTCTCTATGTTTGGGGTGGTTTTATGATGATTGAGTAAAACCACTGCATTGTGGCCTGTTTTAAATATTATAACTTGAGCTATATCTGCTGATATGACCTCAAACATTTTCTCTTCACAGATATGAGAAAAATCTTGTGTTTGCCCAGCGCTGGGGAATTAGAAAAGGGATAGTGATGGGATTCTTCACTGGATACATGTGGTGTCTCATCTTTTTTTGTTATGCGCTGGCCTTCTGGTACGGCTCCAAACTCATCCTGGATGAAGGAGAATACACACCAGGAACTCTTGTCCAGGTACTTTGAACTCGTTGATCTAGATGTAACGTTTCCTGCTGGAATCTCAGAAAGGTCCATGGATTACACGTGTGGTTTATTCCTTTAGTGTCTGAGGGAGGAAAGAAATCAATGATCTGACCGAGTCTATCTGCAGAAAAACAATACTTAGGCATTCCAGAGTGAAGAGCTGCTGAGCATTTGGATTGATTAGATTTAATGATTTCTAATTAACTAAAACTATTATAGCTATAAATTGATGGTTTTCTGCCTGAGTCCAAATGATAGTATGCCAAGAAAATGGAAAGTCAGTGATCCTCAGTTAAAAATTAACAGATCACATGATTTAATTTAATTACAGTGCAAGCTCTGTACCTAATGGCCATATTTGTGAAACATAATGAGTTATGTATAGAGTCAATAATATCCTCAACTGAGCAGACAATACAAACAGACTTTATTGTTCACTTGTGCTGTGTCATGCCATTACTAATGCCATAGCCACTTTAACTTTCAGTGTCCTTTCCGTTAGTTATTCATTCACTAAGTACTTATTGAGCATCTACTGTATGCCAGAGCCATCCAAAGTTCAGAGGATTCAATAGTGAGCAAAAGAAATGTTTTGTGGGTTTTTTTTTTTGTGTATGTGTTTTGTTTTGTTGTAGCTTGGTAGGATTCACAGTTTAATGGGAAAGACAAGGAATAATTAAATAATCGTGTAAGTGCATAATGGCAAATGGCAACATGAGCTTCAGAGGACAAGGAATCGTGAGAGTGAATAGCAGGGTGACCAGTGTGGCTGGGGTCAGGGAGGGCTTCCCATCCTGTTTCCTCTCCCATGGTCTTTCCTCCTTAGTGGTGGTCTGCACTGGCCCCCTGGATTCTCAGCTGAATGGCACTTTCCCACTTGGCCTTCCATCCCCATCCAGTCTGTCATTCTTTCTCATGGCATTTGCAGCTTTTCTTCAGAGCACTTGTCTCACATGGAGCATTTGCGCTTATTTACATGTGTCCTCACCCCTTTCTGCCCTCAGACAGTAAAGTCTATGAGGTAATTGAAGTAAAAATAGAATACTTGTTTTATTTGAGCTCGCAGGGAGATGGGAAATCACTTCATATAAGATTCTTAAATAATGCCAGGTACAGTGGTGCACACCTGTAATCCTAGCTAGTCAGAGGCTGAGGCAGGAGGGTTGTGAGTTCAAAGCCAGTCTGGGCAAAATAGCTAGACCCATCCCAAACAAAAGAAGGCAAAACAACAACAACAAAAACAAACAAACAAACAAAAGATTCCTAAATAAAATGTTTGGGCTGCAGATTCTGGATGGAACAGGTACAATTAAACTACAAAATATATCAAAATCATGTATTTTTCAGCTATAAATATAGCTAAAAGGGCTGGGGATATACCTCAGTTGGTAGAGTGCTTGCCTTGCATGCACAAGGCCTTGGGTTCAATCCTCAGCACCACATGTGTGTGTGTGTGTGTGCGCGTGCGCACACACACACACACACACACATTTATCTGAAAGCTTATAGTTTGAGATCTACTTTTTTAATATAAATATATTTTTAAGGAAAATTGAATAAGATTTTTATTTACAAATAGCAATGATTAGGGCTGGGATGTAGCTCAGTGGTAGAGGACCTGCTTAGCATACTTGAGGCCTCCAGTTTAATCTCCAACACCACCAACAAACAAATGATTGACTTTATTTCATTAAGAGCATCATAATACACTAAAAATATGAACATCTGGCATGTCATTGAGCTTAGTTTAAAAAATTAAATACGATAATACATATTAAAATGTTTTATGAACTTTAAAAGGGAAAGTATTACTATTCCTTACAACTTAGACATAGTTTTGTACATTAGAAAAGTGAAAATATTGAAGGTATGAAATCTCACTCTAAAGTCCTTTGTCTTTATCGATCCAAATGCTTCTAAAAGCTCTTGACATTTACCAAACCAGGGATACCAGTAGGTGGCTTTAGCCTCAGCTGCTTCTATCTGCTCACTCTGTAGAAAGGCCCGCACAGAGAAAGCCCTCCTTCATTTCATTCCATGCGTACAATGAGAGGGCAGAGGAATGCACCAATGACAGTTCAGAGGGGAAATGAATTGATAAATTGAAAATTGAATAATACACAATTCCAGTTGGAAGCACTGAATAAAAAGCCCCCTGGTAACTCTCTCTAGCGAGAATCCAGTTTTATGGTTCTGATCTTTAACTCTCCTGCCAGTTGGACTATGGGCTACTTTAGATTTTCTGTGAATAATTCATTCTTTTACTGAGTATTTCTTAAGTACTTACTGTGTGAGGACATGACATACTATGTTTCTCTAACATTTTAATCATCAATTATGAACTACTTACTTCTAACCTATTCCTCTGAGCCTCTGCCTAAGGAAGTGCCTCTTTTGGAAGAGGAGAGTCATCCTTTAGCAGTAGAATCCTCTCTCTCTTACACACACACAGTTTTTTGTCATACTTTTAAGAAGCAAACTATGAAGATTAAGTACTCTAGAGCTGAGTTGAATGTTTTAATCAATCAACTAATTTACAATTAGGTTAATCTAGCATATTTTGTGATACACAAAATCATTACTGTTTACATGGTAATTGGGCATAAATGGTAAGTGGTTCACATAAGTGACTGTAATTAGTATCACTTATATTTAGACAAAAATCTACTCTGTAATCTCTTAGGAAAGAATGTTGGGCAACTGAATGGGGCAAAAGGTCTCTCAAGTTTCAGGTTTCAATGATAAAAACAATTACAGTAATAGAAAGTCCCATCCACTCAGCGTGCGCACGGTGTCAAGCACTGAGTGAGGTATTTCATATATTACCACAGGTCATACAGCTGTATTCTGTAATTGGCGTCATTATACTATCACTTCAAAAATAAAGGGGAGGCCACGAAGTAAAAAAATATGTGCCAAATGGTATAGAGCATGACTTGAACTCAGGTCTCTGTGACTCCATGGAACCACTGTTTTCCTGCCTCCAGATCTATCTTCTAGGGAACCACAGGCCCCCTTCCTCCAGCACAGCCTACACACATTGTTCTGCAGCTGTCTCTTTTCCCACTGTTCTGTCCACAGGGTTAAAGGGTATGATATTTGGGGTGAAAAAATGCTGCTCTATTGGGATGCGTTGTCTACTGTGACAGTTTGGGGCACATGCATCCGTCCTGTGTCATGCACTCTCCTCCTAAGAACCTCCAGGAAGACACTTGCATGAAGCCACAGCTTGCAAAGCCAGGATGAGCAAGAGTTTGACTCCAAACCTCAATTTAAGCCTCCAATGAGTTAGAAAAACACATCCCTCAGGTCAAATCCAGTCCACCACCTGTTTTTACAAAGTGTTTTATTGGGACATAGCCACAGGCATTTATTCCATATTATTTATGGCTGCTTTTGTACTGCATGGTGGAGTTGAGTAATTGAGAGCCCATGTGGCCTGGCAAACCTGAACTGTATAGTACTTGGCCTTTCCAGAAGATGTTTGCCCACCCCAGATTTAGGGCACAGGAAGGTTTCCCTTACTGAGATAGTAAGACTTCTGATAATGGTGGTCTTAAGCCAATTTAGATCATAAGAACTGTCCTGTCTGTTGACCTTTCCACCTTGTAAGAGTGAGTTCTCAATATTTTCTTCATCACTATCGTTCATCTATGTGACCAGTGCTGGATGAACTGTTTTTATACACATTTTCTCACTTAATCCTCCTAACAATCCTGCAAAGTATATATTATCATTACCCCTCTGTTCCAGATAAAAACATTGGGGCTTGATATATTTAAGTAACTTGACTCTGGGAGGAAGCTTCTGTTGTGATAGAAGAAAGGGAACAAGGACAGATGAAAAGATCATTTATCCCCATGGATAGGGTGTGTAATTGAGGGAGAAAGCATAAATTTAGCCCACCACCCATGTGGAGCAGCCCTGGCCCTGTTGATCATCCTGATGTATGGAATGGAGAGGCTTCTGGAGAGGGAAGAAGATGGCTGGAAGACTAAGAAAGTCCACAGAGCAACTGCTCCAACCACAAGTAAGAAACAGAATGTGGAGATCCTCTGGGGAAATTTGCTTTGATGGGACACAACCAGTAGGTAGGGTCTGGTCTATGGAAACCTCCATACTGGGATCATTTGATTACCTGAAAAGGCTATATTCACACAGGTGTCAACTTCACCTTGGTAAGAAGGCTTGGCCAATGAAAGATCCTCCATGTGAGTCATATGACTAGTACCCATTCTTTGGTTGACAGGAGGGTTAAGAGGAGACTTGTGTTCCTTCTAGAGATCAACTTGAAAAATGGCTTTATTGCCTCCTCCTTGTCTTTATGAACACCACTAGTACAAGCCAGTATTATCCTGTTTCCAAAACCTGACAAGCACACAACAATAACAACAAAAAGAAAGTGGTAGACTAATATTCTTGATTAATATGGATGCAAAAATCCTCAATAAATACTTGCAAAACAAATTAAACATCACATTTAAAAGATCATACCCCATGATCGAGTTGGCTTCATTGTAGGGATGCAAGGTTGGTTCAACTTATGCAATCCAATAAATGGACTACAACACATAAATAGAATCAAGGGAAAAAATCACATAGTCATCTCAGTAGATGTAGAAAAAGTCTTTGATAAAATTCAACATTACTTTATGATAAAAACCCATAATAAATATAGAAGGATCATTCCTCAACATAATAAAGGCTATATACAACAAATCCATAGCTAATATCATACTGAATAAGGAAAAACTAAAAACATTTCCTCTAAAATCAGGAACAAGGCAAGGGTGTCCACTCCCACAATTATTTTTTTTAATATTTATTTTTTAGGTGTAGATGGACACAATGCCTTTATTTGTATGTGGTACTGGTGAGCGCTCTACTGCTGAGCCACAATCCTAGCCCCTCCCACAATAATTATTTGATATAGCACTGGAAATTACCCAGAGTAATTAGGAAGAGAAAGAAATAAAATAAAAGGGATACCAGTAGGAAAAGAGAAATGTCAAATAATCCCGGTATGCAGATTATATGATGCTGCACCTAGAAAACCCTGGAGAGTCCACCAAAAGCCTCTTAGAATTGATAAGAAATTTAGCAAAGTAGCAGGATACAAAATCAACATACAAATGTTGCCAGCTTTCTTTACACTAATAATAAACTCACTGAGAAAGAAATTGGGAAATCCCTGTTACTTGGGAGGATGAGGCAGGAGACTCACAAGTTTGAGGTGAGTTTCAGCAACTAAGTGAAACCTTGTCTCAAAAACAAAAACAAAAAGAAAGAAAAGGGGATATAACAGTGATAGAGTGCCTCTGAGGTCAATTCCCAGTACTGAAGAAAAAAAAAAATTAAGAAGAAATAAAAGGGAAAACAATCCATTTACAATAGACAAAAAAAAAAAAAAAAAAACAACCAAAAATCAACAAAAATAAAACCTGGGAATAAGCCTTGCCTAACAGAGGAGATGAAAAATCTCTACAATGAAAATTATAAATTGCTGAAGAAATAAAGAAGACAATAGAAGAGAGAAGGACACTTCATGTTAATGGAGTGTGACAATTAAAATGGTTATTCTACTAAAAGTGATCTACGAATCTAATGCAATGCCCATTAAGGTACCAATGACATCCTTCACACTACAAAAAAAAAAAAAATTCTAAAATTCATACGGAAACACAAATGACCCAAATAGTCAAAGCAATTCTGAGAAAAAAGAACAATGCTAGAGGTAGCACAATATCTGATTTTGTAATATATTATAGAGCCTTGAAACAAAACAGCAAGTTTTGGCATGTAGATCAATGGAATAGAATAGAAGACTCAGGAATAAACCCACACATCCATAACCATCTGGTCTCAGACAAAGGAACCAAAAACATGTGTTGGAGAAATGATAGCCTTTTCAACAAATGGTGCTGGGAAAACTGGACATCTACTTGTAGAAGACTGAAACTGTATCTCTACCTCTTACCCTGTATAAAAATCAATTCAAAATGAATCAAAGACCTTAATGTAAGCTGACAACTTTGAAATCGCTGGAGGAAAACATAAGGGGGAAATAATTCAATATATTGGTCTAGGCAAGGATTTCCGGAATGGAATTCCAATAGCTCAAGAAATCATAGCAAGAATTGACAAATAGGATTACATCAAATTAAAAAGCTTCTGAACAACAAAGGAGACGATGGGATGAAGAGACAGCCTACAGAGTAGGAGAAAAAAAATGCCAGCTATTCAGGTATCTCAACTACAGAAAGAACTCAAAAAATTCAATGCCAAGGGGACTAGGGTTGTGGCTCAGCGGTAGAGTGTTTGCCTAGCATGTGTGAGGTATCCTCAGCACCACATAAAAATAAATAAATAAATAAAGGTATTGTGTCCAACTGCAACTAAAAATAAATATTAAAAAATTCAATACCAAAGGTAGCAGAATACAACAGTTACTAATAGGGCATTATGTAAAAATGTGGATGTGTAACCGATGTGATTCTGCAATCTGTATTTGGGGTAAAATTGGGAGTTCATAACCAACTTGAATCTAATGTATGAAATATGATATGTCAATAGCTTTATAATGTTTTGAACAACCAATAAAAAAAAATAAAGAAGTTTGTGGGGACAAATGTTAAAAAAAAATTCAATACCAAGAAAAAAACATGTAATCTAATCAGTAAATGGGCAAATAAGCTGAACTGACATTTCTCAAAAGAAGCACAAATAGCCAATAAATATATGAAAAAATGCTCAAGATCTTTAGCCATCAGGGAAATGCAAATCCAAGTGACATTAACATTCCATCTCACCCTAGTCATAGTGGTTACTATCAAGAAAACAAAAAATAACAAGTGCTGGTGAGGATGAAGGGAATCCTTTTATACTGTTTATGAGAATGTAAATTAGTACAGCCACTATGGAAAACAGTATGGAGATGCCTCAAAAAAAACTAAAAATAGAATACCATATGATCTATGACATGAAAGTAGAAAGGGGATAATCAGAAAAGGGAAAGAGGACCAGAGGGTGGGAGATGAGGCTAAGTGATGGTCGTAGGGAGTGTGGATGTGATTTAAGCAAGTTATATGAAGGATGTAAGTATGATGGAACCCATTATTTTGTACAATTAATATGTGTTAACAATTATAAGAAAAATTTTAAATTAAAAAGATTTAACACAGAATGCTATTTGGAAGGAACATCCATGATCAGGTAGTCTTTCCCAAACTTAAAGAGATGGCTGAGTCAGCAAGTCAATGGACAGCTTCCCCAGCTGTGTGCAGGAACCTGGCCATTCCACCTGAAATGCAGCCAGCCGAGATGAGGTTGGGAGCTACATAGTATGGTAGTCAAATGCCTGGATTCAAACACTACTAAGTACATGTTGTAACCTAGGACAAGTGAGGGATCTTCCAAATATGTCTGTTTCCTCTTCTGTTGTGACAATTAAATGAAGTATAAAGCACTTACAACATATTTTGTTATCATTGTTAGCAGTAGAACAACAGCAGTAGCAGTAGCAACAATAGTTATCCTAGTGACAAGCATACTAGTAGCAGTAATGACAGATTGATTTTGCATGAACCAACTTCTAGGACAATCATGCCAACCTTCGTATGTCTATTATTTAGGTTACCCTTCAACTAGAAAACCATTATAAGGCTGAGTATATAACAAATCCAATGGATTATCCAACTATTCTAACCTACTTTGTGTATATGTGTTGCCTTGCTTCCACATCTTATTTTTCCTACTTTCTAGAAGAATGATGTTCAGAAAAAAAAAATGTAGTTTTAGAAATCATAACAGTAGAGAGATTGGAGATACTTTATAGAACAAAAACTAGGTCAGACCTTTCCAAGCACCAAAGAGTCATTTAGCTTTCAAACTCCTGTGGAAGAATATTTCTGAGATATCTCTCAGTTTCCAGAGATGACACAAATGGTAGGAGCATACTATTTTCAAATTGGAAAAAACACATTAAAAACTATTTCCCTCTTTTCATTTCAGATTTTCTTCAGTGTCTTAACAGGAGCTTTGAATCTTGGCAATGCATCTTCTTGTTTGGAAGCCTTTGCTGCTGGGCGTGCAGCAGCCGTCAGTATTTTTGAGACAATAGACAGGGTATGTAAAAGCCAAAAGGAAAGGCCAGTAGGGGGTGGGTGGGGTGAAGCAGGGAATGAACCCTAAAGGAATTTCTTCTAACATTAAAAAGTATGAGGAGCTTGCAACTGGGGTTGTGGCTCAAGTGGTAGAGCGCTCGCCTAGCACATGTGAGGCACTGGGTTTGATCCTCAGCACCACATAAAAATAAAATAAAGACATTGTATCCACCTAAAACTAAAAAATATTTTAAAAATATATGAGGAGCATATCAAAATGCTCTACTTTAGCAATACTTACTAATTGCCGTCACCAGCTACACCTGATTCTAAGAGCTGGAAATGCAACAGTGATCCAGAACAAATGAGGCCCCTGCTCTCATACTCATACTGGGAGATAGGGATAAAGAAGTAAGCACATTCAAACACGAGGCAATATCAGAGTCCAGTGAAGGAAATAGAGCAGGGCAATGTGATGTTGACTGGGACAGGGAAAGGGATCTTTAAATTGGTGCATGGGAAGTGACAGCAGGGAGGGATTCCTGAAAGCTAGACCTCCAAGTTGGGCAAGGGCTTGGTGAACTCAAGGAGCGTGAATGAAGAGAGTGAGCAGGGGGCAGAGACTGGAGGGACAGGCAAGGGTCCCAGGCATATAGGACTAAAAGATCAGGTTCATAAGATTGGATATTTTCTTAATGTGGCAGAAAGGAGGTTTATAAAGCAGCTTGGTAGGCTGGCCAGGATTTTACTGGTGGATCTAGAGAAGCACATTGGAGGTCAATCTAGGAAGTCACAATTCAAAAACAGAAGGGAGAGGATGGCAATATGTTCTTCCTCTCTGAAAAAAAAAATGCAGCAAGCTTAGTCAGAAGGCCTGGGAATAAATGGTACTACATGGGTCCTCTGAACCCTGAGAATATTTTGCCAAACAAAGAGGCTGGCATCTACCGGAGAAAACTGCTATTACTTTATTTGCTTGTCATTTTATTTGTGAGATTGTTAGAAAGCATATAAAAGTAATGCTTTATTCAGTCTCATTTTAGGGTTGTTATATGTTCAAATTAAATACATGGCCCTGTGAAATTATGACTAAAAATTAAGACATTTAAAGATTATTGTATTACTCTTATTAAAGATCCAAGAAGAAAGTAGATTACATCATACCCCCAAGCAGAACTATGGTGATGAATTTCTATTACCAGTCACGAAAGAGGGAAGAAGTTGAACCTGGAGTATTTTGGTAGCATGAGGTTAACCACCCTTGACTGGTTAACCAGAATGGTTAAATTCTAGATTAGACTTTCTACTAACAAAAACAGCGGTGAAATTCAGTATAGTCAATTGAAAGGTGGTAACATCTGAAGACTCTGTTGGCCAAGAGTTAGTTCTTTGTATTTATTTTTATGGATTATTTTTAGTCATATGTGACAGTAGAATCCATTTTGATAAAATCATATAAGCATAGTTTATTTCTTATTCTAATTAGGACCCTATTCTTGTGGATGTACACAATGGTGGGATTCAATTGGGTATTTTTATATATAGTTCTAATCATCATCTATATTATGTACTCAATGAGTACCAGTGGCTCCCATCTTAGTTGATTACTTGTGTGGCCCAGGCAAGAAACAATTTATCTGAGACTCCTCCACTTCTTTACCTGAAAAATAGGCACATCACTTGTCTAGATAGGTTATAATGACAATTATGTAAATGAAAAAGTAAATTAAAATTTCTGCACATTGCTCCCCATAATATTTAAATAATGTGTTTAATGTATAATTTAATGCATTATAACAAACATTAATAATATTTTAAATTAACAACATGGTAATATAATATATACGTATCTCATAGCAATAATTCAATAAATATTAACTAAATGACTAAAATATGTATTATTATATTAAGGTATCACATTTAATAATAATATGCAGTGATATAATAGTTCAAAAGTAGTAGTGATTATTATCATTATTATTCACTATTATTAATAAATATTTAATGCAGAAGCAATTTATCTTTAGCACATCTCTGCAGTGTTTTACCTACTGGTTGTTCTGTTTTATGAGTTAATGCAAATTAAAATGGACAGTAAATGCATATAGCATGTGTTGTTGCTACATCTCTCCTGAATTGCCCTCCAGAAACCCATCATCGACAGCATGTCAGAAGACGGTTACAAGCTGGATAGAGTCAAGGGTGAAATTGAATTCCATAATGTGACCTTTCACTATCCCTCCAGACCAAAGGTGAAGGTGAGTGCTAGTTTTTTCCCTGAAAAGGGTAAACATTTGTTTTTGATTATTCATTTCCAGAGCCATTACTTGTTTCCTGAGGCCTGACTCAGTTTACAGTAACTGGGGACAGAGATAGGTTTCTCTGGAAGTATCACTGGGTGTGGTGCCATCTTAAGCGACACACCTCATTGTTCTGTGATAATTAATTGTGTAAGTCCCTGTGGTTGGAACACAGACAGTCTCACAGAACATTCAGGTTAGGTCAAGGATATGATGCTCTGTTGAAATGAATGTCAGAGCCTGTCATTCTAAGCACATGGTAAACAGACTGTAAGCAATCCCAGCAATCAAGGCGCAGGGCTTTATCACCACTTCCTTACAGACTGCAGAAGGTGGAGCATTCTGAGGGGGTAGGTCAGAGTGGCAAAGGGAAGCCACTGTCTGTGGCTTTTTACATACTATCTGTAAGCTCACCAGGGTCACTGCATTAGTCTTTAGAGAAGGTACCCTGGTGATATTATGCTTGTGTACCTTGTGCTAGGTGACTATCCAGGCCACAAGGTGAAGGAAATTTACAGTTTTCTGAAACTACAAAGCAAGATCTTTAAAAAGACATTCTACTCTACAGGAAAATTAGGATCCATTTCCCCCTGAATAAATTGACTTTGAAATGAGATTTATTCCTCATTTTTAACAGAGTTATCTCTGGTCTCTTTTTCTTAATAATATTTCTGTTATCCCCACAGAACTAAATCCCACCTTGTTAGCCTAACTTTATTCTCATTCTATACACCTATAATGTAGGCATATATGTAAAAGCATAAAGTATAAGTAAATATATATTCTGTTTACATATTTGAAGTATATTTTTATCATTATATATTGCATATGTACCTAAACATCAAATGCCATAATATATGTTAAAAGTGCTTTGTAATGTACAAATCACAAAGTAGTATTCACTCAGTAAATATTTAGGAATGAATGTCTAAATCTTTCTTCATAGTACCTATTTGGAATCAGCTCATTGTAGCAGCTCAATAAATACTGATTGAATTGAGACATTGATTTCATTTCTGTTTTATCTTTTATTCTCAATGGCAATAGTTTGCTTTGGTAAAATTCTCTGTTTTGGGGAGCTTACAGTCCAATACAGGCCAGAAAGTGGAAATATATTTGCAAGATTGATTATCCAGTGTGTAATAAAAGATATAAGATTTGGTCACACAAGAACCCCCAAAGCACCTTCACACAATCAATATAAAAATCACCTCTCATTGATAAAATATTCAGCAGATAGTTGCAAATGAACGGCTCATTCTTGACCCCAGCCGGCATTCAGTGCTTAGGGCCTAGAAACACACTACAAACACTTTTTAGTTCAAGGTATTCAAGTAAGATGCCCACACACTATACAGTATATTACAGCTTAAAAATCTACAAGTCAGTTTGTTGTTAATTGTTGGTCAGGAAAGTAGCATTGTGTGTCTAACTTACTGGAGTTTTTTTCTTTAACAGATTGGGACAGTCTCCTGTAGGTATCCTAGTATGTCAGAAGTGTTTTTTAGTTAGATTTTGGAACATATTTTAGAAGTCAGCCTGGCTTAGTTATTTTACCAGTGTTAGCACACATCATTATTTGTTGGCTGCAGTTATTAAGTAATTGGCAAATGCTAAAACCTGATCCTAGGCCTGTTTCCTTTTGCTGGTGATGGATGGGTATTGAGGGCTGTGCCGTGGAACATATGTAAACTCGCATGCACACTCACACACACACAGTGATCTCACAGAGCATCCTAACTTATAACCTAGTTGCCTGATTGACAGCACAGTGATAATCTGAACTTTTTAATTTTCTTTTCTTTTCAGAGTTTAAGTAACCTCAGCATGGTCATTAAACCAGGGGAAATGACAGCTCTAGTAGGATCTAGTGGAAGTGGGAAAAGTACGGCACTGCAGCTTATTCAGAGATTCTACGACCCCTGTGAAGGCATGGTATGTGTCTTCCAGAAACTTCTCAACTCATGGGGACAGGGAAATGCAAAAGTGGTGCTCCACTGTCAAACTGAGATTGTCCTGGCTCACACAGATTTAATGACTTCTTACTGAATAGAGAAGACGAACTCCCTGCATAGTGACAGTATTCAGTGACTAACCTGTCATTCTATTCGCTCAGTAACCACTGAACAATTGAACTGGTGCTGCTGCTTTCACAGTGAACTACCTATTACCCTTCTTTCCTTATGTTGCAACAAAATCATTATTGATTCCTTATGATTTACAAATGCCAAGTATGGGAAAGCTGGCATAGCTAGAAATAAACAAAGAATTGCCCTTGATTACCACTTCAAAAAGCTGGGTTTAAGAAAACCTTTTCTATATATAATTCCTCAAATGATGTGATCTCTTTTTCCTTGTATTTATTTGAGTAAACATAGACTAAAATTAAGAAAATAAATACTGTTAATAATCACCACTTACTTGCCACATATTATATGTCAAATACTTCATAAAAATGATTCCTTATTTTCACAATGACCCCAAAAGGTACATATCCCCATTTAACAAATGAGGGAGCAGAGTGTCAAAAAGATTAGGAATGGCCTCAAGTCACTGTGAGGAATGATCAGGCCAGTATTTGAACTCAGGTATGTAGATGCCACATCTTTATACTCTGCCTCAAAATTATTCTTGTCAGCATCTCCTTGATGCTTTGAGAGATACTTGTTGTGACTGTAGGTTAAATGGCTTCAATGCCACGGGTTCTCAGTCATGCATATAATGTTGCTCTGACAAGGCAGAAATAATAGAATTTTCCTTTTCCACAGACATTTCCTTCTCAATTGGGTATTCTTTGCTACATGCCATCATAATGACTCTAATATCTAGAAATATGATTTTTTGATGTAAAATTTTCACATTTTTCCTATAGTGATTTTGATTCATTCCCATTTATGCCTTTAGTTGCTTTTGAACAGCTAAGTGTTATTTGATGCATCTTACCAGAAAGTAAGATTTACTATAAAGCATTTAAATAAGATAGGGATTATTAATTTATCTTTTTAAATAATTTTGAGGTCACTTTTTTGATCAGAAGTCAAAAGATAATAAAATATTCAAAGTGTGATGAACAACTCATTACTCTTTAGTGAGAAATTAGAACTTGTCCATTCCTGGGCTAACAGTGTGAAATTAAGTAATCATGTTTCTACACATGCATCATTTGAGTTTCTACAATGAATTGCCCTACAGCTATACATGATTTCAATTATACGTTGTGTCCTAACAGCCTCACTTCAAGGGGAATTGTGACAGTCACAGTCTTGTCAGCCTCTCTTTTTTTCTCCTCCGTGGTTAAGTATCACCTCCTGATTCTGAACCCTGAAGGGATCCAAACCATGTGATGTTGTTCTGTTCCCTAGGTGACTCTGGATGGCCATGACATTCGCTCTCTTAACATCCAATGGCTGAGAGATCAGATTGGGGTAGTGGAACAAGAGCCAGTTCTGTTCTCCACCACTATTGCAGAAAATATTCGCTATGGCAGGAAAGAGGCGACAATGGAAGACGTAATCCGAGCTGCCAAGGAGGCCAACGCCTACAATTTCATCATGACCCTGCCACAGGTACCCTAGCCTCATATTCCAGAAGGAAACCCAGAAGCCAGAAAGAAAAAATTACACAATAGTACACAGTTTAAAAATTTTGAATTCCAGATCATTAAATTCTTTATGCACTTTTTCTTTCCCCTCCTCCTCCTCCTCCTCCTCCTCCTCCTCCTCCTCCTCCTCCTCCTCCTCCTCCTCCTCCTCCTCCTCCTTTCCTTCTCTTCCTCCTTCTCCTTCTTAGATAGTGTCTCATTAAGTTGCCCAGGCTGGCCTCAAGCTTGTGATCCTCCTGCCTTGGCCACCTGAGGAGCTGAGATTACAGGCATGCCTAGAGTGAATTATTAAATTCCCAATGTCATATTTTTGTCTTATGTGTGGAAATGTACCACAAGTTTTCCCTTCTATCTGAAAACATATTGTTTACATATTTAAAATCTGCCAAGCTGGGAAACTTTCTTCTGAAAATAACTCTTTGCTATAGATACAATTTCCATGTATTAAGCACCCATCTAAAAAAAAGGCTGAATTTGTCATATGGTATTACTTGTGCAGTGCTTTCTTGATGTCTACAACTATTATTATTTAGTTTTCTTGTACTTAGCTTAAATATTGTGTCCTTGGAACTACTTCTCACATATTCAAAACAATCCCTCATACATCTTCATTCTACACTTCATTCTACTACTACAAAGACCACCTCCATATTATTATATTTATATGGATTTTGCCACGGATGGTCTGCTAAGTCAAAGGAGGATTAATAATGGTTGACACCTGTATAGAGCTTGCTACATTCCAGGCACTCTTCTAAGGACTTCACATCTATTCACTCATTTAAACCCCCACATTCATCTGGCAGCTATTATTCCCATCTGTAGAAGAGAGAACTGAGATTCTAATAGGTAGATAACTTGTTCAGAATTATACAAGTAATCAGGAGAAACAAGATGGATAGCAGATGGTCTGGTTCCAGAGTCAGTGATCTTGAACACTTCCTGATTGATCTTCTGAATTACCTTTATGAATAAAATTGCAGATATGCACGTTTTAGCTTCATGACCAAAGAGGAAAAAGCTACACCAGTATCAAACCCAACTTCTCCACTTAACAGCTTTAGAATTTTGATAAGTCTATATTTTATGCCCAGCATTTCCTTATTCACCAGTTGAGGAGAACCACAGTATCTGCCTCAGAACCACTCAAGTGGTAGGTACACAACTATGTTAGCTACTACTAGGCAAGATAAGAATGACTACTTATGTTCCCATGTAACAACAGGCATGGGGCACTCTCAGTAACTACTTGATGTCCATGATAACAATCATAAAGCCAGTTTGCTCTTTCATTCACAATATAAAGACAGCTTTAGTATTTTGTTTTGCTGGGTTGCCTAATTAGAGAAAGGAGACAAGGACTTGTTTTCACTTTGACTGAAAACATTTATTTGAAGTTGAGCTGCAGAAGAATATTTACACAGCTCAATGCACCTGGGGATAAGAGCATAAATCAATTTCTTTATCTCTTGCACAGATATTGATTAGTTAATTACCTGTTTGGGGAAGGGATGTTTCTTTTAGTAAAAGTTAGACCTGTGAAAATTCATACTTGAGGAGGCAGTCAGAAGAGACCTCGTGCAGGGTTACCAACAGAAACCACTGAGCTCTTCTCCCTCATGACTGATGTCACTTTTTTCCTAGCAATTTGACACCCTTGTGGGAGAAGGAGGAGGCCAGATGAGTGGTGGCCAGAAACAAAGGATAGCCATTGCCAGAGCCCTTATCCGAAACCCCAAGATCCTCCTTTTGGACATGGCTACCTCAGCCTTGGACAACGAGAGTGAGGCTGTGGTACAAAAATCACTGAATAAGGTTTGTGGAAAGTCTGAGTTTACTTTACAGGGTTAAGGGGTCCACGTATCCTGTGTGATCCTTCAGAAAACGTTAGCTGACTACAATCTTTCTCATCTTGATAAACAGTTAGGATTTGGTTCCAAAGGATGCACATGTAAAATTTAAACTCTTGTTGAGATCTTACATGATTTTAAAAATTCCCTCCCCCTTTTAAAGCTGTTGATTAATAGCAGCAATCAGACCAAAGCATGATGGGATTTATGGCTACAAGAAGCTGTGTTGGCCTTTTCTGGTGTCTGCACAGCCGGTTTAAGGACATTCTAGGGAACCAAGGCTCTGACTTACTTGTGGATTCTGGGACGATCCAAAGATCAAAGCCTACCTTGTCCTACAGTCATGTTTCACCATGCACTGTATATTCTTGCAGATCCAACACAAGCAAACAACTGTGTCAGTGGCCCATCGTCTATCCACCATCAGATTTGCAGACGTCATCATTGGTTTTGAATGTGGTACAGTTGTGGAAAGAGGCACCCATGAAGAACTGTTAGAAAGGAAAGGCGTTTACTTCACTCTAGCGACTCTGCAATATCAAGGAAATCAAGACCTTCAGGAAAAGGATGCGAAGGGCAAGTGGTGTCTTCCTTTCACTTGCATGTTGTTAGTTTGTATTTCCAGGGCTTGACTTTCTGTGCATGTTAATACACACATCTGATTTCTTCTCCCAAAAGTCCTGGCAGGCATTATATAAATGATAAAGGAAACCACTGAAGTTCAAGAGGTTAGTTGTTTGATCAAATCATAGAGCCAAAGCCAAGTCTTCTAGTTTTTAATTCCATCCCTTTTCTTTACACTTTGCAGACAGGAGAGCCCCTCCTCGAGTGTGTCCTGTATATCCTAGGTGTCTCATTCTTACTAGTAGAGTGAATTAGTCAATGAATAAAAAGGTTGTATATATTTTTATCAAGCATAGATAGATGCTTTAGACCCTACTACACCTTCTCTCTATCAATCTGAATTTTCAGACATAGTGGTTGCCCCAAGCTAGATTAACCAGCATTCTAAACTTTTTTCACCATTTCACGTTTAGACTTGTGAATGTGTCCAGGCATGACTACTGCATACATGGACACCATGAGCTATTCTGAATAGACTTGAAATATTTGGTGGTTCTGTCATATTTTTGCTACTACTAGTGGGTTTCTCCCTAAAGTTGTTTTTATGATTTATGCTGAAAATATACCTATTTCTACAGAAGTAATAGGCTAGCATGTGGTTCAAATTTTTGTTACAATATTCTGGACAAGTTGCAAGCTTTATTTTTTAAGAATAAAATTTTATAGACTATTTTGTCCTTACACATAGTAACTACATTCTAGGCAAATAGAATGATTCTATTTAAATATGGTCTGTTTACTGTATATATTAAGGAGTGACTCATATTGTGTTGTGTAGGAAAAGATGGAACTGAAGGTGAAATGCTTGAGAAGAGCTTTAGCAGAGGGAGCTACCGGGATAGTTTAAGGTAAGCTCAAGGTGCATGGCACATTTTAAAGTTTTCAAATATTCTTAGGAGCCTCAGGCAATATCTTAAGAATATCAAAGAAAGCAGACTCCCATATCTTACGTAGCAAGAACTACAGATGAACGTTTTGTTGCTGTATTGACATTTATGTCCATAATTCATAGCTTCTTTTGTCTAACTTCAGTTTCTCATCTTATTGAGGGTAGGATCCCCATGGAGGGCTGTCTGGATAAGATGTTGTTTACTAACTGGAGCAGTGGTACATGCCTGTAATCCCAGCTGTGGGGGTGGAGGAGGCAGGAGGATGGCACGTTCCAGGCCAGCCTAGATGACTTAGACCTTATGGCAAAATATAAAATAAATAGGGCTGGGGATGTCGTTCAGTGGTAGAGCACTACTAAGTACAATCCTCACTACAGCACACACACACACATGAACACGCACACGCACATCATTTATAGAACTTAGGGGATTTAACAAAAATCACTGTTTATTTTTTTCACTAAAGCTAACTGTGGTGTGAACCACTGTCTTATATAAAGGTCACGTTCATACTGTTAACTCCATTCTTTAACCTACTGAGGTACAATTGAATTAAAACATTGCTGCTCCCAGAGTAACCCAATTGAAAACAAATCATTCGTTAACTAGATGAAGTAAAAATGTATGTTTTTAGCTTTTAAATCGTTTTTCTAAATGAGCTATTTTATATTTCTCTGGATCAACATATGAGCATGAACATATTTTTTTGGAGTATGCTATTAGCAAGACTATAAATTTTAATCTTTCATCCTGGCCTATGAGTTTCACTAAAAAAAAAAAAAATTCTCCCCTAATGTTAAAGGTCTGTTTATTAAGAATTCTGCCCAGGAATATATGTCTATAGTTAATGAAAAAAATTAGGAGACTATGAGGTGATGGTTGAAAGCATCTCTCCCCACCACTGCCCTCACCACTTCCTGGACCTATAATGTAAGGCCATATTCTGAGCAGACTCAGTTACAGAACTTGCTCAATCAAGATGGCTCACTGTTACTGAAAAGGAATTAAGATGAAGTAGCCAGCTAACAACTCAATGTGGTCAGATTTATGCATTTTAATATTAAAAATTTGAATAATAAATATTAAATTAAAAGAATAACTCACTAAAAGGTATCATGCTTTATTTTCAACTAAAAATAGATATTTCAGGTATTAGTGTACTTTTGCTTTTTAAATCTAAATTCTCAGAAGTAGAATGGTTTATGTATTTTTTTTCTTTTCAGAACAAGCCTCCTATTTTTTTAAAAGAAATGCTAATTTTATTTAGTTTTTTGAACTTGGAAAATAACAAAGCAATAGCTTCAAGTTAATGTATAAAGTAAAACGTATGAAAGTTACCAAAAATTTTAGGCAAGTTTTATAAACATCTGGCAGTAAGTTTAGTCATGATAAATGTTAAAATCATTAAAGTTATTAAAACCATAATCTAATGACATGAAGTAACTTCTTAAACACTGAGAATGACCATGCACTTCTGATTGCTAGAACAATTAAAATGGAGGTGTATGTTATGGTTGTGTCAATAAGAAAATAATTATTTTAAGATGAACAAAACTCTATTCATTATAAGTTATTTATTTACAGTTTATTGTTAGGAACAGATAACCATTTTAATATAAATATTTATTTGGCTATAATTTCTCACAAATTATTCATTTTAGTGACTAGGATGAGAAATTCAGAAATACTATCTATACACAGAGAGTAACTATTAACCTCCTGCAGAGAGAAAGATTTATAAGTTTGAGTAAAAAGATCTGTTAAAAATATCTCATTGTATGTGCTGATTATTTTTTTTCTGCTCCAAGATAACTAAATGAAATGTTAATTGGTATTTTGCTTTTTGGCTTTAGTTTTTCAATGCCTGTGTTCCTCTTCAGTGATATATTTTAGGTTCAGGAACCATTTAATGGATAACAGCAAATAATTTTCTAAATAATAACTGAGAGAGCATTTAGTCCCCAAATTAACATTTTTCTTCATTGTAAAAAGTGGTTCACAGCTTCTGAGATGGGGAAGAGCAGATGCTTTAGATTTCTGAAGGGGGGATGTCATAGACTCTGGTCTTGCTGGTAGATAAGTAGGGAACCATGGCAGGTAGCATAGGTGCCTAGCACCATTATAGCTCATGGTCTCATGACAGCTTATGTGAGACAGGTGGAACAGTTTAGGAAATGGGGCGGGGGAGAGTCTTAAGAAATATAAGATGAAAATAGTAGAAACCCAAGGGTACAGGATATAGGTATTCCTATGTTCAGCACTGGGAGGTAGCCAATTATATCTTAACACCTCATCTGTCACCCATTTCTACCTTGGTGTTCATTGTATTGGGTTTGCATTATAGATCTATGACCTTAAGTCTTGTCCCTATCATGTACCTGATCTCCAGGTGACACAATCCTAGTCTTCACCTTCTGAAGAAGATAGTTTAACATTATCTATCTAATCCAAGGAAATAACTCTGGGGAGTTTCAGGACAGATGGGAAGGAATGGGAGTGTTCTAAGGCCAGTTGGAGGACAGGGAGTGGGGCGGGAGTGGTTTCATGTCTGGTCATAGAAGACTTGGCAAGAGTTTGAGTGTGCAAGAACAAGGAAGAGACAGGACTTCAGGTAAATGTACAGCATTGAGCCTAGGTGACTAACAGGATGACAGTGTCATTAACTGAACATGGGAACCAGTTAAAGTAATCAAGTTGGCATGATACTGCTTTCTTAAGAAGCCTTGGTAAAGTTATAGGCACAGGCACACATTGGTATTTGCTTCAGTCTACTCTCTCTTGGATACAAAATGATAGGGGGCAACATATGAATGGTTCCTTCTAGACTGTACTAAAGCAGTTGTCTCCCCATCTCCAACATTCTCCTAACACTACTACTTCAGATTAAGCCTTCCAAAGTACATCTTTGATAATGTAACTTCCTTCCTTCCAACTCTTGGCATTAACTATATCAATTAAGATTCTATTTGCAAATGACTGAATACCTAACCCAACTTGGTTCAACCTTCAAAGGGAAAGAATCAGAGGATATAACCAAATAGCCCAAGGATGCTTTCGTCTAAGGCTAGAACTTCAAGGATGTGTTCAAGATAGATGGGTTTCCTTCTTTTCACTGTTGGCCTCACTTTTAGTTCTTCAAGCATCTCAACTTAATTGCTGGCAGCTCCCAGTGCTTATAAGTTAATCTCGAAGAGAATGGGGACCCCCCTTCCCAAGAATCTCAGGGGGAAAAAAAGAGCCAATCACATCTTATGCTTGTCATGCGTTAAATATACTTAACTAGTAACTCTCTGCATGCTTGTTTACACTGTCTTCTCTGTCAGAAATGCTCTTCCCTGTAATTTACCAATAGCCAAACACTACGTAGCCACCTCTTGATTGAGACCTTTCTTGGTATCACCTGCCATATGTTTCTTTTCCTTTTGAATTTCCAAAAATCTCTATGCAAAACTACTTTACCTCACTTAGCCATATGCTTCCTTATATCAAGCTTAGGTGAATGCATTGCTTTTCTATAGGATGAAAATTCCTTGAGGAAGAAGCCTGTGATTGACTAGTCTTTGTGTCTCCCCAGGATTAAGCATTGGTTTGCACGTTGTAGGTCCCAATAAGCTACTGTTGAATGAATAAATGCATGAATGAATACATTAAGCTAAATTATATTTCAGTAAGATTTGTGTTCATGCATTTCTGTGGGCATTGTATAGCTAGCTCAGAGACAATCTCACTGGGGGCCCTATTTCCTTCTATCAGCTCACTCCTATCCTGGTAACTTTATACTAAACACCAGGAATACCAGAAAGGAAGGGAGGGAGAGGAAAGGCCGGGGGGGCAGGGGGAGAAAACAAACTCAAAACTCAGACCTGAACCAGAAAGAGGTAAAACTGAGAGGCCATTGGGTTTGCTATGGCAGTGGTTAGCAGAACCGTATGGGCTTGGAATGTGTTTGAGCCTTGGGCCTATTTTAGTGAACTGCTGGGACAAATGTGCTCCTCTTCACTTTCTCCCTCCCTAGCTGCCTTCAAATCCAGGTCCAACAATTGCAAAGCTTGAGTCCCAGAGCAATGAACCCAATTAGCTCTGACCTAAGAATAGCTCTGTCAAACCTAATCTTGAGCCTCCCTTCCCTGGTTTCCATGGGACCTACCAAACATTTTTGTTTATTTGACGCATGATGTAAATTTGAACACCAACTGAGTCTTGTTCCAGCCTGCCCATCATTTACACACTCTTCCATCTTTCTGTTTACAGAGCTTCTCTCCGGCAACGTTCCAAGTCTCAGGTTTCTCATCTGGTACACGAACCTACATTAGCTGTTGTACATCATAAATCGACTTACGAAGATGAACAGGTCAGGCACCAATCACTCATGCAGGAATGGAAGCAGTCTCTCCTGGGGGACCACTGCGTGCCCTTTAAACCTGAACATATGTGGTTCATGAGGTCACACAAAGTAGGAGAACATTAGCGCCTGGTAAAAACTCTATTTTACACCATTTTAAAAAAGAAACACGGATTAGCTAATGAATTACTTTACAGAACACGTTAACTAAAACTGGGTTAGTTTTTAGATGAACCCTTCTGATAAACACAGGAAATATGTATTGCAGATGTGCTTAGTAAATTATTTGCTTTATCTTTTAAAGTTTTAAAGAATTTCCAAAAAAGCCCCTTTTTTTCCTAAATTTTAAGAATTTTTTTTATGTTATAACAAAATTGGCAAAAGTATTCAATCAACTCTCCAAGTGGTACTTTTAGCTCCATAAATAGGGTCGTATCCTAGATATAATATTATTAAGTTTAAGATTAGTGGAAACCTGTGAGATAGAGATGTCAATCTCTGATATTTAGATATCTTTTTCAGTGAAATTGCAAAACAAGGCAGAATGTATAGGAGAGCAAGTCAGAGACAGGTATTAGACATCTATATCTTCATCGCAGCAGCTATCTTTTAAGATAGGATTTAAACACTGATGGCCAGACACAGACATTTAATAAGACTAGGCCTTATACAAGTCATCACAATCTTTGAATTACAGAGGTCCATTAGGTTTTATGGACATTTATTTACTTTAGACAATTTTATAATAATGTTTTAGGATACATTTTAAAATAACAACATTGATTTTAACATAAATTCAGAACAGCCTGAAATTAAATAAATAGAAAAGGAATCTGCACATATAGCAATAAAAAACTTTCCTCACAAGGATGAAGGTGTCCTGCTGTTGTGGACACTGTGTAACTTTCACATATGAGCATCTGTCCTCCTCCAAGCTTTTCCTGGTCCCGGTACTCTAGCTTTCAATACTCCCCACACCCCCATCAGAAGTCCTTCATTGGAAACTTTTGATGGAAATGTCCTTATGGATCTTTCTTTGAAGTCAGGCTGATCTATTCCTTTACTAAATTATAAGCTTCTTAAACTTAACGACTACATCTTATTTGTGTTTGAATGACCTTAAGCACCTAGTCTGATGCCTTGCACCAAGTCAGACATCCAGAGACTTTTCAACTGGAATGAAAAATTGAATTTATACAGTAAAATGAAGCCCAAACTCTCATATTTATCAAAGCAAACAAGTCAGGGAATATTTTAATTACAAGCACATCCATTATGCATGATGTAATTTCAAATTCTCTTCAATAAAATGCCAACATGTGAATCCATTAAGAAATAATTATAAACATGGGCTCTCAATGAAGAAATTTTGGCACTATTTATATCATGTCTATGAAAGATGGATTATTAAGGCTCTCTTTTGTTTTCATGTAATAATATTGAATGAATAGAGGTCTTAATATCTAGCAGAGTTGGTTTAAATAAATTCCAAAGAACACTCTTTGTTTGGAACAACTGATGAATTGCAGTGAGAGAAAATACATTTTGCAAGCCTGGTTTCTTGCTGCATCCTGCTGTTAAAGATTCATGTCCTCATCTGGTTCTAGAAACAGCTATTTCATATATGTCCATGGCGCCATCACAAGTAACTCCAAGATGCATTAGACAAGAATAGGAGTTTAATAGAACTTCAAGGAAGGACCAGATACTATGCCAGAATTTAAATGTAACAGTACTGAGCATATTCAATATTTATATTTCTTTCTAGTTTCTGGGTAAATGGTGAGAAAAGTGAGAGGAAGGAGGGAGAAGAGGAAGGGAAAGCTGACCTCCTGCTGTTACTGTTAAAGCTGGTGGATGGCGCAGCACAGTCGCAGAGGACCATCAGAGCCTAGGGAGAGATCTGGAGATCAGATGCCCAGAGTTCTTTTGATGCAGGAAAAGCTCCGAAGGGAGCCACTAAATGAAAGGGAATCTAAATCAAATATACAGATTAGTTTTAGAGAGATTAAAAATTCCTTATTACATTCTACTCATCTACATTATAAGTTGGAATAAAACAAAATCAATGAAATGTTGACCAGTGTAATTTTGCAAAGATGCTGCTTTATCTTCTCTCTGGTTAAAGGAGATGGAAAGGAAGAAGAAGAAGGAAAAAAAAAAGATCAGGGACGTCAGTGTGATTGTGCTAATACTCCAAGAGGAAAATATCTCATATTAATAATACTTGTTTATAGGATAATTATATTAGAGTCCTGTATAGAGGAAACATTAGCTTTGAGATTAATAATATGTGTCTAATGGAATCTCTAATCTCAAGTAACATTGTATGAGTAAATGTTGCCCAGTTTCAGTATTTTAAAGTACTTTAATACTTAATTAAATTCTGCAAGCCCAAGAATTAATGAACTCTTTTCTTTTTCCCGTTTTGATAGAGCAACCCTAATCTTACCGTCTGTAGGTGGGGAGATGTTCTATGAGGCTGAAGGCCTACTTATAGAAAGCAGTCAACTCCACCTTGTGGTCTCTTAGAGCATTGACTGAACCTTTGGAAGAGATGGTTTTATGTCTGTGTTTCAGACCCTAAGTGGGGTTACTCACCCGGAGTTTCATAGTTAGTTGGTAACAGAGCAAAGCCATTCTTCCTCACTCTCCAAGTGGTACCTTTAGCTCCATAAATGAGGTCAGATCCTAGATATAATGTTATTAAGATTAAGTTTAAGATTAGTGGAAACCTGTGAGATAGAGATGTCAATCTCTGATATTTAGATATCTTTTTCAGTGAAATTGCAAAACAAGGCAGAATGTATAGGAGAGCAAGTCAGAGACAGGTATTAGATATCTATATCTTCATTGCAGCTATCTTTTAAGATAGGATTTAAACACTGGTGGACAGACACGGACCCATAAAAATCACTATCAGTATCTATTCATTTGGACACCTTGCCCCTTTGTGATAACTTTACTATATTTTCCCATCAAATCTTCAAGGTGTTATCCAGACAGGAAACCTCTATTGATGGGAATGAAAAAAACCAGTGTAACAAAGTGTAAAAAGCAGGACCCAAAATTCAAGTAGGAAGTTACCTTTCCCCTTGGAGCACAACGGAGATGTTTAGAAGGAAGCTGGGAGGAGCCCAGTGTTTAGCATTGTACCACCTACGAAGTACATGAGCAATCAGTAATTTTAAATAAATGTTTAGTCGCATGTATACATGATGGGCATAAGAGATGCATTCATCTTTTCATCCAATAAACACTGACTGCACATTTATTGTGTGCTTGGTATTGTGTTGGGGATGGAAAGATGAACAAGAACTGCTGTTCCTCTGCCTACCATGAGTTACTGACAGGGACTTTACATGTGATAGAAAATAATAAGTGGTGTACAGCTTTCTAGTGCTACAGTAGAGGAACAAGCTGTGCAGGGAGGAAACATATATAAATTTCATAATTTTACTACTCTATGTGAGTTACTTATTTGCCATTAATTTGTTCATTTCTCTTTATGTTTAGTTTTTATCAAGCACAAGTAAAATATTTCTTTTCTTTTCTTTTGAAACCAGGAATTGAATTCAGGGGCACTCAACCACTGAGCTATGTCTCCAGCCCTATTTTGTATTTTATTTAGAGACAGGGTCTCACTGAGTTGCTTAGTACCTTGGCATTGCTGAGGCTGGCTTTGAACTTGCAATCCTCCTGTTTCAGCCTCCCGAGCCACTGGGATTACAGGCATGTGCCATTGTTCCCAGCTAAAATACTTCTTTATAGAATAATATTTATTATATATTTATAGTTCTATTTCTCCACTGTTCAGCTAGTGGTATCAAATAAAATTCAATCAAAAATCTATTATTGTGCTGGGCATGGTGACACATGCTTGTAATCCCATCTACTTGAGAGGCTGAGGCAAGAGGATCACAAGATGAAGCCCAGCCTGGGTAACTTAGTGAGGGCATCTCAAAATAAAAAATAGAAAGGGCTGGGGGTACAGTGGTTCAGTGCTCCTGGGTTCAATCCCCAGTATTAAAAAAAATCCATTATCTGTGGATTGATTTTCAAGTTTTGCATCATTCAGTCTTGACAGCTGCATTTGGTATGTGTTGGTGAGGGGATTTGGAAATAGTTTCCTTTAAAGTCAAAAATTTTTTTTAGCATGGGGGACAACAAAATCATTCAAATAAACTACTTTGTGTTTCTTGTTAGTTTATCTTGGAATGAAAACTACTAGGCAAAAAGTTATCATATTGCTTTAAAATATTCTAGGTATTATTGATTTCGGTCGGGGATAACTTTGGGTATCAGAAAGTCAGGGCAGTTTCCATCTTGTCAGGTTGTGGGTGGACCACCCTGTGGGGCAGTGGTTTCAGGAAGTACTCGGTTTAATGTCACTAGGGAGCAGGCCAAATTTAGTAAGTATTGGGCATCTTCACAAGTTTGGAAGCATACCCTGAAGCCCAGCTGACATATCCAAAAGGTGCACTTATGGATACCTTGATTTCTAGACATTTAGTGATGAGAGGAGTTCTGGAGATTATATATAGTCACAAGCCTCACAATTTGCGCTGTGGTCATCAGAACAACCAGAGGAATATTTTTAAAGCACAGATTTACACCTAAGACCTACTAAATTGGAATTCTGGTGATAAGACCCATAAATTTGTGATTTTAATCATCAATCCTCATGAGTCTATAAACATCCAGATCTGGACACCAGCCACTGTCCAGAACTATAAAATGGCTGATCTTTTGCTCTACTGCAAACTATCTGGTTGGCCTGATAAAATTTCCTTAATGTTGGCAGAATACATTAGAACCCTGAGACAAAGTTAAAGGACTTAATTACAGTGGCCATAGTTCAGCGTTTTTGCAAGGGCTCCCTAGCTCCACCCCTAGTTTCCACAAGGTGGCGCAAAGAGAGCCAGATGATACCAGCAAGTGGACTCTTATAATGAAGAGATGGGCTTACTGCTTGGGGTGAAGACACTCTCTCTGACTCCCAAGGTTGTTTGCTATACAAACACCCTTGAAAATTAATCTAAAACAAAACGTAGTCAGTGCCTCTGCTCACCAGACATGCAGAAATACGAGAGACCCAGAAATGTTGTTTCCCCAGAACAACCTAGTCCGGCTCTCTCATTTTAAGGAGGAGGTAACTGAGGCTCAGAGAACTAAGGTGCTTGGTGATATGCTCCATTGGTGTCATGTGGGGCTGTTCAAGAACCCCATTCTTTCTGCCTGTTCTACTCATGATTTCCCAGGCAACTTATTTTCCTCTCTGACCTTGGTGGCCTACAGTTAGTAAGCTGTCAGAAATGAAATAATTGAGTGTGAGGATTTGCCACATGAGTGAGTAGCAATGACAAAGTGCGAATGATGAAGGCAGCTGAGAGAGAACTTGACATGGAGGTAATGACAAATTCGTCACCGGCCTGAGCTGCCTTCCTTCATCCTATTTGGCTTACAAATGTAATGAATGGACATGACACCAGCCTTTCACATAAATTGTATTGGTAACATGGTCTTTGACTTTGTAAGCAAAGGGAAAGTTTTTGAAGATAGTTGCTGTTATCTATTCCTCATATTCAGCTATCTAACGGGGTAAATTGCTATGTATTAGTGTTTAAGTATGTTTTATAGAAAAAGTTTTAAGAAATCAATACAAATCTATTTAAGCCACCTAGAATCCTTTCTCAATGTAATACATTTATTACCTTTCACATGGTAATACATTTAACAAATTGCTGAATAAAATGGGCCTAAAGAATTGAGTAATATTGCTAGCAAGGAAAAATGATAGACAAGACAATAGGGTTTTATATGTAATATTTGACTTTGAGAGGATAACAATTTACTAGCTCTGTCACTTTAATAGCAACTAAAATGATCAGAATAGGGAAGTGCTAATTTTCACTGCTTGCGGAAAAAAAAATATGCAATTTAGAAATCCCAATGGAGTATCACTTACTTCGGGGCAATAATTAAGGAAAACCTCATTGAAAGCAAGTAAATGATAGCTACTGACACCACTTAAAAATTGTTTAAATTGGGGCTGGAGCTGGGACTCAGTGGTAGAGCTCTTGCCTAGCATGTGTGAGGCACTGGATTTGATTTTCAGCACCACATAAAAATAAATAAAATAAAGGTCCATTGACAATTAAACAAACAAAAAACTATTTAAATTATCTTGTTTCGGATATCCTGGCCCATCTCAGAGCTTTAGCCAGTTATTAGGTTACAGAACCTTGACATTTATGACAAGCATATCTTGAAATTTTCTCAAGTCCTCCATGTGGAAATACACCACAGCAAAGGTTTTTTTCTAATTAGGAGTCATTATTCTCAAAGAGCCAACCTATTTAAAAGAGTTAATACATGGTCGATTATGAATTGAGAACTATAAACGCAGCATCAAGATGTTCAATCCCATCTAATTAAGTCACAAGCATTCCCCCCAAAATAACAAACCACTGCATCTCATAGATCTTTGAAGTCTCTCATAACCAATCAAACCATGACTCTCAAATACATGAATGCCAAAGTGTCACGTGTATAGTAAAAGAGAATATGCAAAGCATCCATGCATACATCTGGATCACTAATGTAACCCTTTCTCCCCTCAAGAACAAGAGCATTCTTATGGAAGAAGAAGTTACGCCCGCCCCGGTTAGAAGGATCATGAAATTCAATGCTCCAGAATGGCCCTATATGCTGGCAGGGTCCCTGGGTGCAGCTGTAAATGGGGCAATCACGCCCCTCTATGCCCTTTTATTCAGCCAGGTTGTTGGGGTAAGTAAGCACCTGAGATACTTTATTCTCTTCATATCTTCTGCTGTTTTTCAAAATCAATAGCTATTCTCATCTTCGGTAGTTGGGCTCTTTGTTCTAACATAAAAAATGAAAAGCTCATTGAGTCTGTCACACAGAAGGTTAGAGGCTGAAGCTGAATGCTCTTGTCTAGGCCAGCTAGACACTCACACACTCATCATGCCTGTAAAAAAGAAAAAAAAAAGGCACTGTCACTGTGGACTTAGAACTGGAAGAGGGAAACTTACCTGTGTGCAAACCAAATCAGAGTGCAAAGCAGGTTTTCGAATAATACAAAATGATTTCAGGCAATTTTAAATCTTGCTGAACAGCTGAGGTACAAAGTTTGACTTACAATAGCAGGTGTTAGTGTGAAATTCTCTGTTCTCCTACGGATTGCACTGAAATGGGGAAGTGGGGGAAGAGGTAAGAAAAGCAAAAAAGAAGTGAAATAAGGCAGGAATGAAGAATAAGCTTATTTCAGTCTTTCACTTCCTAAGAGTTTTGATATTCTCCATCTGATTTTATTGCTATAATAATAACTACAGATATGTATGCAGTAGGCACTATCTAAGCACTTGTTGTATAATAGTTCACTTAGGCTTCCTAAGAACCATCTGAGGTAAGGATTGTTATTATTCCCGTTTTATAAAGGAGCAAACCAAGACTTAGTGAATTTGGGATAGCAAGTGGTAGAGCTGGGAGTCAAATCCAGCCAGTGTGACTGTAGAAACAGATTCTGATAAGACATTATTGCAAAATTAGTTATTTGCAAATCAAAATGATGTTATATTTCTTAGTTGATACACCTTTCTCTCTCTCTGTCTCTGTCTGTCTGTCTGTCTGTCTCTCTCCCTCTCTCTCTCATCCTGTGAGGTCAACAGAGGAGGAAACCTAGAACCTAAAGAATATAATTAACTTAGTCAACGTGGCACAGCCAAAGGATTTGCCAGTATGCTATATTATCTGAGCTTAGCATGTGATAAAAGCTTACATTTTAGTTCCCTCCTCTATATCTCTCTCTTGTCACCTCTCTGATAAATGTCCTGACTGTAAAGTGTCCCTGTAGGCCTGTTGTACAGGAAGACTTGGATGTTCCACAAAAAAAATCAAGGCCAGTGTGGCCCCAACAGCCACCATTTTAATTTTCAAATTGTCCCCTTATGATAAATGAGGAATTGTGCTACTTTCAGGGAGGTAGGAAACTGGAAGCATGGGGACCTTCAAATCTGGTTAATTTAATTTCTGGTTTGTGGTGCTGAAAATATTTCAAGCAATGAATTTAAATTCCTTAATTTTCTAGTAAATACAGTATGCATTATAAAGAAATGCTCTTTTACTTACTCAACAGTTATTGATTGATGGTCTCCCTGAGACACCGTGCTAGGGATTCAAGAATGCCCGGTCAGTTAGAATTCTTCAGTGGGGGTTTCGGTCCTTGCTGCTGCTGCTACTCCTCCTCCTCCTCCTCCTTCTTTTTTTTTTTCTTCTTCTTGATTGAACCTAGAGGCATTCAACAACTGAGCCACATCCCTAGCTCTTTTTTTTATTTTTAATTTTGAGACAGGGTCTTGCTAAGTTGCTTAAGGCTTCACTAAGTTGCTGAGGTTGGCTTTGAACCTCTGATCCTCCTGCCTCAGCTTCCCAGGCTGCTGGGATTACAGACATGTGCCATGGCACCTGGCTGAGTTTTCAGTACTTGAGGAAGGTGAACATTAAACAGAAAAATCCATTCACCATTTGACAAGTACTTATTGGTCATTTGCTCTTTGTTGGATGCTATTGCTGGTATTGGGGATAAAGTGGACTAGAAATATCAGGACCTCTCTCTGCCTGTCACCAGCAAAACTGCCATTTCTAGCCATGAGAGGCTCTGGAAATGAATCCCACTGAGCACTGTGCAGCAGGTATAGATGGGTAGGGCATAAGGCCTTGCAGTCCTAGGCTCAAGTGATCCTCCTGCTTCAGCCTCCCCAGTAGCTGGGACTATAGGTCCCACTATCTGTATGTGCCACTGTGCCTGGCTTCTAATGTTTGCTTTCTAAAAGAAACCCATAATATCAGCTTCCCCCCCTGATTATCTCTCTTTGTTTTATAAAAGCAGAGAAAAGGATATATTCATTTATCTTCATCCAAACCATGTATATGACCTGCCATGGAAGGAGTCCTGAAATCCCTGTCGGGAGACCTTTCCTCTGAAACTGGCTCTGCTAGTTACTCACCACAACCTGGGTGCTACGATGTTACTTCCTGCTACTTCTATAGACCTTAGTTTCCTTAACTCTAAAATGAAGGATTGATGAAGTTGATCTTTAAGCTATCTTTCAGCTCTACTGGTTATGAAATGGTAAAGTCAGGAAAAAGAAAAAAAAAGACAGTTCAGCTATAACTTCTACCCTTCTTGAACTCTCATGTGGTCATTGGTGGAGAGAATATTCTCTGTGACTCTTCTGGTCACAATTAGAAATCCTAGGATAGACTTAGACCTAAAAACTGAGCTTTTCACTTAAGGGCTGCAGGATCAGAAAAGCAGAATCTAGTTGGTGAAATCCAAAGTTGGCTTATCATTAATGCTCTCAGAGGATTATATTTGCTAAGATGCTAAACAAACTATGTCTTTCCTCTCCTATAAAGAAGAAGGCTCCTATTTGTCTCTGAGCATAATTATCACATATTCACCAGTAATCTCATGATGCTTTCTTCTCACAGGGTATAATCATGAATCTTATTTTAATTGTTCTATTTTCATTCTGACATACCTAAAGGGCACAATATTCACATGTGGTATGTTGAAACCACACGCTGGGACATGGGCCCAGCATATGATTGGGCCTTATTAGGAAACTGGTTGCTAATCTAGCCAACCTTCAATATATACATAAGGCACAGTTTATCTGTTCCACTTCTCCTGTGTCTATTTGAGTTGGAAATTGTGCCGAGTGCTCTAACCACAGCAATTTGGATATAGCATGCTGGGAAGAAGCACGAACTTGGGAGTCAGCCAGCTCTGGATTTGTTTTAGGCCTCTGCTCTGTACTATGTGTACACATTTTGGCAAGAGACTTATCCTTGATGAGACTTAGTTTCTTTATCTGTAACATGAGGCAAGAAACCTAAGGCCTCAGTGGGTTGTTTGGAAATTTTAAAGAAATTCCAATTAAAGTTAAAGTAGGTTAAGTCACACACTTGACATCTGGCACATAGCAAGAGTTTAATGAATGTTCATTTTCTCCTTAAGCAGATTTACCCTTTCAAAAATGGCAGATACGTGTGCTGAACTCCTGCTAGTCTAAGAGCAGGGTAATCTACAAATGAGTAGCCCTTGGGCTGCATCTCAACATTAAAAATGTGCAAAGAACTCATGGAACACAATTTTATAGAAAAAAGATTATGGCTAAATCAGATGCCCAATCTCAAACCAAACAATTGTGTGTGTGTGTGTGTGTGTGTGTGTGTTGTAACACTGAGAAAGTGGAGAATACCATGAGCCTAAAGAACAGGCATTTCCTTATTCAAGAGTAACCCCTAGCTATATGAACTCAGGTAAGTCACTTGATGTTTTGGGCTTTAGATTTCTGTTGTTAATAAGACTCATACAAGCTGCTCTGAATTCTAGAGTCCATGGCTATGGTAGGTGATCTTTGGGGTAATGAAGATTGTGGCATTGCAATTTGAGGTTTCAGGGCATTTGTGTAATGATTTTAAAAACCAAAGTAAAATATAGCCTTACATTTCTGCATTTTTAGACTCTGTAAACTTGTGAGTCATGTTATACTGGGAAGAATTACTGTGGTATCTTCCAAACCCATTTTCTGCCTGTGTTAACTAGAAACTTTGTTTTAGAACTAGTAAAAATCTCATTAACCTATTGCACCCCCCACACTCACACACATCACTTTGGAATTTGAGATATTTTGAACAGATTGCTTTTGCCTTACAAAAAAAGGGTTAATAGAATAATAATGGGAAAAAATGATTAATAGAATAATAGACATTGTTTTTACCAACGTCTATTTAGCATGTAGTATGCACTTACTAAATAATTATTCAATCTATGGTTTCCTTTGAGCAACTGTTTATTAGCACTGTTTGAGTGACACAAACTACTTCAGAACAATAGGTAGGGATTTATGGAACAGCCCTCTAATGCATATTTTTCCTGAACTCACAGTTCCCTCATGCAGTCTGGGTTAGGAAGATTTTGTTGCACCTAAAATCCTTTTCACTTTAAGGCAATGTCATTGGGATATATTCTTTCAATATTTTTATTGTGATTGTTTGCTTCTCAATAAGTTACTTGAGTAATGTCTGTAAATTCATCCCATATTTATGAATGTCATTTACTAAGCCATTATAGACTTAATCCCCACTCACAATTCCCATAGCTTTTTGGATAGAGGTGTTTTTAGCTTCCTGTGATTTAGAGGCAAAACCTCAGTCTTAGATATAGATTTTTTTTTTCTTTTCTAAGTCAATTCTATTCAATCCTTTGATAGCCAGTTGCTTTTTTGTGTGCTGGGGATTGAACTCAGGGCCTTGTGCATGCAAGGCAAGCACTCCACCAACTAAGGTCTATCCCCAACCCAACCATTGGCTTTTTTAATGGTATGAAATATTTAAAGTTCATTTAATATGAAACACATACATGTACCTATAACCAATAGTTTATATTTGTGAACTAGTTTATATGTATAAAACTAATAGCAGGCAAGATGCCTCAGTGTGAAAATCAACTTTTTTACATTTTAGTATTTGAACAAGATGGAGGTTCAAATAATTTTGAGTTTTTCCCCAGATTAATATTCCTAAATTCTCAGGGGTTTCCCTCCCTCCTTCCCTGACTTTTTTTCTTCCTTTCTTCTCCCCTCTCTCTTTTACTTCTCTCTCCCTTTCTTCTCTTTCTACCTTATTACTTGAAGGACTTCTGTGTCAGACAAAAGCCAACATAACTGCTTAAGTCAGGCAAAGAAACAACGCAAAAATTCTGTAATTTTCACCATTGATTTTCATTGATCAGGCATTCTGCCCCACAAGGGATTAATATTTAATGTTCATAGCTAACTTCTGTTTAATTACTAGTATTTTAAAGTAAAACCATTTTTAAAGTTTTTTTTAAGTGCCTTTAGGTTCATAGCAAAATTAGGAAGGTATGACGATTTCCCATATATACCCCCTGCCCTTTCCCATGATCAGCACCCTCTACCAGCATGGTATATTCCTTACATTCATGAAGCTTCACTGACACTTCATGATCACCCAAAGAACCTAGAATACATTAAGGTTCACTCTTAATGTACGTTGTATGGGTTTGGACAAATGAATAGAGACCTGTAGAGAGAAATTTTGTTTAAGCATATTTGAATGTATGTGTTGTTGTTTATAATAAAAAAAGTTTTCTTTCTTGCTTATTATCTTCCAAAGAATTTTTCAATTCCTGATAAAGAGCAACAAAGGTCAAACATTGATGGGATATGCCTACTTTTTGTAGGACTAGGCTGTATATCTGTTTTCACCCAATTTCTGCAGGTAAGGAGTTTTATTTTTCATTAAATGATTTAGCTGTTTCATCTCTTTTCATGTTAAAGTATCACTAAAGACTCCTTTATATTTTTAGGGATACACCTTTGCTAAATCTGGAGAGCTCCTCACAAAAAGGCTACGTAAATTTGGTTTCAAGGCAATGTTAGGGCAAGACATTGGCTGGTTTGATGATCTCAGAAATAGTCCTGGAACACTGGCAACAAGACTTGCTACAGATGCTTCCCAAGTTCAAGGGGTAAGCTATTTGGGTCTCTTAGTCTGTTTGGGCTGCTGTGAACAAATATCTTAAACTGGGTAATTTATAAATAATAGAATTATTTCTTGCAGTTTGGTAGGTTGGGTAGTTTATGATCCAATCACTAGCAGACTCAGTGTCTGATGAGGGCTTATTCTCTCTGATTCAAATATGACAGCTTCATATGCCATTTTCATGTGATACAGGATCAAAGGGACTAGGATGCTCCCTGCAGCTTCTTCTGTAGTGGCATGAATCCTATCCATGGAGGATATTTTATGACTGTACATCATTTATTTCTGCTCTGATCTTTATTATTTCTTTCCTTATACTAATTTGGGGTATGGTTTGTTCTTGCTGTTCTAAGACCTTAGGATGCGTCATTAGGTTGTTTATTTGAAATCTATCTTTTTTTCTTTTTGTTTGTTTTTGATGTAGATACTCTTAAAGTTGCTTTTGCTGAATCCTACAGATTTTGGTAGTTTATTTATTTATTTTTTTGTTATAAGGGACTTTTAGGTTTCCCTTTGACATCCTCAATGACCTACTTGTTTGTTCAAAGTATGTTGTTCAGTCTCCATGTATTTGTATAATTTCTAAAGTTTCCTTTGATTTCTAGTATCATTCCATGGTGATCAGGAAAGATACAGGATATGATTTCTTATTAAAAGTTTTTTCTTGATCTATTCTAGAGAAAGTTCCATGTGCTGATGAAAAGAATGTGAATTCTTCAGGTGTTGGATGGAATGTTCTGTAAATGTCTAAGTCCATTTGATTTAGAGTATAGTTTAATTCTGAGGTTTCTTTGTTGACTTTTTTGTCTAGATCATCTCTGCATTGGCAAAATTGAGATATTGATATGCCCCAGTATTATTATATAGGAGTCTATCTCTCCTTGTAGGTTTAATAGTGTTTGTTTTATAAAGATATTAGGTGCATATAGATTTATAATTATTGTATCTTCTTCCTTTATCATTATAGAGTAACCTTTTTGTTTCTTCTTACTCTTTTTTGTCATAAAGTCCATTTTGTCAGATATAAGTACCACCTTTTTAAAATTCCATTTTCTTGGAATAACATCTTTAATCCTTTTACTTTCAGTCTGTGTGTCTTTATGGTTGAGATGAGTTTCTTGAAGATAGTATATTATTGGTCTTGTTTTTTAATCCACTCATCCAATCTGTATTTCTTTTATAATTAATTTATATTGGTGCACTATAAATATACATAATAGTGGGATTCATTATGATAAATTCATACATGCATATAACATAATTTGGTCATTTTCTTTCCCCAGTACCTTCCCATTTCCTCTTTTCCTCCCTCCCATTTTTATCCTATCTCTACTTTTCTCCTTCTATTTTCATAAAATTTTTCTCCCCACTTTTCTCTCTCCCCCTTTTATCTGTAGTTTTCAAGTATGAGAGGGAAAGATATGATCTTTGAATTTCTGAATCTAGTCTAATTTAATTTTTCTACTTAACATATATACAATTTTTCCAGCACCATTAAAAAGGCTGCCTTCTTCAACATATGTTCTTGGCACCTTTATTAAGTATCAGATGACTATATCTGTGTGGGTTTGTCTCTGTGTTTTCTGTTCTATTTCATTGTTCTATGCATCTGATTTTATACCAGTACCACGATGTTTCCGTTGCTACAGCTCAGCAGTATAATTTAAAATTGGGTATTGTGATACTTCCAGCTTTGCTCTTCCGTCTTAGAATTACTTTGGCTATTCTGGGTCTTATTCTTCCACATGAAATTTTAGGACTTTTTATCTAGTTCTGTGAAAAATGTCATTGGAATTTTGATGGTGATTGCATTGGATCTGTAATCTGTAGATTGTTTTTGGTAACAGGGCCATTTTAACAATATTAATTCCATCTACCCATTAATGTGGGAGGTCTTTCTGTCTTCTAGTGTCTTCTTCAACTTCTTTCTTCAGTGTTCTTTAATTCTCATTGTAGAGGTCTTCCAGCTTAGATTTTTTTTCTAGGCATTTTATATTTTTTGATGCCATTTTAAATGGAATTGTTTTCCTAATACCCTTTTCAGTGGATTGATTATTGGTGTATAGAAAAGCTATTGATTTTTCTATTTTTTTTTTACTTTACTAAAGCTTTTTATTATCTCCAGTAGTCTTTTTAAAATTAATTTTTAAATTTATATATGAGAGTGGAATGCATTAAAATTCTTATTACACATATAGAGCACAATTTTTCATATCTCTAGTTGTATACAAAATGTATTCACATAAATTTGTGTCTTCATACATGTACTTTGGATAATAATGTGATGGACATTATTTGATGAAGTCTTTTGATGAAGCTTTTTGAATCTTCTAAGTATATGATCATATCATCTGTAGATAGTGATAAGTTGAATTCTTCTTTTTCTATTTTTGTATCCCTTAAATTTCTTTCTCTTAATTCTTAATTGCTCTAGCTAAACTTTCAAGTACTGTATTGAATAGGAGTAATAAGGGTAGATATTCTTATCTTATTCCTGATTTTTAAGAAATGTGTCCAGGTTTTCTCTGTTCAGTCTGAGGTTGGCTTTGGGTTTGTCATATATATCCTTTATGAAGTTTCTTCTATTCTGAGTTTCTTCAGTGGGTGCTGAATTTTGTTGAAGGCTTTTCCTGCATATATCGAGATAATTATGTGATTTTTGTCCTTAATTCTATTTATGTGGTAAATTATACTTATTAATTTGCATATGTTGAACCATTCTTGCATCCCTGATGAAAAAACTTGATCAGATGTATAAGCTTCTTAATATGTTGTTGAATATGATTTTCTAATGTTTTATCAAGGGCTTTTGCATCTATGTTCCTCAAAGATATTGGTATGTAGTTTGCTCACCTTGAGGTTTTCTTATCTAGTTTTGGTATGAGGATGATACTGAGTTCATAGAATGAATTTTGAAGAGTTCCACTCTTTTCTTTTTTATGAAATAACTTAAGGAGCATTGGCATTAATTCCTCTTGAAACCTCTGGTAAAATTCAGCTGAGATTCCACTGGGTTCTGGACTTTTCTTTGTTGAAAGCTTTTAATTCCTGTTTCAATCTCATCACTTGTACCTAGCCTGTTTAGGTTTTTCTATATTCTCTTGGTTTAATTTTGGTAGGTTATACATGTCCAGAAATTGGTCCACTTCTAGATTTTCCAATTTATTGGTGTATCAGTTTTCAAAGTAGTACCTAATGATTCTCTGGATTTCTATAATGTCTGCAGTGATATCTCCTGTCTTATCTCTAATTTTATTAATATTGATCTTTTCTCTCTTGGTTAGTTTGACTAAGAGTTTATAAATCTTGTTCATCTTTTCAAAAAACCAATCTTGGTTTTACTGATCCTTTGTATTATCTTTCTAAATTCTCTATTTTCATTAATTTTGGCTCTAATCTTAATTATTTTCTTTCTTCCACTGGTTTTGGAATTGGTTTGTTCTTACTTTTTAGAACCTTGAAATGCATCATTAGGTTGTATGCTTGGGAATCTTTCTGATATTTTTATGTAGGCAATCATAGCTATAAACACGACTATGTTTCTCTCTTTGCCTTTGTGTAACCTCTCCCCTCTGTAGTGCCGCTGCCACCACTGGCTTGATTCTTGATGTGCTTTTTCTTGTCCCACAAAGTACCAGAATTTCTGGGTCTGAGTCTCTGTGCAGTATTGAATTTCAATGAGTTTTCTCAGTCAACCACATTACTGAGAAGCAGTTTTCCTGCTATTTCAATTCTGAGCCACTGTGAAACTGGAAAGTGCAGCCTTCCTCTACTCCACCATTTTTTCTCCATCTTTTAAATAAAGAATTAAGACCATTTACATTCAGAGTTACTAAAGAAAAGTGTGGCCTTGTGCCTGCCATTTTGTTGATTTTCTTCTAGTTTATTATTATTATTATTATTATTATTATTATTCTTTGTTCATTTCTTCCTTCTTATTCATCTTTGTGGTTTAGTGATTTACTGTATTGATGATGTTTGACTCTTATGTTTCTCATTGGTGTACCTATTTTATCGAGATTTATACTTTTACATGCTATTATGATAGTAGTTATTTTTCTTCCTTTTCTGGGTATAGGACTCCCTTCAACATCTTTTATAAGGCTGGTCTGGTAGTCATGAATTCCCTTAGTTTTTGCTTATCTTTATTTCTTATTCAATTCTGAAGAATAACCTTGCTGCATTGGCAGTTTTTTCTTTCAGGACTTAAAATACATCATTCCATGCCCTCCTAGCCTATAGAATTTCTTCCAAGAATTCTGCTATTAGTCTATTGGGGTATTGGTGCTTTTCTTCATAGATTTTAAGTTCTTTTTTTGTCCTGAACTGTTGAAAGTTTGACCATAAAATGTCATTGTGAGGATTTTTTCTGGTCATGTCTGTTTGAGATTGCTCAGACCTCCTATATGTGGATGTTTATGTCTTTCCCAAGATTAGGGAAATATTCTGCTATTATTTTTTGAACAGTTTGCCTATGCCCTTCATCTTTGTTTCTTCCCCTTTGGGTATGCCAATGTTGCAGACATTTAGCCTTTTAATAGCATCCCAAAGATCTTTTATGCTATCTTCATTCTTTCTTTTTTTTTTTCTTTATTTCTCTCTGAACATGATTTTTCAAAAGACCTATCTTTAATTTCCACTAATCTTTCTGTTTTATCTAGTCTGTTGTTGAAGCTTTCAACTGGTCTTTTTGTCTGACTTATCGAGTTCTTCATTTCCAAGATTTATTTCATTTTCAAAATCTCTCTTTGTTGAATTTCTCATTTGTCTCCTAAATCATCTTCCTGATTTCATTTAACTGTTTATCTGTATTCTCATTGAGCTTACTTTTTAAAAATCATCATTTTGAATTCTTTATCAAGCATTTAATTTACTTTGATACTTTTGGAATTTGTTACTAGAGAGTTAAGAGCTTTAGAAGGTGTCATATTACCTTGATTTTTCATATTTCTTTTGTTAATTGTGATAAAATTTGCACATATAATGAATCTAATATTTCTACTGCATTTATGGGATGGCCTTCTTATTAAGCACATTTCCTGAAACTGTGTCCATTTATGGTGGGTTTATTGCCACCTCGATATCATAATGTAATCTTCCTGTAGCTGCTTTGTCTGTGATTAGTGAATTTGGGCACAGTGTGTACAATATCAGAGTTAGAGAGATAGACTGTCTCTGCTGGTCATACAAGCGTGGGAACACTAGCAGTTCAGGCTGGTGTGGTGTATACAGTATGTCAGGCACCCTGTGTGACTACTCCTATAGTGAGAGGGTTGAACCCATCAAGTGATGGGGATTTCTTTAGGTTGTTGAGACTAGCTATCTTGACTTGAATGGGTCTCTGGTCTGGCTGCTGCAATAGTGATGAGGTGTCCGAAGCACTTGTCCTCTGATCAGATATTGGTGTGGGTTTAGGTGCTCTATCAGGAGATGCTAAGGCAGGAATTAGAGCCTCCACTCAATTGCATTCCCACCCAGTCTTGTCAACAATGCATGAGAGACAATATGTGAAGGGACCAATGCAAGGAACCCACATAGGTGCTGGGGCAGCACAAGTTATGTTCTTCCTCTCTGCTTCTACTGACTCTGCTCACCAGGAGTGGGACCTCAGACACCCCTTGCTGTGCATACCTGGGGATGGGGCAATAGCTGGGGCTTTCATCTCTTTGATTCTCTCACTTATAGAGCACACCAGGAATTGAGTGGAATTGGGTCATAGCTAGAAGGGGGGAAAATTCCTTTCAACTGAGGTGCTCACAGGAATGAGCAAGAGCAGTATATGAGTAAAATACAGATGTTTACATGTTTGATTTCCTCGTCTCTCCTCTCCTCTCCTCTCCTCTCCTCTCCTTTCCTCTGGGTCAAGTTTCCTTCCAGCTTTTCTAAGGCTATGTCCTCTAGGGGTGGGGATACAGCCATGTTTTCAGTTTCAGCCATGCTTGAAACTGCCCTAGCATGTCTTGCTGAATAGGGCCTAGAACCACAGAGTTCTTTACTCACCTTTTTAGCAACAGGCACCCATTCATGTTCCTGGGAAAGGAGTGGGAAACATGTGGGCAACTGCCCTCAGTCCTGGCACCAGTGTTAAACCACATGTGACTGGCTATGCCTTGGGTCTCAGAGAGCATGATCTCTATCCCCCAGCTCTTCAGGACAGCACCTTCTGCTCCCCTCCTTTTCACAACAACTTCTCCCCATCATATAGCCATCTCATTAGATTTCTGTCATTCACTCCACCAAGCCAAGTTTGGCTTAGGAGGAAGCTACCCTTGAGCCAGTACAATGGAATTTCTCTGGAGTCCCAGAGATAGGAATATGCAGGGTTTTTTGAGCCCTAAAGCAATTCAAATTCAGATAGTAGGTCCTTTCTTAAGGTGACTTCTGGTTACAGCACCTTGGGGGCTTCCTGATGGATGAATTGAAATCCTCTTTAAAAGTCAGATATGATGCATATTTCAGGCCTCTTATCTTTAGGTTCTAAGCCTGCAAGGGCCATGAAACTTTCCAATAGCTAGGATAGTCAGTATCCATGCTGGTAGAGTTTTCTGGGACTCTCTCATGTTTACCTCTATTGAGAAGGAACTCCACCTCCCCCTGTTATGAAGCAGGGGTGGCAGTGCTGGGATATTTTGTTCCTCTTGCTATGCTGCTGTCCCAGATCTCTGGATTTTTAGTTTCCATTCCTCTGCTGTTGAATTCTGGTGTTCTCCAGCGTTAAACAATACAAGAATGTTTAGAGGTGAGATGATTAGATTATGAGAGCCATAGCCTCACCAGTGGATCAACCCATTTAATGGTTAATAATTTGAATGGAATGCTGAGTGGTATTGTTGGGACAGTGGGATGGGATTGGAGAAAGTAGGTCGAATTATATCTTGTCACTGGTCCCCACATATTTTCCTTTTCCTCTCCTCGTCTCTCCTCTCCTCTATCTCCCTGCCTTCTGGCTGCCATGAGCTGACAGCTTTCCTCTGCTGTGCCTTTTCATCATAATATTTCTTCCTTGGAACCAGCCAGTCATGGACTAGGCCTCTGAAACCATGATCCCCAAATAAACTCTTCCTCCTCTAAGTTGTTCTTGTCAGGTGTTTTGGTAACAGTGATGAAAAACTAATTAACACAGTCTGTAATCAAAAGAATGGAAAGTAAAGACTTGGACACATATTTGTACATCAATGTTCACAGCAGCATTATTCACTATAGCCAAAAGGTGGTAGAACCAGTGTCCATCAGTGGACAAATAAATAAACAAAATGTGATAAATACATACAATGGAATATATTCAGCCTTCAAAAGGAATATCATTGGATATGTACTACAATGTAGATGAACCTTGAAAACATTATGCTTAGCAAAATAAACTAGACACAGAGGACAAATACTTTATTATTCTCCTTATATGAAATACCTAGAATATGCAAATTCATAGAGGCAGAGAAAAAAATAGAAGTTACCAGTGACGTGGAAGAAGGAGGAAATGGAAGTTATTGTTTAATGGGTACAGATTTACAGATGATGTAAACATTTTGGGTGTCAATGTGGTGATGGTCATATATTATGAATGGTTTGAATGTCCCTGGACTGTACACTTATGAATGACTAATATGATAAATAATGTTATATATATTTTATCACAATAAGACAAAAGCCTATCTTTTTTGTATAAAATAGGTTTTTCACATAATGGCATTTGGTAAAGACTGTGTGTCTGAGTTGAGTCGGTTGCTTTTTGTTTGCAGGCTGCTGGCTCTCAAATTGGGATGATGGTCAATTCCATCACCAATCTCACTGTGGCCATAATTGTTGCCTTCCTCAGTAGCTGGAAGCTCAGCCTGGTCATATTGAGCTTCTTCCCCTTCTTGGCTTTATCAGGAGCCCTACAGACCAGAATGTTGACAGGATTTGCCTCTCAAGACAAGAAGGCTCTGGAGAGGGCAGGACAGGTAATCTTACAGACCTAATTTTCTGCTTATAGCTGAGTGTCCCTGAGACAAACTGTTAAATGTAGGGACTACAAAGAGATTTAAGGAAGCAGACAGGAATATTTAGAGACCTTACACTAGTTTTTTGTATCTAGGCAAAGACTGTGCCAATGAAGCTCTGCTGCTGTGTGTTTGAACTGGCAAGGAAAAATAGTGGGATGAACACAGATATTTACGTGTTTGATTTCCTCTTGAATTATTACTTGTTCCATGTCCCAGTTTGGTGTATTCTCACTTGTAGAGGTAGATAGTTCAGTTTTCTGTCCATTAGGCATTTTGAGTTGATCTTGGATCCTGTTGTCCACACAGAGAGGAGATCTTTTTAATGGCACACGTTGAATTTTTACATTTTAGTGTCTTCTAGGCTTGTGGTAAATAAATGCCTTTCCCAAATAGAATCATGATCTGCAATTTAGGTTTCAAATACACTTATGTTTTAGCTATGCATGTTAAAAAAATCTATTTCAACTAATATCTGATCATTAGGGGAAAATGAGGGTATAGACATTTATCAGGTAAAAAAATCACACACCTCCCCTACATACACTCACTCTTAACAAATTCACTGTAATCTGGGTCTTTTGAGAGTGAATGATACTGCCCAAGTAGGCAAAAGTCAAAAAGTTTCATATCCCAGTGGTAGAAATAGCCCACCTTTGTACCTTTGTTAGGGATAAGACCCTAATTCAGAAACAGTGATTGTTTACCTTAGAATATGGGTTGAAACAAATATTTTAGTATAGAATAAAAGATTAACTTTATATTTAAGTTAATATTTGGTCAAATTAATTTTTAATAAATAGAATCTAATAGTTTACATTTATATTAACTTATCTTTTGTCTCAGAAGACATCTAAAGATACAGACTTTTCAAATGAATTAGCAATTGCTTCTCAGCCTTTTGGCTAAGATCAAACGAATTAGCAAAGTTTAAGAGCTTTTCAGGATAACCACGTGTACCTCTCCTGCCCCTTCTGTCTTTCCCTACTTTTTCATTTGTCAGATTACCAGCGAAGCCCTCAATAACATCCGCACTATTGCTGGAATTGGCATGCAAAAGCATTTCATAGAAGCATTTGAAGCTGAGCTGATGAAACCCTTCAAGACAGCCGTTAAAAAAGCGAATATCTATGGATTTTGTTATGCCTTTTCCCAAAGCATAGCATTTATTGCAAATTCTGCTTCCTACAGATTTGGAGGTTACTTAATCTCCAACGAAGAACTGCATTTCCGCTTTGTGTTCAGGTGAGGAATGTCCCACCAACGTCACAAAAGATCAGCATTCTAAGGAGGAGAAGCCTAAGTGCTGTATCTAAAACAGCTGGGATTTGTTATTTCATAAGGTTCTGTGGGTGATCTGGTGGTTCTTCTGGCCTGGGCTCTGTCCTTTAGGCTTTGGGTATAACTTGTTTCCATGTGGCCTCTCTAGTAGATGAGCTTACTTTCTTCATAAATGGTCTCAGAGTTTCAAGTGCAGCAGAAAAAGGCACGCCCCAGTGTGCTGGCACTTTCTATGTGCCACATTTTCTGATGTCTCTTTAACCAAAGAAAGTCATACAACCAAGCCCAGATTTAAAGACTAAAGAAATAGAATACATCTTTTGATGAGAGGAGTAACAAAGTCACATTGCAAAGGGATGTACGAAGGATGAATTAAGGTGATCATATTTACAATCTACTATGTTTATTAATGCTGAAAATCTCCAGAGGTCTTTAGAAAATGGTTCATAGGGCTATCATATTTGAACTCTACCCCTCTCTTGCAAAGAGAACAGTTTTCCAGCCGACTATGTAGAGACAGAATAGACTATTCAGGGGCATTAGGTTCCTTATTTTTAGCCAGAGTCTGCTTTGATCATAAGATTAGTTTTGAGTCTAGTTTCTTACATTTCTAGAGGTGAGAGACTGGGGGTGTCAGGGTAACAGGAGATGGAGTGCGCATGTATATGGATATGGTAGGGGCAGTGAGGGGAGAGACAGTCTGAGAAAGACTTGGAAAGTATTACGAAAAGTGGTCCCAATAAAAATTTGTTCTTTCAGGTTTCATTTGCTAGCCAAGAGTTCTGTCTTTTCATCTGATATCTTTCTAGCACTTCTATTCTGCCCACTTCTACTAAGAAATTCCTTTCCAAGTCTTTGCATATTTAAAATACTAACCCAAATCTGGTAATACCAATTGTTGACTTGTTTTTGTTAGTTTGTAGAAAAGTTTTTGTTTTTTTCATTTGCTTGCAGTACTGGGGATTGAACTCAGGACCTCTTGCATGCTAGGCAAGTGCTCTACTACTGAGCACATTGCCAGCCTATATAAGGGTTTTTAGAGAATTACTTCCCAGCATGTAAAAATTGAGAGACTACACAGCCAATTTCTGGGTTTGCTTTTAAAACTGGAAAGTCATTTTTTCGTAATTTCTCATTTTATTCCAAGTGCTTTCAATCCCTTAAGCTTTAGACTGGGCTCCTGGAGATGTTTGCTTTTGCAACCTTGACCTATAACAAGTTCTGCTCCTAAGCTGAGCAGTAAGATGCACAAAGACACATCCCTGACCCCATTCTTACCCCAGACAGGCACCCTATGAATGGAGGTGCAGATGGACAGCTTTGAGGGTTGCCCCTTATGTCATGGTCTAGGTAGCAGCAAAGCTGTCTCTTTCCAGATTTATCATTCTTTTCTTTGTTCACCCATTTATTTGTTTTTAAGACCCATTTTGAATACAGTTAGAGACTGAGACAAGTAGAAAGATTCAGGCAATTGAATCTTGTCTGAAGCATGAATTATCTGCAAGCTTGGCACAGAATTGATACTTAAATCCCCCATCATTATCTTTTATGTACTTACCATTGATCCAAAGAATGTTAGAATTGTAAGAAAATCAAAAAAATCTGGTGATATTTCAAGCCCCCTTCTTTTAAAAAATGTTTTTCGAAGATTTTCCCCCTTTAAACCAAAAAAATTTTAAATAAAAACCATTATGGTGGAATCAGGGTTTGGAGGTCTGAGCTCTACCTTGCTCAGTCTACCCCTTACCCCTTTTCATTAAATACAGTTTGCAAATCTCTCCAATTCCCACATTCCCAGACAAGTGATTTGCTAAAGGCTACTTGATTCTTTCCCAACAGAACCAAGGTTAGACCCCCAAATTACTGCCTCTTGACCTTCACACCAAACATACCCACCCTTCTCTGCCTGGGTGTCTGATTGCAGGGTGATTTCTGCAGTTGTACTGAGTGCGACAGCTATTGGAAGAACATTCTCCTATACCCCAAGTTATGCCAAAGCTAAAATATCAGCTGCACGCTTTTTTCAGCTGCTGGACCGCCGGCCCCCAATTAGTACATACAGTACTGCAGGTGAAAAATGGGTAAGCATTGGACCAAGGGAGTTGTGCTTGTGTGTGTGTGGGGGGGTGTATATGAGTGTATGTGTGTGTGTGTGTGCACGCACAGAATGACCACTGGGAATGGTCAGATAATATCACTTAATTTCTAAATTTCTAGTCTGAATTTGTTCATACTGCACTGAGAATGGACAGAGATTATATTTATAAATGTAAAGGAATGAAGCGGCATGCACACCTGTAATTCCAGTGGCTTGGGAGGGTGAGCTGGGAGGATTGAGAGTTCAAAGCCAGCCTCAGCAAAATCGAGGCACTAAGCAACTCAGTGAGACCCTGTCTCTAAATAAAAATAAAAAATAGGGCTAGGGATGTGACTCAGTGGTGAGTCCCCCTGAGTTCAATCCCGGATACAAAGAAAGAAAGAAAGAAAGAAAGAGAGAAAGAGAGGGAAGAGAGAGAGAAGAAAGAGAGAGAGAGAGAGAGAGAGAGAGAGAGAGAAACTAGTATCAAAATTTATTCACAAAGCTGGCAACTGAATAAGGCAACAAGATCCAATTGTTATTAGTCCATTTTTCATTACTGTAACAAAGTGTCTGAGACTGTGTAGAAAAGAAAAGAGATGTATTTGGTTCACAATTTTGGAGGCTGTAAATCCAAGATCAGTTGGCTCCGCTCATTTGGCCTCTTGGGAAGGCCCCCTGGGCTGCGACACACGGTGGTGGGATGGCAAGAAAGAATACATGAAGAAAAGATCCATAGTGAGACAGGAAGTAAGAGCATGGGCAGGGGCCAGTCCTCCTTCTCTATAGCAGCCTTTTCTCAAGAACTAACAGGGTATGACAAGAATGACATTAATTTCTTCCAAAGGCAGTGCCTCAGTGACCCAATCACCTGGCATTAAGGCTTACCTCTTAAATGTTCTACACCTTTCTCAGCATTGCCACACTGGGTACCAAGCTTCCAACAACATGAACCCTTTTGGGACAACTGGAGTCAAAGTCAATGAATGCTAAATTCTATGTAATATAAAACACACTGAGTTTGAGTATGAACAAAGCCAGATGTCTTTTGAGATCTACCCGATAGCATGTTTCCTGTGGATGCCCTGGTGTGGAATGGAGATAAACCAGTTCTTCCTATCCAACAATATTTATTTGATTCATAGTCACCTGAGTTCAAATGTTAGCCCATGTGGATGCCCATAAAATTAATTCAGTCGCCACAAAAAGTCTTTTTTTTTTCTCCTAATGGATCCTCCAAGGAGGTGTTTTTAATCTTTCCTATTTATTTAAAATTCTATGTTCAAAAAAACAAAACAAACCTAAACAGTAGTAGATATAAATCTTTCCCTTAAAAATTGTCAAATGACGTGTTTTTCCTTCAGCTCAATAAAAGTAAAGTCTCTGTGTGGTTTATTAAATGTCTACTTCTAGGGTTCATAACTCATATAGTTTTAAACACACTATAGTATTCACCTCTGCAGTACAGACCTCAAATAACTTTCAGACTAAGTCATTTTGAGTGTAATACTATTAGTTTAAGCCTTTGGGGGAAGAGTCGTGCAAGCTCAGACTGGCTTCTGTGAAGTATTATCCTTTAGCTTCTCTTCCATTCAGATCGTCAAGGAGTGGAGGACAAGGAAATCCCCTTAGGTTAGAATGAGAATAAGAGGTCAAATGTCTAATTTTGCTGCTCAAGTCTTCTTTTATGATACACCTGCCAGAGTGGGAAGTAGAAAGTCATTTTATTAAGTTGCTACCCCTAAATTTTTCACTTAGACAGTACGATGTAGATCTAGGTGCATTTTCAATATTCTAGGCTTCCGAAGGAACGTGAGTAATTCCAATTCTCTCATCCACAGGACAATTTCCAAGGAAAAATTGACTTTGTTGACTGTAAGTTTACCTATCCTTCTCGACCTGACAAGCAAGTTCTGAATGGTCTCTCAGTGTCGGTTAATCCAGGGCAGACACTGGCATTTGTTGGAAGCAGTGGATGTGGCAAAAGCACCAGCATTCAGCTGTTGGAACGTTTCTATGATCCTGATCAAGGGAAGGTGGTAAGCCATGCAAATGCTTTTTTGAGAGTTTTGCTTTCTGCAAGGTATCTCTCTGAACGTGGTCTCCAAGACTGTGCCTTGCCAGACTCACTCTAAAGTGCTTGCCTTAGACACTTAGCCCTATGGATATTTTCCATTTCCAATCATTTTATGGTTGACCAGAGTCTACCTCATAATTTCTAACATACTCTCCCTAGTTCCAGATGGCCTGCTGACCAGTTAGGTAAGGAAAACTGGTCACACTGCAAAGCTGGAGATGAGTGTATTTGACAGAAGCATTCACTTACCTGTAAATGGAGCAGAAAGTGCAAACTAATCAGGAAACTAATGGCTGGGAATGGAAAATGTGGGGGTGACAACGGACACAATGATAAATGAGCAAGAAAGGGGACCAAGCATGAAAAATCTGAAACAATCCTGGGTCAAAAAACCCAAGTCTAAATAATATAAGGAACTCAAATTGATATGATGCCTGGCTAGGCATCATAAAGCTTTGGCAAGGATATTTGAGAAATTGATGTATTGCTTGGTTATTCTTCACAGCATTTTTTTTCTCTTTCTTTGTTTTCAAATAATATATTCAGGTGTTGACAAAATCAAAGAATAAATAAAGGTTTTTAACAAAAATTAGTACTCCTCTACTTTTTCTTGCTCAAAGGCAACTATTTTAACCTCTTAATGTTTTCAGATTTCCCACTGATGATTTTCATGTCTCTAAATAATATGTTCATGCTGATGTTGTCATGATTTAATGCATTCAGACCCCTGTTGACTTATTTTTTAAGAAATGAAAGATTAAATTATAATGTAACAAAAAAAGAAATGAAAAATTAGGTAACCTTTACCACTCCCTCTTTTTACCCAATTCCTTCCAATATAGTTCCATTATTTTTAGTTCCTCTAGTTGGAAATTTAACTAGTACACATTCATTGCTTTTCCACCACCTGTAGAGACTACCTCTTGAATTCTTTCTAAGATGAGGATGTTAGCAATCATAACTTTATTTTCACTTCTGGATTTCTCCCTTTACCTGTCAAGTTTTAACTGTATTTTTATATTATTAAAACACACAAAAAAAGTACATGCTGTTTATAACATTGATTATCTTTCCTGCTTTTACATTAGGTTGATTCTAACAGTTGAAAATTGATTAATAATTTTTACCACAGTTATGTGAATATTGCTCTTCCTATAGTCAATTATTGATACACATTAGCATTACCTTTTCTTTCTTGATTGCTTTTCTGAAAGGCCTTTTTTTCCCCCATTCTCTGCCTTTTAAACAATCTTTATGTTCTTCCAATATTTCTGTTCTGCCATCTATTCTGAAAGACCTGCTTCTTGCTCTCATATCTGTCAAATCCTGAATTGATTTCAGCCTCGGCCTTGTGAACAGTTGTCATCGATGAGTTCTCTGCAACACATTCATAGTTCCCATATTTTCCTCTTTCTTTTTTTTATCCTCCTTTTATTATAATACATCCACAGATAGTTTTCTAAGAAATGGTTCAGAGGCCTGGATCCAAAAATGTTTTATTTTGCTCCATACTTGATCAATTGTTTAACCTTAGTATTTTGAAAGTGGCTTGATTTTCCTGAATAGTATAGTCTTCATTACAATGAAGACCAATAACATTATGAAGAGAAAAACTTGAAAGAGGCAATTGCCCTTGCATAAAGCAAATCAAAGAAATAAGCAAAAAGATATTGGCAGAATTAGCAGAATTCGGGAAGTTATGAAAATGAGGAGCAGAAGTTGATTGCCTGTAATTTAAATCACTTCTATAACTGATTTTAGGTGTAAAACTTTTAATTTATTTGGAAGTATTTGGTGATTGATGCACCTAGAAAGCATAATACACTGGAGGTCTGACCTCTTTCAGGGAAAGGATTCAGTTTCCCAAAATGTCAACTCCATCATGCCCATTATTCAGGTAGATTGTGAAGAATGTGAGATGCAGGGAGCTGAGTCTATTGTGTTTGACTTCTCCAACATTAACATGTTTGCTGAGCATATGTCTCTGTCATAGGTAGAAATCAAGGCCCAGGAAAAAATCATTATGATTTTTTGCATTTCATAGGCACAGTATATTTTATTATATCATACATCATGGTAAAACATTTCTACAAATATGTTAAAGCAGGAAAACATCATGTCTTATCATTTTAAAAGCTCCTGTTTGCTTTTAGAGAAGATACCAAATGCAGGTATTCAATAGTTTCAACATTTAATTGGATATCTGTGAGGCATCCAGTACTTTCTGTGGGAGATTCTTAGGGAACATGAAGCACGTCTTCTGTCTTCTAGGAGCTTCCAACACACCACATATACAACAATTAGAGAATAGCTCAGTTTCTAATTAAGTAGTTATGCTTTGCAGAGAAACGGACTATGAAAAATGAGTAAAGCAAGATGAGCAAGAACCAACTGTTAAGAAGTGCCTTATATTTTTTTCTAATGATATTTGCATTTTCCATTGCTTAGAGACTATCTAAAACATAATCTAAATTAAAACATAATAAAAACTAAAACATAATTGAGGCCCATAAAGTGCAAGGCCCATTATGTGCATGCCAATTAATATAATCTTTTTTCCCGTGAAATCATAGAGCCAAATACATTATAGTTGTATATTGGACACACTGTACCTTTATGATTCTAGACTCTTAAGTGAACCAGCTTAAATGGCAGATAGTTAAGTACCTACACTTATCTGCCTTCTAGACTGTGATTTCCTAGGAAACAGACGTTGTGTTTTTTTTAATGTCACAGGAACAGACTATATTTGAAGCAAGCACTTCAGTATGTGGTTGTTGATTGGCTGAGTGAACAAATGTATTCTTTTCTTCCTTGGGCTTATTATCTCAGTTATTCAGAGAGTAGTATCAGTAAAATTCAGATACAGATTTGACTCTTATGTTGTCCTATAGCTTCTCATAGAAAAATCCTCTCCATAACTCAACAGAGCCTCAAAATAGAGCAATTCTGCATACCTACAGAGATTGTGCTACACTAACGTATAATGAGAATGTTTTTCTGAATTTACATGGTGTCCTGAGTGTCTTTTTCTTTTGAACCACCTGTTGAGCTAGAGTTTGGGGAAATATCAAACAAAACTATAGTCTGATCAATGTTCATTTCTATACCACTCACTCCTGACGGACACCAGCTCCAGAGATTGAAGGCAACATAATTCATTGATCAGAGCCTGGGAATGTTGTTTCTTAAGCAAAACAAAAGTTCCACATAATTCCTAACTCCAAAATACGAGCTTTCTTCCTTCCTGGGATTCAAAACTCAATGCCTGTTGTCATCACCTCTATTGGCAGATGATAGATGGGCGTGACAGCAGAAAAGTGAACATCCAGTTCCTCCGCTCACACATTGGCATCGTTTCCCAGGAACCAGTGTTGTTTGCCTGTAGCATAAAGGACAACATCAAGTATGGGGACAACACCAGAGATATTTCCATGGAAAAAGTCATAGCAGCTGCCAAGCAGGCTCAGCTACACGACTTTGTCATGTCACTCCCTGAGGTAAGCACTGAGTGTGTTGTTCCCTGTAGTAGACAGGGATGGCGGGTGAGGAGAGGTAAAATGGGAAAAGAAAAAAAAAAGTTGTAATTGTGGCTCGAGGAAAGTTCCAAGTTTATTTCCCAGTGTCTTAGTCTTTTAAGCAAAATAATTGAAAATCAACATACAAGTATAATGGTTAACAAAATGGTTGCTATAGACTTTGTCATACACACAGCAATTTCGTCCTGAGCATTAGTTCAATATCATGGAAAATAGCCTCGTATTTGGAGCAAACATGGGTTTGAATCCACGCTGACACTTCCTAGCTGTGTGAATAACTTTGGGACAATTTCTTATCCATTCTGAGATTGTCTACTTCATCTTTAAAATGTAAAAAATAACCTTAAAAATGAAGGAATGAGCTTAATAGCCATACAAAGAAAGCTGCTGTTGCTGCTGCTGTCATTAACCCCGCAATATCTTGGTACTTGGCAGCTCATGCTGTGCGTGGTGGGTACATCACGCCGCCTTAGTGTCTCTTACTTTACCAGAGCCAAGTCTGAACTTAGTGCAGTATTGGCTCAGCATTTTTCTGTTCACCAGGCATCTCTCTTGGTGGTTTGCCGCAGTCTGGCTGGGCACAATCAGGAGCCACTTGTCAAAAGAAACTAACTTTATTTTTAGAACCACACACGCCAAACAAAACAGCTCCTCAAGAAAAACCCTCAGAGCCCCAACTGCCACCACCGGCTTCCCACAAGCCTCTCTCTCAACCACAAGCCTCACCACCTCCCCCCATCCTCCTGCTCTTGAGGCCGATTGGCTGGGTCGCGTGGGCGGAGCCAAAAAAGTCCCCCAACAGCAGCTCTGTGGTCTGAAAGGGCAGGGAAACAGCCCAGTGAGCATCACCGCAGAGGAGCCAATCAGCTAGATGTTGCTGGGGCCGCTGTGAGCCAATCATCAGCTGGCAGTCTGAAAGGGCGGGGAAACAGCTCAATGAGCATCTCCAATGAGCATCACCGCAGAGGAGCCAATCAGCTAGATGTTGCTGGGGCCGCTGTGAGCCAATCATCAGCCAGCAGCTGGAAGTTTGCTGGGGCCCCTTCGGCTGTGGCTCTCAACAGTGGTTGACCACAAGAAAAATTAAGATATGAAAACCAAGTTGTACGAGCCAAATATTACCTTGTACCTTCTCCACTTCATGTTTTTTTTTAAATCACTTAAAAATTCATTTCCTTTGTATTTGATTATGTTTATAAATTTTATAATGTTTGGGGTAGGGTTTTGGTTTGTTCTTTTCACAAGTCTCCCCAGGTCTTAGGTTAGCCTCTTGGCCTGGTTCTAGCCTGGGCAGCCTAATCAGCACACCTGGGAAATATTATTTGCTGCATCTGGAGTTAAAAAGCAAAGTTGTGTGACCCCAGAGGAGCTACTGATTCCGTGAAAGTTTATTGAGCACCTACATGTTTTGCTCAAGAACTGCCTTGGAGTTGATTTACTGCCTCTTTTTCTTACAGACTTGCCCACAATACTCTTCACGGCCCAATTCATCTTTATAAGGATAAAGGAGGCTGCCATGACTTCATCTGGTTTAGTGGAGCATTTTTCAGGGGGCAAGGGAGGCAAGGGAAGGAATGATCTTGAATTGGAAGGCAAGTTAGAGTAGTGGTTAAGAGCCAGGATTCAGAACCTACCTAGACACACCTGAATTAATTAATTAATTAATTGGTACTGGGGATTGAACTCAGGGGCACTCAACCACTGAGCCATATCCCCAGCCCTATTTTGTATTTTATTTAGAGACAAGGTCTCACTGAGTTGCTCAGCAACTCGCTTTTTGCCGAGGCTGGCTTTGAACTCTCAATCCTCCTGCCTTAGCCTCCTGAGCTGCTGGGATTACTGGTGTGCACCACTGTACCCGGCTTACCTGAATTTAGATTTCACTTTTGCTGCTTATTATTGTCTTCAAGTTTTATCATCTACAAATTGAGAGAATGTGATTTCTGTGAATACTGAGTCCCAACTAGTATGTGTGCACAATCTCTGAGGCATAGTAAACACACTGTGAATGTAGCCATGTCAGGCATCTAGCTAGACCCCTTTCCTTCCTAATTTCATCAAAACTCACAACAAATATGTGATCTGGGTACCACTACTGCATTTTTTCAGATAAGCTTGCAGCTCAAATAAATTTAATAAGCTGTACATGATAGCAGAGCTAGATGTATAAATGCAAACCAAGGCTTGTGTTCTAGATTGGTGTCTCCCTAGGAAAGGAGTGGAGCAGGAAGCCCCTCGAAAAGCACTTGTGTTCCTGGGCTTTTTCCATTTGATGATCTTGTCCAGTTAAGAGTTTAGAAATCAGGGAATCTCCAATCAAGGAGGATCTCTTATCTGGGATCTTACCTGGAGACAAGGAGAAAGAGATTGAAAATATAAACCTAAAAGAAAGGCAGAGATGAGGAGTAAAAATCCCCTCATTTCCCAGCACAAACTTCATATTTTCTTATATTCCTAGCTGGATTTTATAGGATTATTTTCATTCTCCACAAGTTCAAAAACAATCATTTAAATTCATAAAGGAGTCATTGATGTGAGCTCCATACAGCACAGAAGCAATGGACATTTCTAGTTCTCAATCTTACCATACCTTTTCCAGAAATATGAAACTAATGTTGGGACCCAGGGATCTCAACTCTCTCGAGGGGAGAAACAACGCATTGCTATTGCTCGGGCCATCCTACGAGATCCTAAAATTTTGCTCCTAGATGAAGCCACTTCGGCCCTAGACACAGAAAGTGAAAAGGTACATACTGATTTTCTAAAGTTGTAGATCATTTTAGATTAATCTTTTGCTGTAAGAATGGTACTGTTTTCAATTTTCTGATTCATTAACAGTAGAAATTGGCAATATTTCGTGGAAGCAAAAAATAATCTCTAGAGAAAATGGTTTAGCAGAGATTTGTTTCAGATAAAAAAAAAACTTTACCAAAATAATAATTGTTTTAAAGATTCTTCAGGTTAAGTGACATTTTTCAAAAGGGAAATAACTTTTTAAACATAATAAAATAATTTATTGTAATAGGTTAGGCATAACATTTTATATTTTCTCAAGCAATGTGACTTTGGGTGTGCCACATACAACAAAGAGGAGAAGGTGGCACCTGATGTTCAGTTTGCATGAAAGGAGATGCAAGTGAGAAAAATCACAATTCTGAAATTCAAAATATATGATTAACAACTTAAAAATCAGGATTCCATTCTGGGAAGAGCTAAAATGTCCTGAATGAAGACAAGCATCGAGAATGCCACTTAACTTCTACTTACATTGTTTTCTTTAAATAAATTAGACCACCAAATTTTTATAAATTTACTATGATTTTGTAGTTTCACTGAAATTTCTTGTCTTGCTGAGATTTCTCAGCCTGTGAGCTACAATTTAAATCATGGATGCATAGATCTTCTATTTGCTTGATCCTCTGTTATGCTGAATCTTTGGATTTCCCCTAAGTATGGGATTGTTCCCAGGTGGTATTGAACTGAACTCTGAATGATGGTAGGCTGGGGACAATCATATCTCTTTGCATCAACTTTCTGTCTTTTCTTTGCAGACAGTTCAGGTTGCTCTGGACAAAGCCAGAGAGGGTCGGACATGCATTGTCATTGCCCATCGCTTGTCCACCATCCAGAATTCGGATATCATCGCTGTCATGTCACAAGGGGTGGTGATTGAAAAGGGGACCCATGAAGAACTGATGGCCCAGAAGGGAGCCTACTACAAGCTAGTCACTACTGGAGCCCCCATCAGTTGACCTGACTCAAGAATGTAATACTTAGAGCTGGGGACATCGTCCCATGGTAGAGCACTTGCCCAACGTGCTTGTGCTCAAGGCCCTGGGTTCAATCCCCAGCACATGGGGGAAAGAAAAGAGAAATGTTAATATTTTATTCTTACAGACATAACCATACGCTGAGATCAAGACTAATTTCTAATGACCTTCAATAGTAATTCAGTTTAGATGTCCGTATAGAAACTGGAGTCAATGTGAGTGAAACTCCAAGGTCAAGCAGCTGTTTAGCCACCACACAGTGCTTCTCTGCAGAAGCCAGTTACAATCACTACATGGGAGTTGTGAGAGGCTGTGGAGTGACTGAGACTTTGAACTCCTCGAGGCAGGAGGACTGCCATTTGTGATTTTGAACCCTTGGTGTATATAAAGCTTCCTCTATAATAGGCACTTAATAAGCTGAACTAAGAAAAAATGTGAAAAGAGCAAAAGGATCAAAGATCAATTGTGTTTCTCAGCTAATAGTTTCTTGCACACGAAGCAGATACATTCATCCCTAAGACTGAGGATAGGGAAAGGAAGACTTTTGCATCCTGGAGGCTCTCAAGCTGAGGGATGTGGCAGGGGCAAGGATTAGCAGGGGTTTACCAGTTTGCCAGTGTTGATTGAGGTTGTGGACCCCAGGGTGAAGTACGTAGGAGCTGTTGGACTACTTGCTGGGCTTGAATGCTGAGAGACATAACTTCCTGTTTACTAGACTAAATCTGCTGGTGTGGTTGGGTAGAGGTGTGTAAGTGTGTGTGGGGGGTGTATTCCAAGCCTTATACTTCTCATCATCCCCCTCCATATTGGTTGCTTTCTTTATTCCATAAGTCAGATTCATGAAATAAAAATAGTGCCTTTTACCTTGCTTTAGCTTCTTAAGATGTAACATTTAAATAGCCAGTTAAATATGGCAGAAAAACTCTCGATTCTTCCCTGCTTTTTCAGAATACCACTAAATGATATTAAAAGAATTAAGAAAGCATAAAACCACAAGAACACAGAAAGCAACATGAAGCTGAAAACAAAATTTTGAGATCCAGGAAGCAAATAAACAACAGATAATGGGTTTAGAAGATGAGAGAAAAAAAAAACGGTCCTCTACTGGTTGGGGGAAGGGAAGATTGTGAACATTCCATTTGGTACTACCGGCCCCTAGCAAGGCTCAGGATAAGCCATAGGGTCCTTCAAGGAGTGGAAGGAGAGGAACCCATGGGGCTGAAGACAAGAATGGGCTGAGACTGTGTAGCAACAGAGGTGCTGAGCCTCTCCTGCCCTTCCCTGATCCCAGCAGGACACCTGGGCACTCACAGACAGGCTTGGCATAGGGAGACAGGTTGCAGTTGAGGGGCGATGAACACATAGGAGGCAGAGGATTGAGTGTAAGGGTGTGTATGGGCAGAGGGACCCCTAGCTACGGTCCTCTGGCAGATGACTGAAGAATGAATCTCTGCAGAAACTGGTCAATGCAAGAAAAGAGATCTATGGGTCCGCTAATCTTTCAAAGGATATTTGAGAGTCTTCAGAGTCTTTCAAAGAATATTTCCTAGCCAGATTACCTGACTGTGAAGTACCTGACTGTGAAGTCCCTTTGCCCACAATATGTACACACTCAGAGATACCCTGGCTTTTCAGTGCCTACCTTTTGCATAAGCAGAGACTGCCAAGGATCATTAGGAAACATTTTAACATACAAAGCAAAAGTGACAAGCAAGAGTACACCCAAAAGAAAGGAAATAACATGTGACAGAGACATTGCAAAAATCAGAAAATGCTCAGAGAGGCAATAAATTTACTCAATGAGATATTTCTGTCTATTCAAATAAAAACAGGAGTCCATTAAAATGAATACATACTCACACAGATACACAAAAGAGCTCTTGATAGCAGAAATGCAAAATTCAATAGCAGAACTACACAGTTCTCACCAGCTGTCCTGTTATCTCAATGTCTTCCTCCCTACATCTTCTTCCCAAGCCTACTCACTCTGTGCTTATATTTCTTCTTCCCATGGCCAACAAATGAACTTATGCCGACAGAGTAAACTTGAGTTGTGGTATTTTGAGGTGTATTATTTTCCCCCCTGTGTTTTCTTATAAATAACTTCAAAGATGTTTTAGCAGGTTGACTGGTCAGGCCAGAATTATTGATGGTTGCCAAGTCTGGGAGACAGAGAGCAGAGGAATGCATTCTAGTTATGAAAAATCACAGGATGAAATAAGTTGCAGAACAAAGATGACTGCAGAATAAAGATGCAGTAAAACACATGCTCATCCTCTAATCTTGATGAAAGAAGAGCAGAATTCACGTTTAGTGGCTTTTCAAAGAAGGAAAACCCAGGATCTGTCTGGGAGTTTGTTTCCCTAGAGCAAAATTCCTGGGGTCTGAGGACTGAGTTATCTTTTCAAATAAGGTACTTGAAAGTTTTTGTTGACATAAAAAAGGTTGACTCGAGAGGATGTGAAATGATTTGGGAAAACAGTTGCTTTTTGAGGCTTAGTGACAAACTTCAAAAATCAAACAAATAAAGTTGCATTTTACTTTGCAACGCCAGGGGGTGTCAGTGTCTCCATTTCTATTCTGTATCACTGACAAAGATTTGACTCTGCAATTTTAATTATTGTTTCTCAGCTGACCCAGGGGTTGGCTTAATCTGTTCTGTCTGATACTTATCGCAAGTCTTTCTTCAATTTAATGTTTTCATGATATGTTTGTGCTGAGATCAAACTCTCCTTTAACCCCAGTTAATAAAAGTTTATAGAAGAAAAAACAATAGAAGGATTAGAAGATAAAGTTGGGAAAAACTTTTTTTTGAAAGTAGAATGAAAAGATATTAAAAAATAAGGGGAAACATTAGACAATTCAGGAGATGCAGTAATTTGCCAATAGCAATTCCAGAGACCTCAGAGAAAGCTATGGGAAAGAATTTTGTAAAGAAATAGTCCAAGAATATTTCCTATAATTGAAGAATATGAATTCCACAATGAAAGGGTTCACCAAGTATCAGATATAATGAATAAAAGTCCTACCTTGGCACATTGTTATGAAATTTTAGAAAACTGGGATAAAGGAGAAGCTATTAAACTTTTCCAGGAGAGAGAGGAGATGTATTACATATTATAGGCAAAGAATCATGGTGACATACCTCCTCTTGACAACGAAACTCAAAGTTAGAGGAGATAAAGATTTGTCTTCGGAATTCTGAGGAGAAATTATTCTATACAGACAAAATGTTCTCAAGAACAAGAAGAGTCTTAAGAATTTCTCGGTCACTTAGGTCTCAAAACTTTTATTTCCTGTACATCTCTTCTCAGGAAGCTACAGAGGGAGATCTCCTTAAAATAGAAGAGCAAAGAAAGAAAGAGGAAAGAGGTGGGATGTAGGAACAAGTGATCTAACTCAAGACCAAGGTGATAGAAATGTCCAGGGGTCATCTAGGAAAACAGGCTTGCTATACCCATGGGGCACAGCCAGCCCAGACAAAGCAGGACAATGAGTTCTGAAAGGCATGTCTCCTGGAAAAAAACACCTGCTAGACTACCTGGTGGGCTTGAATGCTGAGAGACATAACTTCCTGTTGGAGTCTTGCATGTCAGTAGAGAGTACTGGAATACTGGGCAATGGGGGATGGGGGAAGAAGAGACAGTTAACTCCAAGGGAAAAGAAAAATTACACATAAAGGAAATGCATTTATGTTACAGTGCATGACTCACCGGAGAATGCTATTTACAAAGTCATATTAATTGTGGGTGGCATAGGATGTCTATATAAAAGAACTAGATCCTCATTTTATGATGGAAACAAAATAGTTCAAAAAGGTAAACAAATAGAATGAGAGCACATAATTTAAAATGTATTTTATATATGTATTTTATACTACACTTGATCTTAGCCAAAAGGCCGAGAAGCGATATATATATGTATTTTATTTAACCTAATCTATCCAAAATACTATCATCACAACACATAATTAATATAAAAATTACTACCAAGATATCTCACATTAGTTTTTCTCACTAAATATTCAAAACCTTCATGCATTTAAACTTTCAGCACATCTTAGTCCAGACAAGACACATGTCAAGCTCTGTTATAAATATTCACCTGTTTGAGTTGACAAGAGGGGAAAAGGAAGATTGTTTGGGATAACAAAATAAAACTTTTAATGCTTCCATATTATCTAAGCTCCTGAGGATCTTTTTCCAGAACTAGTTTTGTTATAATTAATTTTAAAGATTATTTATGATTGCTTTCTATAAATAATTTTTATGAAAAATTGGACCAACACATTTTCTAATTTCTTTTGGACAGATCTTCAGTCATTTGATTCATTTCAGAATTGTATGGAAGCAAGTGCCCATAAACTAGAAATCCCACTATTTGGTAGAAAAAAATGGGAAAAATATGGCCTCTAGATTCTTCTGTTTAAAGCTCTTTTGCCTACAGTTATGCTAGGTCTACTTTGTTCTGAGGAAATTATTTCAATGAAAAGACATCTCAAGGTGTCTTAATGCTGCACTCATGCATGTAATTTGGGGCAATTATATATTCATTTTAAAATGTAGAGCCTGAAATATTTTGATATTGTGTTCTAATAGAGGAAGATACATAGGACCTTAATTAGGTATGTTTTGCCACATATTTATGCAAGAATTAAAAGTAAGTTTCCTCTCCTAAGTAATCACCAGAATATTCTCATCAGGTTGGTTTAGGATCCCACTTCATGTTTACAACTAAGGGTTTGATTTATTAAATATCTCTCATGCATGCAAAAGCTCTCTGTAATCAGGTCATGCAAGTAGAGAAAAAAGATTGAAAATTAGCTTGCTGTTTTCAAGCACATTTTAGGATAGATTTACACATGCATGTGTGTCATTGTAAAATACGTATTATGTCCATTTGCATTTTCTCCAAATTTCTAGATCAAGTGAATATTTCACCTGCATATGAGATGGCAGGTGAAAGCAACAGCAACAAACCCAATTCCAGCTTCTTTCACACTGTGTTCAATTAAATGCCCAGTTAATTTAAATGGATAGACTGTAAACAAAGCAATGCCCATGATTATCATCTAATTAGCACTGGCCAACATTATAATGTGCTCATTAGTGAGTTGTATGGTGTTCTAAGGCTCATAATGAGTAATCAGGGTACACATGATTGGCATGTAGCTGCCTAGATGCAACTACTCAACCCAATAAATCAGAGCTAGGACAAAATGTGCTATAAAAAAAGAAAGAAGACTATATAGCCAGCTGGTGAATTGACAGTTTCCTCCTTTCTATAATTCAGGTAAAACTCTGACTCTGAGACACAAAGAAATTCAAGAACAACAGAATACTGGTGATGGGCAAGGAAATGTTCATGCAGGTGACACAGAACAAGTGCTTCCAATTATCATAAATGAGTACAGAAAAGAAAAAAATCTTTGAGCTGTCATATTGGTTCAGAATACAGACTGCTGATATATCAAGTTTAGACTCATTTAGAGGTGAGCAATGTCTAAATAAAATTTCTTGAAAGTTGAAAATTCAAATAATCATTTCAGTGTAACTATAAAACATTTTATAGTTTAGAAAGTGTTTTGCCTTCATAATTTTAATGTATTATTATGAATCAGCAGGCTGCAGGAAAGGGATGGAGCTTTAAATTGCATTATATATATATATATATATATATATATATATATATATATATATATATATATGTATATATAATGAAGTCACTGTAGCAAGTGTTGTTTGGTTCACTTGACACCCAATCCTAGACCCTTTTTCTTTGCTTTCCTCTGTTGCAGAGGCTGGGAGGTAATTTACCCTCCCAAACTCCCTTGCAGTTAGAGGAGGTCAGGTGACTGTGTCTGGGTCATTAAACATAGGCAGAGGCTCTATCCAGGCTGTTGATTCCAAAATACACCCAGAAGATTTTTTAAAAAAAAATCCCTGTTCCTTTTGCCCTTTTTTCTTTCCTGGATACATAGCAAAGCCACCACCATAATGGCAAGGCAGGAAGACAGACTGAGCCTGATTCCTGGACATCCCTCAACTGTACTGCCTAGCAAAGCTACCTATCTTCAACCATCTTGTTACAGGAGAAAAAGACACCTCTCACTGTGTTAGCCACTGAAGTAGTTATTAATTAGGTATTAGCACCATCTTAAGAGACACCAACATTACTTTCATCCACCATATATGAACATAGTGTAACTCCACATCATGTATAACCACAAGAATGGGAAGTTATACTCCATGTATGGAAAGCAACTGAATTTTTTTTTAAAGTCACCAACCATCAAAAGAAAAACAACAACAACAGATTTCTATTCATAAAAATACTGAAGTATATAGAAAATAATGTAATGTTGAAGTATTGATGTGTGCTTAAATGACCTTCAGATATGACTTTTATTCCTAGAGATATTCCGGAAATATTTATGTAAAAAGGAATTAATCCATTTCCCCCCCCCAAACATCACTGCTATAGAAAGGATGGTAGAAGTCCTTGTAGTTCATTCTAGTGGCTTCCCAGGAATATTTCATGTACCTGCTTTCTATAAAGGAAGGAGCTACTTGGGTACTTAGTGTGTTATCATTATGATAATTATGCTTTCTTCTCACATGATAAGTTAGGATTAGACTGCAAATAATGTGGATTCCATTGGCAGAATATAGACAGAATTGAAAATAAAGTGGTTCAAGAAGAAGACAAATTTTAAAAAGATGGGTTAGGAAAGATGAAGAACTATGTTCTTAGTTAATTGATAGCCAGGTATAGTCTCAATTCTTTCAAGTTCACTGACCAGAGATAGCACTGGAGTTTCCCAAGAGTTACAGGTTCTGAGCCCAGAATCAAAGGAGAACCTTCCTGGGGAAGTCTGTGAACTCATCCTTGCCTCTCAGACACCTCAATATGCTTATTATATGCCAGGAGGGAATTAGAAAAGAAAAGCCCTTTGTGCACCTGAGAAGATAGTAGAAGGGGATTTCTAATTTTTATATATCATGGTCATCCTAAAAAAAACTTGGGATCCTATAATTTATTGGAAAGATGGTGCTGCATTCAAGAAGCACATTTTGACAGCTGTAAAGAATTCAAGCCTCAACTTTACTTTTTCATCGTCAAGACATCCATAATGAGGCCACAACAAACTTACTGAAGAACTACTTCAAACATGTAGGTACTTTCCAACAGCATAGTCACTTCAACATCTCTAACCCTCCTGCCCTTGAAGCAAAGTTTCCTTCTCACTCAGCCTATTATTATCTAAATCTTCTCAGGATCTTGTCTGGCAAGAATTTACACTTTAGGATGTTGAGGAAGGGGAAATGGAATTGGCAATTTAATCATAGAGTGACTTTTACACAATGGGTGAGCAGGAAATCTATGAATGTTCTCATAGTAATAATTATGTCCCATTACATCAGCTGAATTACTACACATCTCCACGTACCTCTTTTCATAGCCATAAAATTTGAATTCTAATTGGAATATAATATTTTAAAGACTGAAATTATCATAAAGATCCAAAATTGTTTTAATAGAGTAGCAAATTTCAAAATGGAGCACAGTCCTTTTTAGAATTTATAGCCTTGTTTATTTCACATCAGTAAATTAAAACAGTATCTATGGAATACAGTTGTATCACCTGTTTTACTCAGTTTCAAAGAAAAACTAACAATAACCTAAAAGCCTTCCACAAAGACAGTGCTTCATAAAAAAAAAAAAACAAACAAACGAAAGAGTAGACTTGGAGGAAGAGCCAGAGCATACTGAATTTCATTGATTAAGATCCTAAGAGTAGCAGAATGTCACAGCTGGGATGAATTTTCCAGTCGTAGCCTTTACAAGGCCCCTTAGTTGAGAATTTAGGAAACTGAGGCCACCGATGTTAAACGGTCCCCTGGAAGTCACAGTACAGAGCCACACTGGAATGGAGGACTGCTGACTCTAGTCCAGGTGCTGCTAAACTCCATAAAGCCCTTTGTACATCCGTCTTTGAATTTACTGACACCTGCCCCATCCCCACCCCCACTTTCTGATGCTCTTTGGGATCCACAAGTGACAGAGCTTCTTGATGGGGCAGGGTAAGCCGGACATCGACATTCCAAAGCTAAGAAATGCACAGTAAACACCTCAAAACTCAGACGGAAACATTTGCTCAGCCTTTGTTAAATCCATGCAGCCTTCATACAGAAAGACAGCAAGGGCTCCACCATTTCTTTCGTTCAAAAAATTGTAGGAAGGCAGAATTTGGAATGATGATGATAAAAAGAAGACCTTGAGGATCAGATGCTTTAGACTCAGATTTTTAAAAAAATATTTATTTATTTGTTTCTTTATTTATTTATGGGACTAGGGATAAACCCAGGACACTCTACCACCGAGCTACATCCCAGCACTTTGTATTTTTTTATTTTGGCCTGGAACCTGTGATCCAGTCTCTGAGATCACAAGTGTGCACCACCACACGAGCTTTGACACAGAAATGATGGCTGGAGGGCAAGGGCAGTGATGGGTGAAAGGCTGTGATGGGTGCAAGTGATTTCCACCTTTACGAGATGCCTTCCACTAAAGACGGGATGTGTGTGCTTGGAGGACAGCCTGACCAACACTACTCATAAGACAAAGTCTGAATCCTGAAAAAAGTCAATTTTTTGAGCAAGAGTTATACTGTGATTGGCTCAATGATGCAGAAGGATAGATGAAGCCAGAGCAGGAAAGAAAGCTCTTCTTTTGTAGGGTCTGGGCTTCTTTCTCAGGCACACACAGTACCTGCTCTTTCTTCTGGGTATTCACACAGACATTCTCCCAGGGAAAGGATCAGCCCCCATTTGGGCCAGCAGGGGAAATGGGCTGATGTGCTGCCTCCTGGCAGTCCTCATATGTGCCACAAACCCAACTCAGCAGGACCCCAGCTGCTGCTATTATTCATTCCCTCTTCTCTGGGGGCTCCTCCAAAGCACACTGTCCTTTGGGGAAACATCATCACAGCCAGATTCTCTTCAGAAAGCACAGGGCAAATAGAAGAAAAGAAAAAATTCTAAGAAATTTAAAATTCAAAACAGAAGGCTATTAATTGGTTTTATGCTAACCTTTATAGCCTTAATCTTCGAATTTTCTCCCTCCTTTAAGAACAATCACTTCTGGGCTGATTTCTTCAAATGAGATATGATTTCCTCCGAGCCAAACCAACCACACCAAACCAACCTCAAATTTGACAGAAACTGCATTTGTCCTTTGCAAAGCGGAAAATGAAGCACCTTCTAATTCTTAGAATTTTCTCATGAGTTGTTGTCACTGGGCAGAAATTTCTGGAGTTGTTGCTTCTTATAGACTTTCTCTTCTACTAACTTTCTTTTTTTTTTAAAAAAATAAAGACTTAAAAGAATTAACAAGTGGTTCCACTTTACCTTTGGAGCAAAAACTACATATGAAGCATTAACAATAGGGGAGGGGAAAAAGTTAGGAAGATACCTTAGTAACATTGGGATCCAGAATTGTTTAATAGAGTAGCAAATTTCAAATTGGGATGCTTCATCCAGGGAGCTCTTTGCAGTTTCCAAGGTGTCCAAGAGATTGTCAAAGAGAAAGAATCCTTGGAGCAACTGTACACCAGTGTCCTTCTGTGAACAGTTTCTGAACATGCACAGAAGTATTAGTGTCAGGCATACATGTATGTTAAAGCCAGAGAAACCTGAAGGGTTTTCAGGTTTTCCTGAAAAGGTCAGAAAAGTCATCCAGCCATCCAGAATGTCATCATGAATATTAGTAAAACCACCTAGTTTTGTGGCCCTTATGCTTGCAGGACAGGACATGGTTCAGGGAGGGTGAACTTAGACTCTCTGATTTGAGGCAATAAAACTAGATCCAGGCAAACCAAGGTGGCTAGAACTCCCAGGACAGAGGTAGAGAGAACGGAGCTGCACAGAGAGAAAATCCCAGATCTGCCGAGGTCCCTTTGGGAAATGCAGTAGAATCTACCATTGACTTCTTATAGCAGGGAGTATGGATTCATGTTATCTTGCAGGAATGGGTGACCATATGAAAATTATTTTTGTTTTGTTTTGTCATCAAGGAAAAACACAGTGGGACTTGACTTGTAACATACAATTCAGTAGCCACTAGATACATTTGACTATTTAAATTTAAATTAATTAAAAGTAATTTGAGTTTAATAACTCAGTTCCTCAGTTGCATTAGCTGCATTTCAGGAGCCCAGTAGCAGCAGGTGCTAGTGGTCCCACACAGGGCAGCACAGATGCGGATCATCTCCATCATTGTGAAAAGTCCCACCTGTAAACTGCTAGAAACTACAACTTTAATATACTTAAGAAAGTAATCATAGTTTTAAATCCACCTATTAAAAAAAAAAAAAAAACTTTCTCTTTTGCCAAGAGTTTTTTGTTGTTGTTTGGGGTTTTTTGGAGGGAGGTGAGGGTATGTGTATGTTCCAATTTGATTTCAATTTTATTTACAAATTCATGATATATAATATTGATATTACTTTGGATTTTAACAACACAATAGAATTTTATTTTAAATTACCATTCTGTTACAGCAAAATAGGTATAGAGAAGGCACCAACTTAACCTTCTGAAGCAGATGTCCAGTCAATAGGCTGTTAAAAGAAAGGGATTCAAAACTCATCTTGATGACTAGTTGCAGCAATAATAAATTCCTTTGCATCTCTTGTCAAATGTATGTTTGATTGGACAAATTTCCTAAGTCAGTTGTCTAGATCGTCTCATCCCCAAAGCTCATAATATTGACATTTTTCTCTTGAATATGTAGATACTCAGACCTTTTGAATATATGGATATGGTAATAGTAGTCAGATGAACTCGGTTCTGCTTCCTTCTGACAAATAGATTGCAAGCAGAAGAATGTTTTCCATCCTTATTAAAGGCTGTCATTTTCTCCACGCTGTGAGAAACTGCTTCTCTTGCTGCCTAAGCAGTTTCAATTGCAAAAGCAATTTGCCACCATACGGATTCCTCCAGGAGACAACTGGAGTAGAAAAGAAAAATCTCCTCACATGGGGACTCTGAGAGTTTTGGCAGATAAAGGTAGAATTTGGGGGGATTGATTATAGAAAATGAGCCCCTACTCCTCTTGCTGCTCCCTAAAGATCGCAGGTCACCCAAAGAGCAGCATGGGGTAATTTAAGAAAGCTTCTCTGTGGCACCAAGAGGGGATTCAGGGTGGAGTCCAACATTGCTGCAGAATCCTTGGCTCTTAATGCCCCAGTGTTCTCAGGCCTTGGTTAGAGCAGGCTGAGACTATACCAGAATGGAGAACACTTCAAGATGAACATTGCCAACCTCATAGGGAACTTTGATAAAAGGTTCTGAGAGGGGAGTTAGAACTCTGACCCAGCAGTATGAGCTGGGGGTGAGGCAAATGAATCATAACATATGAAGTGACCTTGGAAAGTTAAAATGAGGAGGGGCATTGACGAAGTGAACCAGAATCTTTGTCTTCTGCTGCTTTTGCCCTAATTATCCCATTAGCATAAGACAAATTTAACCTTAAAGTAAACTTTCTTCATCCCTCAGTCTTTTGCTTAATAACCAATTACCTTTTAAAAAGAAAGCTACTAAATGCATTTCATAAAAGCAACAGCACATGCTCTATAAATACACTTGGGAAAGAGCCAATAATTGCTTTGGTTTTTAGAAGTTTCATTCTCCAAAACTAATCTCTTGTCAACTAGCACTTCCTTAAACTATTATGTTTTTGTAAACATTTATGGGTTCTTTCACATATTATCATCTAAAATTATTCACATACTGATATTTTTGAGAAAGGTTAAATAAAACATTATGGTGGATCACAGGTCACTAATGTGTGTAGCAAAACCACACTCAGAATCCTTGTGTCTGCTTGGAGTGATGATACATGCCTGTAATCACAGTAGCTTGGGAGGCCAAGGCAGAAAGAATACAAGTTGGAGGCCAGCCTGGACAACTAAGCAAGATTCAGTGTCAAAATAAAATTGATAAAAGGGCTGGGGATATAGCTCCATAGCAGAGTACTCCTGGGTTCAATCCCTAGTGTAGCAAAACAACAGCAAAAAACAAAACAAAACAAAAAAAAAACCTCTTAGGCTTGATTGAAATGATAGTCATCAACTAAAAGTCCAGAATTATTAGACTCAATGAGGGAAAAACAACCCTTACTGAGAAGTTATTAGTACAATATTAATAGTCTATAATGAGTAATTTTCTAAAGTAAAGCTGTAACTTTTCGTCACAGTTCAGTATAGATCGAGATCAATCCAGCTAATAGATACAGGGTTGGAGCATGACTTTGAAGAAGGCACTTGATTTTCCTGGTTTTGAAAGATTGTCTCCTAAAAAATAGAATAAGGGAATGTCATAGTGAAGAGATGAGACTTTTTTGGCTAAATCACATTCTAACAGAATATCTTCACCAGAATTTATTGAAATATTGATAAGCACTACTCTGAAACAGAGACCAGGAGTTAAGAAGAGGTTCAAGTTTATCTTGAGGAGCCTGACCTGATCATTTCTGCTGAATGTGTCTATGTATCCATATTTGCAGCCATTCTGGTCCCATCAAGATCCTGTATGTAGGTCATAAGTCAAAGTGGATGTGGCATTTCAATAAAATTTCTGAAAAAAATAGCTATCTTGGGCTGGGGTTGTAGCTCAGTGGTAGAGTGCTCACCTCACATAGATGAAGCACTGGGTTCGATCCTCAGCACCACATAAAAATAAAATAAAGGTATTATGTCCATCTACAACTAAAATTTTTTTTAAAAAAATAGCTATCTCACATGGCAATCATCATAGAGTGTAAATAGAAGCATTTATTATTACTGATTTTCATCTCTTAAAAATGAAGAAACAAAAGAGTATAATGGAAATACGTATCAGAAGATTTGGATTCTAACTCCTGTTCTAGCATGGCATAACTACAGGCAAGTTTATTTGACTTGCATATTCCTTATCTGAAAACTGAGGAGACAAAATTTGACTGAGATTACCATTAAAATGCCCACAGGAACCAGAAGCATCCAGGCCTTAAGATGAGAAAGAAATGTGATACTGGGGCTTCTGATGAAGTGCTCAAGACTGGGATAAAATGAAGAGTCATTCCTATCTATGGGGACAGTGTTCAGTCCCAGTCAATTATCTGTAGGTGGGAGAATTCAGGCCCTGTGCTGCCATATTGTTAGATTTTCAAGAAAATACAGATTTTTTTTTTTCAAATATTCAGTTTTTTAAATGCTGACAACTAAAAAAAAAAACAAAAAAACAAAAACCACTGTGAAGGCCAAACTAAACCTATGTGAGGCTGACAGATATTATGTCTGATGAGACATTATCATAGTCTCTCCCTTCTCTATGGTTGTACTAGTGGATGGGGGAGAAGGGATCCTGGGACTACAGAGCTTTAACTCTCTGCATACCTTCTATTTCATCTTCTTTTCACTTGGTTTCATTAACATATGTATACAATAGGGAATCAGAGCCACCACAGTCAGTGGGATGGATGCACTTTTACAGAAAGACAACATGTAAAATAAATGCTCTGTGTGAGTTGGGATCTTGATGAAGCGGTAGAGCTGCAGTGTGGTCAAAGAGGTTATGGCACAGAGCAACCGGAAGCTCGGCTTGTAGCCATTTTCTCCTCGGCAACTCATAAGGAACATCTCTGAGTTGATTGCAAAACCCAAGCCAAAGAGAACCCCAAGGTTTCTCACAAGTCCAGCAAAAGGCGTGGTGTCAATGTGGATCCAGTCTGGGTTGGCACACCACTTTTTGGCTATGGGCACAGACCATAGCAGGTCAATGTCCAAGAGTCTGAGAAGCAGGTAAAAGCCAAGTGCAAACAGGAAAAGGAAGAGGTTGGTCTTCAGGTACATGCTCAGGCTGGCTGTCTGGATGCCTGGAGTGTGTTCAAAGGCCTCTGCCACCAGCATGCCTGGGGATTGGAAAGAGACACTGATGATGACTGTGCCCTTGAGCTCCTCAACGCTCATTCCTATCTGCAGTAAGAAATTTTGCCTTAGCTTTCAATGACAAAAAGGTCTTAGACACTTAGGTTCTATGGATTTTCTAAACCCTTTTAAAGGCATTAAATGAAAACAAACATTTGCCCCATAGTCTTTTAACTATCCACATTAACCCCAGAAGGATTAATCTATAGTCAATGGCCCTGAGTGACAACACATTTTATAGGCAGAGCACCAGAAACTAGATGCTTATAATTAATATTTCAATTGCCATGGCCAGCCAGCTTAAAGAGCCTTTGAAAGATATGTGGCACTGAACATCAGAAACTCAATCATGGTGAATGTGGCCTCAGGGATTTAAAGTAGCAAGTCCAGTCCTGCAACAATCACTCCAGATGATTTGGAGAGTGTGTCTTGATTGCAGGTTACAGGGTCATTATTAAATCTTCCAAACCAAGACAAAAGCGCAGTCTTTGAGTGAAGCTTTGGGAAATGGACTTAATTCTAGTTACACTTCATAAAAGCCTATCTTGCCATGCAGTTATGCATTTATACCATTGAGTGAGAACGTGTTATTGCCTTCACAGAGGCTGAGGTGCATGCATTGAACTACTTAAGCTCCCTGGAGTGGCATTTAATATCAGTGGCTTGAAAGAACCACCTCTAAAATTGGAAAACTGACTACCAGGGAAAATTGAACACCATAAGACAAATGAAGTAAAAGCTTTCAAATGACACGACTAAAGATAAGTGATCATATTTACCACCAATTACTCCAAGAATAACTTGATGAGGAAAATGTGTTGCTATGAATACTCTGGAGATGCAGACACTGATTTGAATCAACCAGAAAAGACTCCAAAGAAATGACCAGGTTAGTCTACAATGGAAGAATAGATACAGGTGTAAAGAGCAAAGAAATTGCATCACTCATAAAATTAGGGGTGACACAAGATGATCCTTCTCAGAGGAATCTTCCAACTCCCACATGAAATGATTCCAGAGTCTTTTCTTCCAAATGTTTTCATGTACTCCACAGAATTTGAAAAACTTTAACAGAGGTTTCTGTATTTCTCAATGCACTAAATTTAATCAATGCTATCTCCCAAGATTTTAATAAGTGCTAAAAAGAAAGCCAATCTGATATCCTAGAAATAAGGAAAATTGTTTTAATGGAGAAATGTTAAAGGAAATTCAAGTTTGGGGAAATTACCAATATCCAGAATGACTTAGAATAAATCATATATTTATATTTATGATTGATCCTGTTATTTGTGCCTCCTCTCTACCCTCCTCTACCAGCCCCTCTATGAAGAAAACACACTGGCTAGAGGCAATTTCACAAACTCTCAAGAGTCCTGGTTCCTTGTTTTTTGAGACATAGACAATAACGAAAAGGGCCTAGTTTACATACTTTCAGCATGAAGCTGTAATGTCCAGAAAACTTACAAAATATTAAGATCTAATAAATGCATGCCATTAAAAAAAACTAGCAGTATTGAGTTTCAGGAATCCTTAAATGGTTTGTTCCTGATGACCAGACCAAAATTTGGTTATAGAAAGATTGAGGAATAAAGAGAAGGAGACTTTGGAGAAGGATGTAAGCCGGGGCTAACCATGGTTAAAAAAAAAAAAAATCATCAAGTATTTAGTGATGTTAAGGTAGAGAGTGAGCACTTGATAAATTTTTATAGATGAAGAAAGTATTGCAGTTATAAAAGTTAAAAGGGGTTATAAGAATTTTTTTTGGGGGGGAACACGTTTTTTTTTTTTTTTAGGTTTGTTAATTGGAGGAAAGAATGAACTATAGAGACTTGTTTCTTAACTTGTTCAATACTACTCCCCAAAATGGAATGTGATAAATCTTGATTTTTTTTTTAATTTTAGAAGAAATTTCACATAATGGTATATGTTATAATATAATAAAATGTTAAATATTTTTAACATTTTTTTTTAGTTTTTGGTATACCTTTATTTTATTTATTTTTAGGTGGTGCTGAGAATCGAACCCTGTTGCCTCACACATGCCAGGCAAGTGCACTACTGCTGAGCCACAACCCCCAGCTCTTATATTGTATTTTTTACAAAGTTTAATTGACACATTTTATCTCAGCTAGCCTGATAATTTATGAATAAAGTGGTACAAAGGATTGTTTTAATTATAAAGGATTTCAGGGAAAAAGAGAAGAAACAGCTCAGTCCCCAAAATGTGAGTAATTTGAAAGTGCCATGGCTTTCTAAACATTAAGAAATCTACTAACATGAAATCTACTAGCATTTAAATTTGATCTTGCAACTAGAATGTTTTTAATTAAAAAATTGCACAGTCTTTAAAGCTAGAATATATGTTGATGTCAAAGTCATTGGCTCTTCAAAGTAGGAAGCACAATTTTACTAAATTCATGCATTCAAGAAGAATGATGATCCTTCAGACTTTCAGAATCTTAAAGCTAGGGCTTGTGCACACAAAAAAATTCCTTATATAATTTCAGATGACTTATTTATAAGCTACCAAAATAATTGAATTTTGGAAACCCAAAGGCACATTTAACAAGCCATCAATCAGTTAAACATTTCCAACTCTATTATAATAAAGTGGCAATAGCTATAAGCTAATTAAAACATTATCTTAAGGCAAAATATTATATTTCTAGTTGTTCTGCTACTGTGGTTATGATAGAACAAGCACATTAAATTCAACAACTTTTTAGTATTTTTATATACTAAAATGAAGTTTTAGTAAAGACTTTGCGTATCCAATGTCATTTTCTGGAATCAAGCTGACCTGTGCAGAGTGGTAGAAAACTCATCCATCCGGCTGACAGCATGACTCAGGGCAGCCGTTACCATGACATACCAGACACATGATGAGCCCATTGCATGACCAGACGGACTTCCTGCAACAAGTATCACCCATTTGAAAGGTGGTTAATTATCAATATCAGAAATGGACCTTAGAATATCTATTGGTTATGAAAATTACAAATTACTCAAGAAACCCACAGGGTATAAGCTATATGAAACGTTTAGAAATAGGTACAGATAAGCAAAATTGAGTCAAATCAAGCATTAAGTAGTACTCTTTTTTTTTTTTTTTCAGAGCTGGGGTTGTAGCTCAGTGGTAGAGTGCTTGCCTAGCATGGATGAAGCACATATGAATTAACAAATAAAATAAAGTCCATCAACAGCTAAAAAATATACTTAAATTTTTTTCCCTTGTTTTCAAGCTCATTGAATTCTAGACATCAATATATTCAAAGATAATTAAGAATTCAGACTGTTTCACCAAAGTCTTAATACCACTCATTCATTCTTCATATCTACTTGTTTTTAATTGACAAGAAAATTACAATACTCATTTTGAATCTTGAATCAGTTTATTTTCCCTGAATTGAAAAGTCAAACTCTAAAACACATCATTGCTACACTGTGGTTTACTGATTAACCTTCAAGTGACTGTTTTGTGCAACCAGCTACCCCTGTGTCCATTTTGCAGCCCCTGCAGTGAGAGGTTTCGTTATACAATGGGAGTGAGCAGCAGCTATAAATGGGCCATTCATCCTGTCAGAAAAATCCTGAAGTCAGGTAGCCTCCCCACTCCCAGAATGTCTTTCCTACATGCTTAGTTTTATTTTTACTCACTTTACTTTGATTTTGCCCCTGTTTTTTTCAAGTAGTAGACATTCGTTCTAGTTAGACATCAGTCTGTCTTTGAAAAATGAAACAACAGGGCTGGGGTTGTGACTCAGTGGTAGAGTACTTGCCTAGCATTTGTGTGGCACTGGGTTAGATCCTCAGCACCACGTATAAATAAATGAATAAAATAAAGGTCCATCAAAGTCTTAAAAAATTTAAAAAACAAACAAACGAAACAATAGCCTCTTTTTTTGTTAAACAAAGACAAAACCTATTTCATGTCTGTAGGAATTTCCAAAGCCTTTTATATTCTTAACTGAATTGTACATCTCCAAGTGGTGAATATAGAATGCAGTATTTTTTGCTTTTTCTTCCTTTCTTTATCTCTCTTTCCAGAAAATGTTTCATAAGATGGAACAAATGCTGGAAAGTGCTAGGATAGACCAAAATACAATTTAAATAGTCTCCAAGGTTATCCATCCATCCATTCATTACACATTGCTTTTATAAAGATAAAAATGCACATCATTCTTGCCCTGATATATAGGTTACCTAAATACATAAAGAATTAATTACAGTACAGTATGACAAGTGATAGACATATGTATATTTTATGGGAACAAAAGAGACATTCAGAAAACTCATTAGGAACTCATATATTCACTCTATTCAGGGTTATTTTCAAAGGATGTCAAGTCAGAAGAATTTCACACTGTGTAACTGGGGAGGTACACTATAACACCTTCTAATAAAACAATGTGTAAATTTTCTTTACATATACATATTTTTTTTAAAAAAAAGTATTCTTAATGGTGTTTGATTTTTTTTTTTTTTTGATTTTGGTGGTGGTGGTACTGATTGAACCCAAGGCCTCGCACATGCTCAGTATGTACTCTACCACTACCTTAGCTGCATCCCCAGCCTCCAGTCTTTTATAGACTTCATTTCTGACTCTCTGTTGGAATATCTTTAGTCACTGGAGGCTACTGCATTGCTTACCTGGACCTGTTTCACATGTAGTAGGGAACTGTTCAAGACATGCACTTGAGTGATTTGGGTGAATCTGAGTTTCTTGGATCCACCAGTAAGGCCGATGACCAAATAATATCCTGTATTTAAGGAAATATAAATATTAACATATTTAAAAATGCACAACTATTACTTAACTGAAGGCTACCTATTTTTGCCTATAAAAGTGACTTGAGCAGAAGGTAGATGGGGAAAGGTCACAGTTAATAAACTCTGAAAGAACTTGGGTTCTGGTCTCTCATTCTAAAGGATGGTAGTCATTTGGGTTTAAGCACCCTAGTCTCCTATAAACACAGGAAGTTTTTTCCTTGTAGGGAAGTCCTTTGGGTGCTTTGTTTACTTAGAATGGAAATATCAAAGTGGTCCCTAGAATCATAAACCTGTTCATAATGATGCTGCTCATTTAATTAACTTCTTGATTAATCACAAAATATGTGTCACAGAGTTTTGGAATTTACTTGTAAGTTGGTTAAATCATATATTTCTATGCTTTTTGCAAGTTCTGCTTATGAATTTGGTGTTTTAAGTTAACTGTATATTTGAAAGATTTTTCAAGTAAAACTATACACATCTGCAATTTGATCATTAAGCCAAAGCCACAAATTTAAGAATACGTTTTAGGAAAAATGAAATAGAAAAGAAGTCTTACCATTTAAATATAAGATTGAACCAATCCCCAATGACAGCTACCCATATCATTTTGGTTCCAACTGTCTGATTAAGTTGAAACCAAAGTGGAAAATAAATAGAAAAGATATTCCGGGGGTCTCCAACATTGGACATGAAATTTAGAAACTCGTAGTAAGCTCGGTAGTCCTTCTGCAAATGCTGAATAATGAGCACTCCATTTCTATGAAGAAAATCCATCTTGAAGAAAAGGCAGTTCCAAACATAGAGCAATTGAAGCTGAAGTGCTCTGAATCCCGCGGTTTTTATGTAGGCATCTTTGTGGTGTGTTGAGCCATTACCGTGACATGTGATGCTGACCATCTGTGGAGAAGGCCTGTTGGTCCTCCTCTGTTGAAAAGCTCACTTATCCATGTTTTTAAATTGGTGGAAAAGAGGTAAAGTACATGCTGATCTGTGGCAATTTGAAGGGAAATTTGGATAGAAGCACAATGACTTTCTTATGCAACCTCCCTTTTGTGTGAACAGTTGGATCATGTTTGTTTGATATTTTTAATACAGTTCATTTCCTTCAAGAGCAGACATTAGCAATTTTTATGTGTGGCTAGAAGACTATGCAAATAATTATTGCATGTCAAATAGCCCTTAAAGCTATGCATTTTGATTTAAGTTAGACTGTGACTCTCTGACTATTTAATGAGTCTTTGAAGAAAACAGTAGAGTAAATATCTGGGCATGAAAAATTTATATGATATGACATTATTTTCTGATCAGACATTTAAATAAAAAAGAGTTTGGTATTTATCATCCAAAGAGAAGAATGAAATATATATGGAACAGGGAAGGAAATGTATGGAATATATGAAATCTGAAAGGAAATGTGTCGCTTTATGACTGTGAGGTAAAAAGACAGAAATTAATGTCACTTACATAAAATAAATGTGTTTGGACATTTATTACATACAGTTAACTTAAAACACCATATTCATAATGAGTTGTGGTTTTCATTGACTAGAAAATACAGTTGAGAGAATTGGAGAGTTTCCCTTGTCAGAAACATAGAAAGAGACTTCAAAGGGCTTTTGACCAATCTAGAATATGGTTTGTTGCAAATATTGTTCAGTAGAAATGGGACATACACAAATATGTAAATTGGGAATGAAAGAAGGGCAGCCCAGAGATCCCTGGACTCTGTCAGAGTGAGATGAAAGTTCTAGAGAGCTAGTAAATTCTATCTAGGAGGGTTAGCGTGAAAGTAATTAAGACCCATCAGGTGGCAGAGGTGGATCTAGGTAAGGTACTTGTTACCTTCAAGATTGTGGTCTTTGCTGATCACAGCCTCCTTCACTAGAACCTTCTTCACAGATTGTGGATATCACCTTGAACTTCTCTTGGAGTTGAGTCTTACAATTTTCCAGCATCATTACTGGCATCTGGTGTCTTACCTGGAAGATATGTGTTGACTGACCATTAAAATCTTTTGGGTGCCTTTTAAAAAGTGCATACCTTTGTCTCATCCCAGATCAATTAAATCTCTGGTGATATAACCTGGGCATTGAAATTATAAAAGTACTTCCCCAGTGAGTCCAATGTAGAATCAGGGCACAGAATCACTATACTAAAACAATTCATAAGAAGCATGAGCCTTGACCAATCAGATCAGTGTTTCTGACTTTTTATTTTACATATTCAGGTTCTATAATTTCAGTAATCTCTTTAATGAGCCATGAGGAAGAACATAGCTTCCCTTTATACTTTTTCTAAGAAGTGTTTAAGCTACATAATTCATAATATTCTTCAGAAGTGTCTTGTCCTTAAATCAGGGTGTGAATAATATCAAATACATTTTGTCTTACAATTAAAAATTAAACTTCATGCTCATTGAATAATTCAGAGTCTGTGGACTGTGATGAAGTTGGCTGCACATTAGCTTTTCATCTTATGTAGCTAATTTAGAAAGACTGTCTCCTGAGGAATATCTGGCTCTGAAGACTGTAGGATAATTAACTGAAGCAAAAGCACCTTGATTTCTTTTGTCCTTTAGCAGAATATGCTAAATCTTTTTGTTCTTCAAAGTTCATCATTTTTTGCCTTTTCGTATCTCAGCTTCTATAGATACCCTCAGAGTTGCCTTCTCAGACCAGATCTTCACTACTCCTCTGACAAATCTTTTTGGTGGGGGTTGTATTCATTTGCCAGGGTTGCCATAACACAGTATCAGACTGGATGGCTAAAACAACAACATTTTATTTTTTCATAAAAGTTGGAGTCTAGAAGTCTACAATCAAGACCTCAATAGGGTTGGTTTCTTCTGAGATCTTTCTCCTTGGCTTGTGAATGACTGCCTTTTTGTGTCTCCTCATGCTCTTCCCTCTGTGTATTAGGATGTCCTAATCCCTTCTTTTCATAAGGACACAGTCATATTGGATTAGGATCCACCCAAATGGCCTCATTTTAACCATTTCTTTAGGTACCCTGTCTCCAAATATAGTGACATTCTCAGGTTTAGGACATCAACACTGTTGGGAAAAGTACAAACGGCAGCCATACCCCAGAGAAAAAACACCCCAACATGGCGCCTAAGCACCTCTTCTTCCTACCCTCTTCTTTTCTGCAGTGGCGCGAAAAGTTCCCGCCCGTGTGAACTCTCCTGCCGGCGCCAATTTCAAACCTCGCTGGCGGGGAACCTTAGCCCCAATGAGAACTAATTCCTGGGCTCCGGAGCTGATATCTGAAAGAACTTGCCAATAAACGGGTTGCCTGCCATTTATCTAAACCCTACCATCTCCCCCTTAGTTCTATATAAGCACACTGCTTTTTGCAATAAAATTGGAATTCTCCCGGCGAAGTGTCTTTGCGTGGGGAATTCTTTCAAACACAACAATTTTAGAAAGAGAAAATTCAGTCCATTATAGATTCAAGCACAATTTGTAATTGCATGTTTAATTTGAACTTATTTAGTCAATCTCTTTCTCTTGCATCACAGTATAAGTATGGCTCATGTCTGCTTCGTGTACCAGGCATGAGCACAGTACAGAGCTCTGGCCCATGCTGGGACTGATGTTCTGTGAAGCTAGCAAAGCTGCATGGGCCCCTGAGATGGCAGGTTGCTGCAGGGAGTTGAGAGTGTATTAATAATTGTGTATCATTCTTATTAAAGAAAGGCCACTAGTATTAGATCCTGCAAAATATGGAACTTTCCCTGAGCCCAGTAGTTATTCAATAAATGTTAATTAAATGAGTCAATTATTGGGAAAGAAAAAAAAAACCTCAATCTGAGTATTAACTTATGAAGAAAAGTGCTGGCTGCAAATGCTAATGCTTACTCAAATTCGAAATGCATCTTTCTAGAGGTAATATTGTAAAGTGGCCAGACCAAGAAAGCTTATTTCAGGTGGAGAAAAGTGCATATAATATTTATTTGAGAAATTGCTTACTTATGTTTAAAGAGAATAGAAGGATAAAATAATTTTTAATATCCTTTAAAGTTAATTATAGGGCTGAGGGCGTAGCTCAGTGGTAGAATTCTTATCTAATACAGATGAGGCACTGGGTTCAGTCCTCAGCACCACATAAAAATAAATAAATAAAATAAAGGTATTTAAAAAAAAACGTTAATTATAAGGAAAGGAAGAGAATCGAGTGGAGGGAATAGGGATACAAACTTGACTTTTGAATATACTTATTTCATAGATTTGGCTTTAAGACAATGTAAATATTTTATATAATTATAAAACAAAAATAAAATTCAAAGAAATTCATGGAAAAGTTAAAAAATGAAAACACTTGACCCCTCCTATTGCTGAACCATTTTTCAGCACTTATATGTATTTTATGACTTGTTCCTACAGTAAATCTCTTGAGCATTTCTTTAGTCTTCCTCAGTTTGTCATCTGCCACCAGAGTTGATATGGCTGGGGTTGATGGTGTTCCCCAGTACCTATTCTATGTGGGCCATGCAGGAGGGAGCCATAGGAATTTAGTTCTTTCTGGTACTAATAATCTTCCTGTAGAGCTTTGCTTTCCAATAATAGAGTCTGCTGGCCAAGCTGAGTCCTTCCAAGGGCAAGGTTGTTAGAGTGGTAGGTGTGTCCCAAATCAGTTCACCGGATGATGGAACAAAGGGACAGTCAAGCTACCTAGATTGAAATTCAAAAGAAGGTAGATCTCCCTCTATGCTCATCTAACTTTTGAAGTTTTCTTTCTCAAAGTGATATCATCTGCTTCCTGTCACTTGCATGCACATTTCTAGGCCCATTCTGGATCACAGAACCAGAGTCTTTGGGAATGAGTCACACATCTCAATAAGCTGATATGTATGGTGCCAATACATATCAGACTTGAGAAGTTCTGTCTTAATTCTTCCCTCCTTTGATACAAGATGTGTATGTTCCTCCTGTGCCTCCTGGATGGAGTTGACCTTTCCTTATGCCACTTTCTCAATTTTTGCGTTAGAGCATTTTTTCTTGCTTGCCTTATTTGGATTTTGTATTATTTTATTCTTTTCCATAGATGCAGGCTGTTTCATATCCCTCCTTTTAGAACCTCCTTTCTGTTCCCTTGTTGTAAACCCAAGACACATTGTAATACTCAAAGAATATTAGCTGTAATTAATATGAGTTATTACTATCTTGTCAAATATTTTGTAAAAATGGAACTGAATCCCAACTCTGAGATTCTCATTAGAGTAGAAGTAGGAAAAAATTATAAAATATACAACTGAATACATAACCATCATATAACCATCATCATCTCAATGGCTCGCTGGCGTCACCTCTCAACCACTCCCTTCTGGAAGAATGTCATGCGTCATCCCGACTTGGCTGTGGCCCTCAACAGTACTTGGGATTGAAGCCTGGGCCTCTCACATGCTAGGCAAGCCCTTTATCACTGAGCTGCATTGAAGTCCTCTTTTATGTTTTATTTTGAGACAAGGTCTTGCTTAGTTATCCAGGCTAGCCTCAAACTTGTCATCTTTATGCCTCAATCTCCTGAGTACCTGAGATGACATGCGGGTAGTACCCCTAGGTTTTAATTTAAGTAAATCTTGCCTGTTTTACTTAGATTGCAACATGCAGGACAGAGGCTAGAATTTCTTCAATATATTTTGAAACACCAAATATTATATTACCACAAGGTATATTCTCATTTTGAAATGAGCCATTCATCATTGAGTTATAGTGCTCACTATGATCCCACATCATTCATAGAGATTTGACTTTAGCTTGTTTCACCTAAGCAGTGGAAGCAAACAAAAATAGACCTTAGAGGCATTGACCTTTAATGTCTCTGCATGGTCATTATCCTTTTACCACAAACTTATCTACCTTCTCTAAAATAAATTGGTTTTGAGATCTCTCCAGTGTCACCTTGCAATGTAAAATGGATTTATTTCAGACTGAGTTTAGACCCTAGTGACTTTCAGAAAATAATTACCTCCATTCTGGCTAGCATCCCAGGAATATTGGCATTCCATAATGACACTATAATAAATGATCCTGCTACATAGTTCCAGGTGCCCTCTCCATTAGTCTCATTATGTACTCTTCTCTAGAAATGATCATGACCTATACATGCATAAACTTTTTCTTGGATTGCTAAAGGACCCAACAGTGATGTCCATTGAGCAGCACTATTAGTTTTCTTCACAATGATGCTGTGATATTGTATAGCGGTGCTCCTATGTTATAGATAACTCACAGAGCATTTACTATGAGTAAGACTCTCAAACTTCAGTGTGCATCCTACTCACTTAGAAGGCTTTTTAAAACACAGATTACAGAGACCCATTGCCAGAGTTTTGCTGAGAATGGATTGGGGCCTGAGAATTTGCATTTCTAACATGGTCCCAGATGATGGTGATGTTGTTGGGTAGGGAACTTTATTTTTGAGAAGCACTCTTGCAAGACATGATTCTTAGGTGTTCTGGACAGGACAGAAGAAGACATATGTCAAGAAGCTTGTGATCTAGTAGGAGAGATAAGATATTTTCGTAAATAATATATCACTGTCTCTTTAGAGGTGAACAGAGGAAAGGCAGTCATAACTTTTAGTCTGCAAGATTAGAGAGTTTCAGGAGGAGGTAGTGAGTGACTGGGCCTTGATACATGGACAGAATTTAGAAATGCAAAATGGATAAAAGGGAAAAATATATTCCAGAATATAATGGAGATAATCCCATTATCATATCTAAAAACATTAGCAATAATTAATTAATAGATTGCATTTACATCTATAAAAGAAAACTTTATCTTTGACATTTATGAGACAATTGGAAAATTATGCCCAGAGTAATCAACTTTTTTTTTAATATTCATTTTTTAGTTGTAGTTGGACACAATACCTTTATTTATTTATTTTTATGTGGTGCTGAGGATCAAATCCAGGGCCTCATACACACTAAGCAAGGGCTCCACTGCTGAGTCACAACTCCAGCCCCAAGTAATCAACTTCTTAGAGACAGAAAGTATAATTATGATTACCAGGATCTAGGGAGGAGGAGAGAATAGGATTTGCTGTTTAATGGGTACACACAGTTTCGGTTTTGCATGATAAAAGAGCTCTGAAGATGAATAGTGGCGAAGGTTGCACAACAATATTAATATAATGCCCCTAAAATGTGCACTTAAAAACAGTTACAATGGCAAATTTTGTGTTATGTGTATTTTATCACAATACAAATTTGAACATTTTACTCACTGTATTATACATTTGTTTTCTTAGGAAATGCACTTTTTTCCTCCTCTGAAGCTCTGATATTCTTCATCTTTCTAAAACTTGTACAATTTTATTAAGGAACAATTTATGTACCTCAATGAATGTAACCATTATAAATGTACAATTTAATAATTTTAAGTAGATTTATAGAGTTATCATTAATCACCACACCAAATATTAAAATGTTTCCATCACCCTAGAAGTTTCCCTCATGCCCTTTTGGAGTCAGTGCTTGTTCTATCCTGGCCCCAAGCAACCACCAAATTGTTTTGTCTCTATGGATTTTCCTTTTCTGGTTATATCATACAAAATAAATTATATAATATGCAATATCTTTTGCTGAGGGCCATTGCTAAGTAAGAATGACGCATGGCATGACCCAGGTCATTTGCAGTGTCATTGCATGTAAGATGACCTTGCTCAAGGACCAGGGCGGATCCGGGTTTAGGGCCCATCGGGGTTTAGGGCGTTCCCGGGTTAGGACAATCGGGTTTAGGGCGGTTCCAGGTTTAAGGTGTACCCTGCTGGGAATAGGGCGTATCCTGCTGCCTCAGGCGCAACCGCTCCTTGAGTTCCCGTTGAGTTCTCATTCAGAGAGAGTATTTGGGATTTTTGCCCAGAACGTGATTTGAGCAGAACGTGGATCTTTAGGGAGGAGAAGATTTGGTGACTCGGTGACTTCATCACTCCACCATGCCAGAGGTCTCAGTGCTTCCCTTTTATTTATTTGTTTTCAATACCAGGAAGATTCCAGATGGAACCAGTACTGAAGTTTGACTCCACTTTGGATACTGTTTTTTGATCATAGCAATTAATAGAAGACTCATTTTCTTGAATCACTTATTTCAGACACTATAAAACTGTCCAAAATCTTCAAGATTCATCATTTCAGTGCTCTGGAAATTAATTAAAGACTTACAGAAAACTAATAAGCATTTATTCATGAAAAACTACTCAAAAATACTTTGCTAGGGGAAAGAAACTAAATGAAAGATTGCTGCAGTCTGGCTGGGCACAAAATCACGAGCCACTCACACCTTGTAGATTCAAACAGCAACTCTTTATTCCCAAACTCACACTGGCACTCTTGTTTTGTTTTTCTGGTACCAGGGATCAGGATTGAACCCAGGGGGTGCTTAACAACTGAGCCACACCCCCAGCTGTTTCAACTTATTTTTTTAAAATTTATTTTAGTTGTAGTTGGTATAATATCTATATTTATTCATTTTTATGTGGTGCTGAGGATAGAACCCAGTACCTCACATGTGCAAGGCAAGTGCTCTACCACTGAGCTACAGCCCCTGCCCCATACTTATTTTTTAAAATTTTGAGACAGGGCTTTGCGAAGTTTGGTAGGTCCTCACTAAATTGCTGAGACTGGCTTTCAATTTGAGATCCTCCTGCCTCAGCCTCCTTGCTGGGATTACAGGAGTGGGAACATATTCTGAGGACCCTCTGGAAGTCTTGGTCATTCACAGTTGGAGTCAATTTTACAAAATAAGTCCAAAAAAGAGGATATATACTTGACAAAATAATACAGTTAGAGTCTAATTATTATATTTTACTTGTTGTAGAAACTGTATTTGAAGCCCAAGAGAAAGGTTCATCTACGGTTTGGCTTCAGGGGGATCTTTTTTTTTTTTAAGCTTTATTTTTTTTAATTTTTAATATTTATTTTTCAGTTTTTGGCGGACCCAACATCTTTGTATATGGTGCTGACGATCGAACCCGGGGCCGCACGCATGCCAGGCGGGCGCGCTACCGCTTGAACCACATCCCCAGCCCTCAGGGGCAATCTTTTAATACTTTGCCAGGCTCCGCTGAAAGTCCCACCGTTGTTTAGAAAAGAACTACGAATCCCAGAATTCTCTTTCCTCCATATATTTTCGCGAGAATTCCAGAGCGTGCGCTTAACCAATCCCGGCCTAGAGAGCTTATGTTATCAACCAATGAGAAGGCGAGTGGGCGCCAAGAGGCGGGCGGCGGGAGTGCTCTAGTTTTGAAATCGGAACTTTGGCGCGGAAGCAAAAGCTGGGTCTGGCGACGGGCTGCTGACTAAAGGTACGTACATCTGGTTTGGGGAAAGCGACTGGGCTCAGGCCTTTTCGTCAAAAGGTGAGGGAAGTGGGAGCCGAATAGGGCCCCTAGACTAGCCTGTCACGATAGGGGAAAATAGGTTTCCGGGCGCTTGTGTGTAGTACTCAAGGCGATGTTTGTGAAACGCGCGTCATTTTGCTGTTTGGGTTCAGGACCTGGTGGGGTGGTAGCAGCGAAGCCACGAGTTTCACCGAATGAGATGTCTTTGGCCCTCCTGGAAGGGTTTTTGTGTCACATAGAACTGGTGGAGCCTAGAGTTTTCCAAGACATCCTTTTATGGGGAGTGATATTGAGACCCAGAGTATTAGGTCATCTGTATTTGCCATGGACCGAACCCGCCAGTCTAACGCTCTAGTCTCCATTAAACTGTTAGATTCTTGTTACAGCTGGGAGAAACATGCAGGGTAAATGTGTGAGTTCTTATCTTATGGGAGGGGGCCCAGTGGCCATAGGAAGATCCAGGCTGGATCTCAGAACAGGTCAGAGTTGAAAGGGCCTTACAAGGAACCAGTTTTACTTGTGAGAAAAACCAAGTTAGGAGTCAGTTGTCCAGGGTCATAGAGCAGATGATCTTTGCAATTACACTTACCTACTAACAAATCCTTAGGTGGTAAAGCTGTCCTGGATTCTTGCTTTTACTTAACCATAGTTAAGCCTAAGAGGCTTGATTAGACATTCTGTAATATCTAGAACAGCAAGGGTCCAACTGTCAAAATAGCTTGATTGGAATATGTGGTTTATTTGGTTTCAGTAATTCTTGAAACTTACAATATGTGTTGTGTGTTTTGTAGTGTCTTACACAATGATGGAGGATGAGCTGGCACGCTTTGATAAAAGCATAAATGAATTTGGAAATAAGTTCAGAAACACTTTCAGTGACACTCGCTGTCAGATGGTGGGACTAAGAGATGTCTTCAAAGACTCCATTGAAGCACTTGCAGGTACCTACAGTTTAAACTTGTTTTTGCTATTCTTTTTTATTTTCTAGTGTTATTTCAGCTGAATTGAAACTTTAATTCCAATTTCTGTTCCAGAAAAGCTGTCTGTGAAATTAAAGGAAGAAGAACAAATGATTGAGATGTTTCTGGAATATCAAAATCGTATGTGAATATTGTAATATTTAGAAGCATAAAATATCACATCAGCTATCCAAGTCACATGTGTCTCAGATAAGAGTTACAATATTTTTCATACAAAACCTAAATATTTCTTGTTCAGATTTTATTTAAATATTAGTAATTTAATTCAGAAATTCATAAGTATATTATAGAGCTGTACAGTTCTTAGGCTTTTGGTGTCATCCTGCCTATTTAGCTTCCTGATTGGCACTTTTGGGACCTTTGTCTCTGAACAGTAGGCCCCAAGTAGAGCCGTTGTGTTTGTTTTCCAGCCAACAGAGGAAATAGTGGCTTTGCCAGGATTATTCTTTTTCCCAGCAAAGACGCCTGGCCAGTTTAATGTATAAGCTTTATTACTATTTTATGTTGAGCATGTGTATGAGAGGTTTGGGTGCTTGCTGAAGCTGAGAGGTTAATAGGGCTAGGAGGACTTGTAGAGATAGTGAGCAGGACACAGGACAGCTAGAGGGATTGAAGCCAAGAAAGGGAAATGAGGTGCTGATAAGTATCAAATAGCTATATATATTTTTAAGTATTTTGGTACTTAACAATACCATGGAATAGCAAAAACTAATATTAAAGTTATTAGCATAAACACAACTGTTGTCACCTGTAAATTAATTATGTGTGTTATTTATGAAAGCTATTGATTTTTGTGGTAGACCACAAATTCTTATGAACTTTCACTAGATTTTTAAAATATTGTAGATAGATGTGTATTATCTACATGTAATGAAATTATCTTTTTCTTTCCAGTACTTTTACTAAGTAAATACATCTTGTATTGGACAGAAACTTCTAAGGAAAAATATTAAATCACAATGATAGCAGTCACTCTTGTTTTGTTCCTTTTAGACATGACTTTTAGTATATGGGATTTGAAAGGTTTTTGTTTCATGTTAGAGAAATGACTTTCTATGTCTAGTTGAAGAATCAATATCGGGAGTGGGTACTGAATTTATATGAAGCATCTTTGAAATGCCTGCTTATATGATGAATTTTCCTAATATTGTACCTCCTCTATATATCCAGCCATATTTGCCCTTAGGAGATTATTATTATTATTTTATATCTTTATTTTTATGTGGTGCCGAGGATCGAACCTAGTGCCTCACGTTCGAGGAGAGCGCTCTACCACTGAGCTACAGCCCCAGCCTTAGGAGATTATTTTTAATACGTCATTATTTTATTAAGCATTATTACACCTATGTTTTCAAGTGAGATTAGTTTGTATGGTTGTTGATAGAGGGACAGTGGCTGCCTTTATTGAGTTAGTTTCTGAATTGTACTGACTTGCTCAGAGTTGCCTGCTTGCCTTCATTCCTTCCTCCCCTTCCTTCTTTCTTTTTAGTACATTTCCAAACAATTTATATAACGTTAGGACTAGCTGATTCTTCAAGGCACTGTAAAGCTATTTTCCTAGAGTTTGGTTGTCTTTGGTGGTAGATTTTGTTTATGTACTTACTTGGAATGGGGATCTGAAGGATCGTGATCTTCTGATTTTCTGTTTCATTGTTTAACTTGGTATACTTATTTTAAAAAGCATTTCTGTTTCCCCATTTTTGTTTTCAGGCAAGTAGGAAAGAATACATTAGGGTTTTTTTGTTGTTGTTTTTCTTTGTCTTATAATTTTTGAGTCATGAGGAGATGCTTATCAAGGCATTCTTTATCAATCTTTTGAAAGTCAATTAATTTTTTTTTTGGAATTTTTTAGCTACGTGTCAGACAGCAAAGCATATATCTTGTAGTTAATACCTTGTGCTTCTTGCAGAGATCAGCAGGCAGAATAAGCTCATTCAAGAAAAAAAGGATACTCTATTAAAGTTGATCACTGAAGTAAAAGACAAAAAGCAGGAAATGGAAGTACTGACTGCAAAAATCCAGGATCTTAAGGAAGAATATTCTAGGAAAAAAGAAAGTAAGTTTCCAGTTATAAACATACTTAAAAAACTAGTCTAAATTTGAAAATGGTAATGGTTCACAATTATGTAGCATTCTGCCTGTGCTCTTTCATTGTTAGAAATGGATAATATACCTCAGGACATAGCCATCAGCTCCCTCTCTAAGGTATCAGGAAAGTTAACTAAGTGGATTTTATTTTCTCTTGTTTTGCTTAAAAGTCTTTCTCCTTTAATTTGTTATAACCAGAGTAATGATGACATTGATATGAGGGTTTAATTAAGCAGAGTGGGAGACAGTGTAACTAAATAAGATTTGCTTAGAGAAGCCTTAGTGTGATTTATGCAACAAATATTCATTGACCATAGGTTCTCTGCCAGGTAATGTATGCACTTTGTTATGCTGCTTAGTCTCTTTATCTAAAACCTTTCCTGTCCTACCTTTCCTTCACTTATAAAGGAGCCTTGTTTGCCTACAAACTAAGCAATCAATCCTTTAAATCTCTTGGAAGTAACAAGTTTGTTTTGTTAATGCTTTTTCTTGTAGAGGTCTATCCAAAACTAAATCGTGAAATTATTATTTTTTATCTGCCAAGTATTACTTAGGGATTATTGTGCTAACTTAAAAAAATATAATTAGCATGAAATAGGCTGTTTTCTCATGAGAAATAGTTATACCTAAAGGAGTAGAATTTTATTTTTCCCCCCATGAAGCAATTAGTTTGTCCTTGGATATATTGAAAAACCAAAGTAGATAAAAGAAGTCTATTTCTTTGTTAGCCATACAAATCCCTGGCCTAATTATCTGTATCTCAAGCAATTTTTTTCTCTAATCTTGAATGAATAGAAACTCCTTTTGCTATCAGAAGATGGAAAGTGAATAAATTTAAACAGATTTATGACTTGCATCATTTTAATGTTTATGTTCAAGTTTCTTAAAATTAATTGAATGAGCATTGTTATTTAAAATATTTAATAAAAACTAAGTGCCATGGTGTGTTCCTCTAATTCCAACTACTCAGAAGGCTGAAGCAGGAGGATCATGAGTTTGAGGCCAGCCAGAGTAATTTAGTGAGTTAAAATAAAAGAGTGCTAGAGATGTAGCTTTTCTTTGTCTTATAATTTTTGAGTCATGTTCAGTTCCCAGTAATGCAAACAGAAATGAAAATAACAACAAAAATACATTGAAATATTGTGATTTTTTTTTTTTAATTACAGCTATTTCTAATGCTAACAAAGCTAATAAAGAGAGATTGAAAAGACTGCAGAAATCAGCAGATTTGTACAAAGATCGACTTGGACTAGAAATTAGAAAAATTTATGGTAAGTGAAAGGCCAAGGTTCATTGTCAGAGATTAAAATGCACACACACAGACAGCAGTGACAAAGATGAAGCACTTTACTGCAAGCTGGTGCTAGTTTATATAGAAAGTGAGAGTCAGTTATCTTAAACCAGGAAGCTCCCGGGGCCAATCATAGTAAAGGTCAGGTCATCACCTACGGTGCACGCATGTACGCCCTGCATAAGATTCACGGGGGGCACGAACTGTCCACGAGTATGGAAGATGGGAGGGCCAGTTAGAAGGTTTTCAAAACAACTTGTTATCCGCCCACTGGCAACTTGCCCGCTGCCAAGTTGCATTAGGGGCTCCTTATCTGAAAGGCCCGGGGAGTTCTAGCTGCCTACTGGCAATTTGCCCACTGCCATGTTTGAAAGGCCCCGGGGAGTTCTCAGGGGAGACTCCCAACAGTAAAAGTACAATATAGGAGATTAGAGAAAGTATGTTGTTTTAGTCAGCTTTTGCATCTCTGTAGCCAAAATACCCAACAAGAACAGCTTAGAAGAGAAGTTTATTTCCACTCATGATCATATCTAAAGTCTCAATCCATTAACTCCATTGCTATGCTCCCAAGGTGAGGCCCCATATCAAGGGGGAAAAGCCCAGTAAAGGAAAGCTGCTCAGCTCAAGGCAATCAGGAAGCAGTGAGAGAGGGAGAGGAGGGGGCCACAGAGAAGATGCATCCTTCTAGGACACATCTCCAGTGACCCACCTTCTCCAGCCACACCACACCCCCACCTCCCCACAGTTACCACCTAGTCATTTAAACTAGGGTGGCTAATTAGGTTACAGCTCTCGAAGTCCAATTGTTTCACCTCTAAACATCCTTGCATTCATGTGGGAGCTTTTGGAAAACACTTCATATGCAAACCATAACATCTTCATTTTCTTTGTTTTAAATATTTTTTTAGTAGTAGATGGACACAGTATCTTTATTTTATTTATTTATTTTTATGTGGTACTGAGGATCAAATCCAGTATGTCATGCATGTGAGGTAAGCGCTCTACCACTGAGCCACAATCTCAGCCTCCATAACATCCTTACGTTGAGGAGAATTTTTAAAATATTTTAAACTAAAATAATGACATTATTAGCTTTTCAGAAAATAGGAAAAAATTACAATTTGTTGTGATAGCCTAAAAACTGGTCATTTTAAAATGATGATGTAATTATCCATTCTATAGCACAATTTATTTCATCTTTTATTGATTGTTTAATACATGCATTGCTTCTGACAGCATTTGGATTTTTCCCAGTTTTTCCATTTTAGAAATACTACAGCAAACATAGTCTTACCTAGTTTCTTATATAATTTCCATGAAATTATTTCCCAGAGAGGAATTACTAGCTTGCATATGAATATTTTTATGGCTGCTACATGAATATATTGCCTCTCTGTAGCAATGCTGTTGATTCGGTTCTCTCCAAGATCACCCTTAGGTTTGGTGATTCACTGGGACTCAGCGTATATAGTGGTCATCCTTTAGCCATGGGGAAGAGAAGGTACCTTCCAAGATGCCCAGTGGATTCCTAAAATTGCAGATAATATTGAATCCTTTATTTACTATGTTTTTTCTGTACCTTTACCTAGGAGATTCTTTTACCTTTGCACTTAATGGAAGCATTTCATAGCTTCTTGTTGCCATATCCAAATTACCACCATCATTATTTTTGGACTTTGGGACCATTAGGTTAAATACATAAGTACTGCAATACTGTGACGGTTAATCTTAACTGAGATGGCTACTAAATGACCACCCATAAGGAGGCAGGTACTGAATACAATGAGGATATGCTAGACAAAGGGATGACTTATGTTCTAGGTAGACAATAGGAATGCATGTGTTTCATCACACTACTCAGAACAATGCACAAATTTAAACTTATGAAATGTTTATTTTTTATTTTCCATTTAATATTTTTGGAACTTTGTTGATTGTAGGTAACTGAAACCACAGATAAGGGAGGACTACTATTACAGAATTGTAGTCATGGCTAAGATTGGTTGTAGCAAGAGGATACAAAACAGCTTCAGCACAGAAGAAAGTCACACAGTACAGTCTAGGGGGAAACTAGGCACAAGATATCCGAATCCTTTCCCAGTAAAACCACACAGGACACACTTAATTCCTTCAAGCATCAAATTGTGATGTCACATGTGATAAAGTATTGTCAACTGAAAACTCACTGGATACTCTGGAAGCTCTGCCTGATTTTCCTTGAACTTGATTTCACACATCTTTTTCCTTTGCTGACTTTGTTTCCTTCTTTTGTAAGTCCCAGTGAATTATCAAACCTGGGTGATCTTGGGAACCCAAGATACCAATCAAGGGCCACCCTAGCAAGCAGGGCTTTCCAAGGTTCTACAGATAACCATCTCAGATCTACTTTGTTAACTCTTTTATGCCTACCTATCTATAATGTCCAAGTGAACGCATTTCATTGTATTCTTGCCAGTTTGAAACCAAAACTCTTAAGACCAAGAAATCTCTGAAATAAAAGAATTTATTGAGCAGTTACAGATGTTAGTTGGAAATAAAAGACCCATCATGGAACAAGTTCCAATAGCAACAAATACCAGGCCAGATCTAAGAGCATTTTCTAATAATGAAAATTCAGGGAAAGAAGGCATATGTTGTTTACGTTGAACATACATTATTGGTTGTAGTTAAGAGAGAAGGGATTATGAAAAGGGGGGTGGAGCTTTAGGATACAAGGACAGTTCATGAGGAAAAGTAATTACTACTTTAAATTGGTTGGGGTTCTACTGAGGTTGCATTGTCACCTAGAGCATTGTGATGGGGACTGAGGTAAAATTTTAATATACATTCAAGAATGTGAACTGGTTTTTCCTTTTTGGCCCATAGTTGGTTAACTGAGAAGACTTCCCCCATTTCTCCTTTCCTTTGTCATCCAGCACTTAAATTTAAGATATCTCAGAATTTTTTCTCTTATCACCAGAATTGTATTTCTAAAAAGCTTTGTGTTGTTTTGTCAATTAACTAGACAGGAATAGAGCTTTTTTTTTTTTTTTAAAGTGCATTTCTTTAATGAAGGAATATATGACCATTTTTTTCTATTTGTTTACTCATTTTATTTTATTTGAGTCCTTTACCCATGTACCTATTAGTCTTGTTTTCCCATCAGTTGGAGTGAGTTTTTAGTTAATAATAATAATAACCTTTGGTTAGATGAAAATAAAAGGTTCAGCTCTGAACTTTTGATGTATTGAATTCTAAATATATATTCACTGTCCTCCTGGGGTGCTTTTTTGTTTTGTTCTGTTTTTAAACAGCCAGTTTTAAGCCTTTAAAATTATTTTTAGATTTTAAATAGAACTTTATCATAGTATATCAAAGTCAGGAAATAATGTTTTAAGGAAGTGTGATATGATGGAATAGCTCTTTGATCTTTCTCCCAATTTCCTGACATACAAATCCTAAAATCCTTGGAATCACAAAATTAATACATACCTTTTTGTATGCTGATGTGTTGACTGATGTCAGGCAGCCTCTTGGTAGCTTCAGAATGGTGGCTGGCCACCTAAAAGACGAAGGCAGGATTAAAGGGCTGGGGCTTTCAGCTCTATCCTCCAGCCGCTGAAGAGGGATGAGGGGATAGGGGATGGGTTTGGTTTATTGTCCATGATTTAGTCAGTCATTCATACATAATGAAGCTTCCACAAAAAGATTGGGTCTGGAAGCTTTGAGATAGCTGAACATGAAGAGTTTCCTGGATGGTGGTGCATGCGAAAGGGCATACAAGCTCCAGGATCCTTCTAAACCTTGCCTATAAATCTCTCCATCTCTATTCTTTGTAACATCCCTCATAATAAAGTGGTAAATAAGTAAAGTGTTTCCTGGATTTTTGTATGCTGTTCAAGCAAATTAATTGAACAGGAGGGGATTGTGGCAGTGGGCAGTATCTAAATAGATAGTATCAGAACTGAATTGAATTTGGGGACAACTAGCTAGTGTCTACTGCAGAACTGATTGATTGCTTGGTACAAGGGTTGGGGGTAGATAGCTCCACACATATGGTCACAGAAGAGTTCTGTTTGATTGTTGAGTAAGAGAATAGGAAAAACACTTCAGCTTTTTTTTTTTTTCCTTTTGTTTTTCTCCCCTTATATTCTCAGAGAAAGTGAGAACTCAAATTAAATCCTCCATTTTGCCTGAGCATCTTATGAAATGTTTCTTCCTTGGCACGCATTCTTCCCATTACTGTTAGCAGTTTAAAAATCTGGTGTACTAACATAATTATTTCATTTTAAAGATAATACTTTTGAAGATTCTGAAGGGTTTTATCATTAAAAGAATTTTTAATGAAATTTCCTAATTTCTTATGCTACAGAAACAAATAAGATGCATGTGAATTTATATTTTGTGGCATCTGTCTTGAATTTCTGCCAGGCATTTACTCCTTTGGGAGAATTTGAAGGTCTCTTGGAAATTGAATTTAAGTCTAGGTAACTAGAAAAGTGTCAGATTAAATTTGACAATGCTTATTTTTTTATTAATGTGTTTTAGTTGTACAAAATGGTGAGATTTGTTGTTACATATACTTAATATCACAATATAATTTGGCTAATATCATTCTCTAGTATTAACCCTTTTCCTCCCCTCCTCCCTATGTATGTTCATTTCCTCTACTCCACTGATCTCCCTTTGATTTCCACAACTTTTTCCTTTTTTCCTCTCTAGTTTCCGCATAGAAAAGAAAAGATATGACTTTTGGTTTTCTGAGTTTGGCTTATTTTGTTTCAATTAATGTTCTCAAGTTCCATTCATTTTCCTGCAAATGAAATAGTTTCATTCTTTATGGCTGAATAAAATCCATCATGTACATATGCCACATTTTCTTTATCCCTTCATCCATTGGCAAATACCTACTTTGGCTATTGTGCATTGTGCTGCTAGAAATATGGGTGGGCAAGTATGGTTATAGTATGCTGACTATTTCTTGAGGATAAATATTAAGGA